TATTCGGTGCAGGTGTATCTCTGTCCTTGTATTTTGAATTGGACTGAGTGCGGAGTTTCCGTCGCTTGCGAGGCCTTGCGAATTGCGATGAGGATGAGGGTATGGGCTGGGATGGCGAATAATGTGTCGATGCAGCGAAGGGCTGGGGAAGGGCAGGAAGTCCATTGGCAAGAAGTGGGTCGGACTGAACAGAGGACCACCAGGTCGAGGTCGGGTCGTCTGCAGTGGGAATGGGCGCAAAGGGAGTAGGGGTGAGACGTACGCGTTTGCGAGGGCGATAAGATAAACCATTCCTGCGTCGAATAAGCGAAGAGGTACAGCAGTCAGTATCTGCAGATTGATAGACGAAGGATATATCGGCAAAGGAACAAAACGTGAGGCTCACAGCTTGCGTTTCTCCCCCGAATCACTGTCTACTAACATCAATGCTTCGTCTGCGTCACTGTCGTATTCATTTGTAGACGCAGATGAACTATATCCATTCGGGATGCTTGATGGGCCAGCTTCTGATTCGAGTGCGCGGAATGCAGCCATACCGTGAGGCGTGCGCTCAAGCGCAGGCGATTCGGCGAAGGGGAGATCCATACGCTGCTTTGAGGTGATGAGAGTTTGTGTTGCCGGAAATGACGGAGATCGTCTGTGTGTGTGTGCCGTGCCATTAATCTTGGGCCTTGCTACCGCGGTGGGTCTCGTTGGGACGGGAGAACCGGAATGTGAGGACAGGGATAGAGCCGGAGGTAAAGGAGGGTCGATTCGTTCCTTGCGATCAGTGATGTTCTGTAGCAGTCTATCTGCTTTCTTCTTGAGGCGCATTGCGCAATGGCGGAGAGGGTGGTCCTGCGCGGCACAATGGACCTCACCACGCGTGTGCACGACGGTGATACATACCTCAGTTGCATTGTAGGTGAAACAGTTTGACCATATCAGATCTAAATCATCTGCAAACTCGCGCTTGGACTTGTACTGCTTTGATTTGACCTTCTTGAGCATGGATTGGAGGTCCATAGGGTTTGCGATCACTGGACGATGTGAGACGAGACATGTTGAAATAGGATATGTAGACGAACCGTCAAAGTAGTCGGGAACATCGGACTTGGCAACTGGCTTAAGGAAGGCCTCCGCGTCATGATTGTCCTGTATATGATGTCAGCGGAGTAAGATAGCAATGATCCGCATCGAGACACACCATAGTTACTGTACGCAGATCATGAAGGAGTCCCTCAAGGGAGTCATAAAACGGCTCGGATACCTTGGCATCGTAGCTTTGGCGCTGGAACGATTTACATACATTATTTCTGCTTTGGGTACAGCACGGAATAACAAAACTCACGCGTGCGTCCTTGACGGCACTCAAAAGGAGCCTAAGGTCAGGCGAGGGCTTGACCTGGCTCTCGGTGAGTGTCCTGAGGAGATTCTAGATGGCTGTTAGTGGTCTGTGAGTGGATGGCTTGACGAAGCTTACATTCATCCTCTGGTCGCGCCGGCTGGCGTTGAACGGACTCAGCGGGATAACTGGGTTGTTCGTGCGGAGTTTGAATTCTGGAAGTTTCCGACGAGGACAATACTTGACATATTGACAATGTGGTCTCAAGTGTGTAGAACCACAGCAATAAATTCACACCGGGAGTTTCAGTAGATCTATCTGAAGATACGGATATTGTGTGTACAAAATTGTGTGGATCATCTCGTTGAGCCATTCTTTCGGCTGTGTATTACACGCCCAGATCATTACATAGTATGTACTGGCATTGGGCAGGCACCGACATTGGGTCCCGTTCTAAGTGAAACATAAAGTACAATGCGAAATTGAACGAATGCGAGCTTGTACTAATCTAATATGAGTCCATAACGCTTTTCGTCAGCCTGTTAATCCCCATGCCCAAGCCCTTTCCCAATTTTGAACAAGTACATAAAACCGTTTAGAAGAACGCGATACCGTAATTTGCCTATCGTTCCACGGAAAACGCCCTTCTCTACCCTCAGTAAGCGCCCGGCGCTGGTGGTTAAATATCAGGGACGCAGGGAACGTCAGCAGCTCCACTTGCTCGTCCAACCCGCTGGACGCCAATGGAGCGAGATGTGGAGCGACTGGTTTGGTATACGGGAGGGCCAGTGAGACACTTTGCAAACTGGTGAAAGAATGCCATGGAGTGTGCATTATCCACCTGGGTAGCTCGCGGTCTCGAGGTCCAATATAGTCCGAGATGCGAGCGCGAAAGTGAGGATGTAGTTCGGTTGGGGAGACAGAGATGGAGATGACATGCGAAATGGAAGCAAGGAAAGCACGTCCTTGGTGAGTGCTCTCGAGGGGGAGCCATGAAGATCTAGAGATATCCCCCAATGCCGTTAAGGTTCTGATGCTCCAAGGAAGCGGGGAATGTGCGAGGTCTGTATTTGTCGCTGCATGGGAGTTCCATGCATGCTCCAGGCAGCCTTCAAGAATGAATAGATTTAAAAAGTTTGTCGCAAGGGACTCTGCGGCGAGGAGGACCGGAGCCAAGAGGCTGAAGTCTATCTGAGGGGGAGACGGTGGAAAGATAAAAAAGTGGTGGGGCCAGTCAGCCTGCTGGACCACCTTCAAGATCTCTCCGATCCAAATCCTGCGCACATGCGGTGCGTACTCGAAATGGAGGTGATGATCTTGTTGAGCGTATGCTTTCTGCATACGTAGAGCATGCTCGAAAGCTGTCAGGTTCCAATGTTCCGACAGTAATACCGTGTGCAGAAGCTCGGGAAGCACGGCGCGTCTGATATCTCTGGATACTCGACAGAGTGCCAGAGTGGTTGCGTATGGATTATATTGGTCGCATTGAGAGAATGTTGGTCGTGCAGCGTCTCTGACGATGAGGAGGACTAGCTCAATTGGAAGTTTGGCAAATGGAGATCGGAAAACAGGTTCCATGAAAGGCGAGTAACATACAAGGCTGTTTTGAAGCAAGAGAGACTCACCTTATAAGTAAACCAACGGTGGATTAAGCTCTATTGCGGCATCATCCACAGTGGACCTTCGCAAAAGCCTGTGTGAAACCACAAGGGATAGAGGCATTGTTCCTTCTAGGTCGCATAATGTGCTGTGGCCCTGCCAGGTGTGCAACTTACCGATTATTGCCATCAGAATGATGCGAAGGCGGCACGAACCATAGAATCCTCCTCAATCATTATTTTCATTCTCTCTGCATTTTTTACTGGCCTACGGGTCTTTGCATCTGTGGCTGAGGGATCATTGGCAGAGGTGTACATTCGGACTGTAAACAAGCATGCTACGAGTAAGAGTCCTAGTCACGTTGAGTATTTTTCTCGCTTCCTTCGACTTTGGCGCGCTGCTTTTGAGTCACGAGTCTAAGAGTTTTCTCTGCCCCGCTTGGGGAAAATAACTTCGTCGGTGAAAAACCAGTGCTCACCTTTACGTCCCCTTTCCACGAGCACTGTACCTGCAGATAAGGTTCTCCACGCAGCAAATACTCTAGGGCGACATGGTGAACGTAATGGAAAATTAAATGCGATGTGACACATACATGACAAGACTGCTGCTACCACAGCTAGCGGGGAGTCGTGCTGCGCCGCCCACGGGGGCGCGGTTCAGGAATGTTCCAAGCGTGTACTGAAGCGTCGTTCATCGTAGGCTCTTGACACTTCAAGAACATAAGGTATTACGTCTATACAGACTGACGTGATAAATCAATCGCTAGGATATGCGTGCTTACGTTCTTGGATATCTCCTCCAGAGATAGCATCGAGAAATGATGTTAACGCTGCGGCAGAGATGGGAAGGTAAACGCAGTATCAAAATTTCTCCAAGACCAATGATCCAAATCTCAGATCCTTCGCGCTCAAAAGTGCTGTATTCGAATTCAAATAAAGAGAGACGTGATCGCAGGAGATGAAGGGAGTTCAGTGTGCATGTAGATCATGATACCATCGTTGTTCCCAAGATACAAATTACATGCGAACATCTCATTCGCATGTAATCCGTGTCTTGGGAAACATGCGTATGCTAAGTCGCGCTCAAGGATGTCTAAAGACCTAGGGGCCCATTAGAAGCATTGAAAAAGGAGGGAAAAAAAACATAGGAACGAGACAAAGTTGAGGCACATGGAAAGTCGAGTTGCACAGACTCCGCTGGAATTAGTCGGGGTATCCCGACAGACAGCACAGTGAGCGGGATGTAGTGAGTCTAAAGTTGCAGTAGCGCCGTGTAGCTTGTTATACTAGTATACGCTTAATCGATCGGCACATATCGACCACTCCTTCACCTCTCTCGAAGACCTCCACATGTATGTGTACGACGTCCCAGCCTACAAGTTTGATAATGATGCCATATTAAAGTACTGCCTGCGGAGGAAAGCTCATATGCACCGCCCGCCACCAACACAGACTGCATGATGTTCGACCCAGACTCGTCGGCCGCCCCCAGTCCGTTGCGTCACCCACATTCAACATTGACTCAGAAGACTGCATACATTCCCTGGCAATGGTCCATCTCTCGGGTTCCCAGCAAGGAGAGCCGTCCGCAGGCGTTTATCAGCCATTAACAACAGGCGTTTACCAGCCGCACACAACTCACGCCGTGAAGCGTGAGCGTGTCATGTATTTCGGCCCTGACACGACAGCCGGTAGTCCGACTTTCAACATCCGGTCTCCGCGTGCTTCTGGTACCAGTGAGTCCACTCGTATATGTGACACGAACTCGCCATTGACTGAATTATTCAGTCGAATAAGTCATCCCTCATCGCTCAGAAGCGTTGACCGAATTATTCAGTTGAAAAAAGTTGTTTCTAATGGCCCACAAGCCTAACGTCTGGGAATACCGTTTATAATATCGTAGAATCTTTCTTCAAACTCGTGGTTCTTGCTGTACCATACATGCCGGTATACTTATGTAGTCGTTTTGTTGGGCCCTGACAGTGCTTTTTCACATTTCGGAATCTGACTGTTCCGAGCTCATGCGAACTTCCAGTACACGCCGAGCCTTGCTTATGATACTGTATACTCTGTGGAGCAGCAACCGCCACAATGAGAACACTCCGAACCCGGTAGACTTCTTGAGTTGGCCATCACTAATCACCACAAGCACACTGTACGTAGTACACCAGGCTCGCCTGTAGTAATAAGTATATTCCATCACATGGTCTGTGTCATACGTCATGGTCTCATCTTTGGCTCACGATATACTCGCCAACGAATCGAACACGCATTCCAAAGGCATGAGAATGTTACACTGACACGCGATGGTATGGCAGGGAGACGCCTCCAGATGTACCGTAGACTCCGCAACCAATGAATAAAACTGCGAAACAGCCCTACAAACATCCACTCGTCCTTAAGAACTGCTCTAGAGCGCAACTTCCAGGGGCTCAGGGCATTGTATGTCGGTACAAAGCGAGACGCGACCTCGTCCATGGTGGGTCGCTGCGCCGGATCGCTCTGCAGCATGTCCGAGACTAGCGGCTGAAGAAATTCGAGTCCTCGATAAACCTAAAACTTAGTCGTGAAATGCGCCAGAAGAACTTGTGAATGGAACTATACATTGATAAGTTCTTTCTGTAATGCAAATCCTAAGTACCAGACGTCCGTCGGGAATGGATTTTGAGGATCGCGAGATATCTGGAATTCAGGGCACGTTTTTGTAACCTCCTAGAATTGGAGGTTCAAGCGGCGCATGATCCAACATTTCGTAGCGTCGGGATATTCCGAAGTCAATAAAGAGATATCGGGGAGGGCGCTCTGTACGTGAAAAGTGTTTGACTGAATCTTTCATGTCAAAACGCATGTCCGGTTCACATGGATGGAATGGTTCAGGGTACATCTCTGAAGCATCCATCATGATATTCAAGTCCATGCAGTCGCTAAAAAGCCACTAAATAACAGCAGAGCGATGAAAAATCCGACGTACCGATGTGCCACATGATATTTATGCATGAATTGCAAGCCCTGCAAACACTTTTTAGCTTGTGAATAGGAAAACGCCGGTGGCTTGTCACCTCAAAAGCTTGACAACAAAAGTCGATTATTTCGCCAATTGTTTCAAAAGGTGGATCGTTGAAAGCACGCAGAAGCGGGAGTACAATAAGCACTTGGTCTGTGTCATTTGGCACAGGAATTATATCAAGCATCTCCACGCAATGATTTTCGTGCTGTGAGCGAAGAGGTTCAGACGTCAGGAATCTGCCGATTTCGATTTCGTGCGGATGGATAGAGGGCTGGATCCGCTTCAAAATGACATGAGCCCCATCCGACGCTCGAACTGCACTATTGATTTGCGGCTAATAGTAATGTACTGTTAACGTTTAAACGTCATAAGGATACGAAACTCACAAGTAACCAAAGCCTATCCTCGCATTTATACCAATCCTTATCTGTACCACGCCACGACGGTACCCAGTCCTGGGGCATAGCGTGAACGAAGTTGATAGCCGAGGTCCTTCAACCACAGGAAGTGATCCCTCCACCAAATCTCTGAGGTGGTGATGTCGCCTTCAAAAGTAAACGGCGTCATCCCAAGATTGTGTCGGAGAGTTTGATAGTCTTGCCTCGTCTCTTCTTCTTGCTCTGCCTTCTTCTGGGCTCTGAGCTTGCTATCGAAGACATCGAAAAATCCCATATCGTTGATGAACTACGGTTCGAACTTCAACTGAGCTTGAGTTTGAAGAGAATCAAACAGTTGTAAATATGGACCTACTAGTAGTATTACTTATATGGATTTGTGATGAGAATTCTTTATAAATATGTGCAAGACCCTGAAGAAGAAAAAACGAATCATTATACTGTAAGTCCAATTGCCAGTGGCAAGTTGGAACGAACTATACAATACCAACAGAGAACACTCAACCTGGCGGCATTATATTATGGACACCGTCAGCACAGCAGGAAGCTCGAGGACCACTGTAGCTACTAGCCAGAAGTACTCGCGAGATTGTCTTCTCAAATAAGTACACCGTATTGCAAGGGGGGTGGAATAAGTCATTGTTCCCTCAATAAATCTAATCAAGCGTAGACGCTTCTAAATTGTCCCTGTCCTGGCAGTGTCACCCCATTTATGCTGTCGTGTTCGCCTATCGAGTGACAGGAGTCCATGTGGGTTTAAGTACTTATTATTTGTGTATAGTATTTGGACTTTGTGACACCTTGCCTACGACGTAAGGCTACCACGGCATACATAACTTAAGCAAAAGTGCACACCAAATCGAACCTTGACCTTATCTACCGCATCCCCACTTCTATCCACCTGTCGATTGCTCATGGTCGCCCCAAAGCAGGATTGGCGAGGAATAGGACGAAGAGCATCGAGATATACTCCAGAAGAAATTACCTCGACCAGCGGGAGCTACGAAAGGATATAGCTTGTTATATTCATCCGTCGACACTCTCCTAGAAACTAAAAGGAAAGCCGCAGACGCTGGTTTGCGCGTTCCGGGCTTGCAAGATTTACTTGATAATATTTCGAGTGAGTTCTCGCGATTTGACCGTCGACATGGCCCCTCAATCTGCTAGGGCTGTCACCGAGGGAAAGCGCCTGGAACGTCGAAAATGGTGGTACAGATGCCGGAATATGAGGGACTGCAAAAAGCAAAACGAAACATATGTACGCGACTGCCAAAGAGTGTGGACTATTGCTCATGTACAAGTACATTTCATCGGGATCTGCCTCGCGACTAATATGTTTTCTAGCAAACATCTTTTGCTATCCTTGCGAAGGTGGATGAGGCAGCCTCTAGCCACGGAGGTAAACCTCCAAATTTCGATTCTCGATTCTTCTCAAACACTCTCCTTCAGCGCCTGTCAGCCGGCGTAGATCTTTCGAAGAACTGGATACGCCCAGCCCCGCTATGGCGACGATTACACCTGCCAATATTGGACCAATTGTGGACAACTCCAAAGAGTCGACCGCTGCTAGCGGAAGTGTCGATGTATCCCAACATGAGACTGTGCTACATATCGCTGAAGTAACCGCTGCAAGGACATTGGAACTGTTCCTACGTCACAGTGGAGTTCCTGGTGGGGAAATCGTGAATCATTTTCAAGGGTGCATCTTCGGACCAAGCGGGACTGCGCCGACAGTGAACTTCGGGGGCAGAAACAACAGAGGAGCAGCAGGCGAGTGGTTTGCGATTTAGCGGTCACTTGATTGCTCACTTCGATTTATTAGTGGCTAACCCATTTTTATTCCCTACTGAAGCTGGAGGGATCGGCTTACATGAGGACTGCCCCATAGGAGATGCGATGGATGTTGACTAATATATTATTTCTGAGTTGAACGACAAGAGACTCTCATGTAGCCGTAATGAACTAGTGTATTTCTAGATCTTATTTACTTGATATTCCTGTAATATGCCTTGTGATTTTACATACTTTGAAGGCAGACAAACGTTTGAATTGACTGATATATTACAACGCTCCATTCAGCCATAGCTATATCTACCGATTCTACCCTCCTTCCTTGGTACTCAGCGCGGTAAATTGAACTCCGCGCCGTTTGAAATTCATCGCAGTTACTGCGTGTGCATCAACATTCCGGAGTTATGGCATCCTGACAATTCATGCTTGCTTATTGTTCTCTTTTGTGACACACTTACGGTGACTCATACCGGCGACTTTCCTCTAGTATTTGGCTTGGCCAAGGGTCTTCAAGTCGTGGGCCTGACTTACAGGATCACAGCTTGAAAATACAATACTATCAAACAATGCGAAGATGGAACCCAATCTATACTTTGATAATTATGTAACTTCTCCATGCGAGAAAAATGGCGTATGAATGCATTTCCATATCTTAAAGTCCTGCCATCTTCGGAATTCGACCTCATGCATCCATGCTCAGATTCAGCGAGCTTCCAGTACAGCTTTGTCGTCCACAGTCGCGAAGACTATAGACGGATTGTATACTCCTACACTGGGTGCATTCTAATATAAATATGGCATCTTCAACGATACTAACGGCTCTGCACGGTTTGGTTTAGCATGCTTTGGTCACTCCTTGGACTCACCACCGCCCTACGGTCATGAAGACGCAGAGAAGGCACTCACTGAGGTTATAGACCTTGTGTCCAAATACCCATGGTACCTTGCAGAGCCCGACAAGGGCGAGTTCAAGAAGGACTATGACAGGCATGTCTTTTCAAATGCTGAGTTATTCCTCTTTATTGAGAACACATACCTTCTGCAGAGTTCTCAAATGCAAAATTGAAGTTACGAACCTTCTCTCATTTGTAGCAGACTTGTGCTAATATCGAATTGCAGAAGATGGTTAACGATCGTAGAGTGGCTGCCGCTGTGAGAGCAGAAATTCCAGTTCCCATAGGCGCAGGTAGAGGTCATCCAAATGCACTACAAGAAGCGAAAATACCATCACCTTCAACGCCTGCTAGAGATGTATTACTGACAAAATCTAGAGACTCAAATCAACCACCGAATGCAGAAACTAGAACATCACCTGGAAGTTATGTATCCGCGCATCAAGCGACGCGAAAGGACAAGCTCGCCCCCGTTCTCATGTGATTGATTATCCGTGACATCGTGTTGTCAATCCCACAATTGTTCTCCTTGACGGCACGACGGAAGCTCGCGGGAAGGGGCTTGATGCGCATCCTCAGCTGCACTGGTGAATTAACTTACATGGCGTATATTCTTCTGCAGATGCGATAATTACCAAGATGAATCGCCATAATTTTCAAGGCCTCGTTGGATCATGAGTGCATGGGTGACGGACGATCATCGATGATCATCCGAGGCTACCGTACTCACCCATTACACGAAGCAACACCATTGGCAAGGGAACAGGTGGCAAGGCTCTGGTGCACGTGAGGAATGAATGACATTTTTTAAAACAAAGCCGCCGTTGTCAGAACCCTTGCAATACACCGCTTGTGACGCATTGTGTCATGACCACAAGGCGAATTGTTTTCTTGAAACGTGGAGGTGGTGTTATCCGGCGCATCACTGAGCGCGAGCACCTCGGACACCTTTTCATACAAGAACTCACAGCCTCATGTTGGACCCATGATCGAGTTCCTTTCGGGCCATTTCTCGTTACTTTCTGACCCATCGTTAAGTACGTTATCCTCAGTATCTACTGGTGAAACGAGAAGAGGATGTACTAGCGCAAGCAGATTTGAATCCAGCTCCTGAATCGACCCTAGTGCAGTCGATGACCCGGTTGGAAATGTCAAGGCTAAGTCACACCGCCCTATTGTATCCATGTCTTGAGGAACATGCATCATGATAAGTTCAATGATGTCTGGAGGCCTGAGGCCTGAGGGCCCACCAGGACACATTGAAAAAGGGATGTATTCATACTTAGAAAGAAGCGATATAGGAAGAAACCGTTGTGACATTCTCAAGACACAAAGTTAAGGCATACCTACCATGGTACACCATCATATCGTGTCTTGAGGAAGTCGAGTTGCAAGGATGATGCCGCGTTGAGACTCCGCTGGAATTAGGTCGGAGTCTCCCGACACATGCTGTTTGAGCAGTGGGTAATTATTTGTTCTGCTAGTGCTTGCTAGCCGTCGACAACAGCGGGTCGTGCTCTTGATTTCTGTATGATTTTATGCGATTTTCCGGGAGATCTGGAGTTCCCCCTCTTCGAAAAGACGTACATCAAACTGTCAGTCACGAGTCTACCTCGAATCAGCATAGCTAAGTAATTCCTCGATGGCCTTCGATAGCTCAGGCGAGCGTTTTTCTGCCCCCATTCTCACTATAAGTACAACTCCACCCTCTCGTTAGAATTTTAGCCTCATTTCAACACTACCTGTGTTCTTGTTGCCTTGACATCCTCGGAAAAAGTCTCTACCATGCCATTTACTCATACATTTCAATTGCCCATTGAGCACACTGATAGTAAGCAAGTCTTAGTCGAGACACCTGTCACACTCCACATCGAAAGCGGTGCGTGCTCCTCCAGTGCTGTTAAGACTCACCCATGCCAGATACTGATCGGTTTTCATCGTTGTTGAAATAGATTGGGGCATGTTTGAGTTGATGAGCGCAACTGCCTCCCTTAAGCGCATCCCGTGGAAACCTCTTCCCCCAAAGACGACGCTAACCGACACAATTGTCAAGTGGGACAATGGCACTCACAACGTTGGTCGCGTGACAATATAGTATTTGTTTTGGCTTGCATTTGTAGTAGTGTACTCACGAACTGCTGGTCTGCAGCTTCTATGTCGTCAATGATGGGTCCCCGATCTCTTTCTGCACTTCTCGTGGAATGGATCCTCCTCATATAGCATACGTCTTCATAGGGGACGTGAGTGTGATCAGTTGATGTAGCCACGATCTCACTCAACAATCATCTTCTCGTATGTTTCAGTTCCAATATAACAACATCTACGGACCCAACGTGCCCATGTGCTGGAGCAGGGTGCCATTGAAGAGTTCCCCGATGGGCGAGGAACGAACAGCAAACGAACGTCGTTGAATATGACCTGAAGAGCCCACCTTCTGACGAGCTACTTTTTTCACTTATTCCTGAGTTGGCCATGTATGATACGTGGGAGATGTGAGAACTACGTTGTTGATTTTTTGTAAAGTTTCTAGGCAACGAGATGTATTCGCGGCGAAGAGTTTGAAGTACTTCGTGGCATTCATTTTGTCCATTTTCTTGGGGGCGTCCAGACCCTTAGGTTAGGGGCCGCCCGACAAAGTAAGCCGGTGCACCAGTGGTCGGCAGCTGCGAGGACCCTGTGCTTGTTGATTGTGAGATATCTATGCAATTTTAGATATGGGAGTTCACTAGTATCATCCAGGTGCATCAAAATGCGATTCAGCCGACTTTGCATAACGTCGAGTATCATTGATCCATGTGCTACTGTGAAGTAATCGGAAACATCGGACTTGGAGCAACTGGCTTCAGGTATAAAACCCTCCGAGTAGCGGGGTAAGATAACATTGATCGGCATCCAGACGCATGGCTCCAAAGTCATTGACTTCGCGAGAACTTCGGAGTCGCTCGAGGTTGGCTGAGGCCCAGCATGTATTGAAAAAATGTCGAAATCCTCAGGGGTCGTGGGACGAAATCATGTCGGAACGATCACGTTGGAATACTAATTGAACAGACGGATCATGGGGATGTCGAGAGTCGGGTGCGAGACTGTCAGCACTCGCGTATGTACTATGCGGGTCATAGATTGTGGATGGAAGGAAAATGTGATGTGTTTGAAAGGTATTCTTCAACACTTTTGTTACTATAGACAACAAGAAGCGAAGGAGATAGACAAAACTACGCGTGTCATTAGCGTGGATGGGACATGCATTATCGGCCATATCGTTCGTGCCACGAGAAAATGACATCTTTCACGGACGCTGGAAGGAACAATAAACCGATCTCATTCGTATCTCCTGGCACTTTGGATAACGACACCATGGAGAGGGAATAGGGACGCAAAGAGAAAGAGAATTTAAAAGACGACAAAGAGATGCGTGGGATCCGGAACAAGCCATCGCGTCCACGCACATCGACGTGGTGGAGCAAATCACTAGATCATGCGTGCTTACGAAGCATCGAGAAACGATTTTAACGTTGCGGCAGAGATTGTAAGGGAAACGAAGAATGAAAATTTCCTTGGCTACCACCGTAGTACTCGGATCGTCCGATTAAAAATGAATGAATCTGCGCAGTATTATTGTACTGTACGGTACTTACTTTTAGTTCAGTATGTAGGAAGAAATAGATCAAAGACACAGATTGCAATGTTGTCGTACAAGCCATCCTCTGTGTCTTTTATTTTTATGTGACATAGGGTGCATTATGTAATCGAGGGATTACCGAATTTGATTGTGCCTCTGAGGGTGTTCACGCATCCACTATCCAACCCACTCTAGTTGAAAATCGCGCCAAGTTGTGATTCGACCTTAGTTGATCAAGCCAGTTGCTCATGTCCGGTCTCAAAAACTCGCCCTTTGGCAAGCGACTCCGCGCAACACATCAAGACAACGAAGAAGACGGTCCACGAAGAAACAGACAACGCGTAAATCCAATTTTCTATACAGCAACACCACCAACAACAAAGGACGCGACTCCAGAGTCACCTGCTGCAACCCGCGACATGTACGGCGATAGATTTGTTCCTTCTCGGGATACTGGCGATATGCGCACAACCTATCACCTTATGGATGAAAGCGGCCCTTCTACTCCTTCAAAAAATAGGATTATACCAACAGAATCAGATGCTTTAAAGGGTCAGTCATCCTTTGAGCTTAACTCTCTTGCTTCTCACTCGTTTTACAGAACAAGCCAACGCAATATTCACTTCTATCCTCCACACCGAAGTAACCCCTCCTTCCCCACGCCGCCCCGCTTCACCCCAACGCCCTACCACTTCTTCCAGCGCCACAACAACCCTCCCACCAAGCACACCCACACGCAAACGCATCTTCCACTACACCTCACCCGCCACATCCGCAAACCCCTAGCACACCCACCCGCCGACTCGACACCCCAACAGACGAGGCTTACTCCATGAGCCCCGTCCGCGCAGAGTCTCGTCAACTACTCGAGTCCCCCCGCAGACAGCTACGCAGCGTTTGCAAAACACCCTATCCGCGTACTCGACGCCCCAGACTTTGGCAGACGATTTTTACCTCAATCTCGTGGATTGGAGCAGTACGAACGTACTCGGTGTGGGACTGGGAAGCTGTGTATACCTATGGACAGCACACAATGCAGCAGTGTCGAAACTATGCGATCTAGCAGGTTCGAATGACACCGTCAGCTCCGTATCATGGGTCCAAAAGGTGCGTCTAATTCTCCCCTTTTCATTCTAATTCTTACACTTTATGTTATAGGGCACAATGCTCGCTATCGGAACGCTCTCAGGCAGAATGCACATCTACGACGCTAACACGCTACAAGTCCAACGCTCATATAACAACGCCCATTCACAACGCATCGGTGCCCTCGCTTGGAATACGCATGTGCTTTCCTCAGGATCGCGCGATCGTATGGTTCACCATCGGGACGTACGAGACCCCTCCTTACGTCCGTTTAAGCGGTGCGCAGGGCACAGACAGGAGGTGTGTGGGCTGAAATGGGCACGGGATGGGGGACCGTTAGCAAGTGGGGGGAACGACAACAAGGTCTGTATATGGGATCTACGAGGGTCCAAACGCTGCTTCTGCATCTGGGTCAGGATCAGGAGGTGCTGGGGAAGACGCAGGAGGAGGAGTGGAGGTGGAGATTCACCGCTTTGGAAATTCCACGAGCATACAGCAGCTGTCAAAGCACTCGCATGGGATCCACACGTATCCGGGGTGCTAGCAACAGGCGGGGGTACGCAGGATAAACATATTCGGTTCTGGAATACCTTCAATGGGACTATGCTCAGCGAACTCGATACCGGGAGTCAGGTTTGTCTTTCCCTCCCTCCCTCGTTTCCTCGCTCTAAGTTCATTCTTCAGGTCTGCAACCTCATATGGTCCCTAACATCCCACGAACTCGTAAGCACAGCACGGATTCAGCAGCACCACCGCCCAAAACCAGATCTGCATCTGGAAATACCCGAATCTCAACATGGTAGCAAGCCTGACGGGACATACCCATCGAGTCCTATACCTCGCGATGAGTCCGGATGGTGAGACGATTGTGACGGGTGCTGGAGATGAGACGTTACGGTTCTGGAATGCGTTTCCGAAGAAGGAGGGAGGGGAAAGGAGGGAGACGAGGTTGGATTATGGGAGGCTTATAAGGTGATTTGATCCTGCACCTGCTCCTGAACCTGAACCCGGCGTTTGGAGTAGCCCGGGCTCATCCGAGATCTGTTCCCGACAAGCATACACCCTGACCCGGCGTTTGGAGTGGCCCGACGAGACGCTCTCATCTATACACTATATCCGCAAGCTAAACTCACGCACCAACACGTATATCATGGCATATGACCATCAACCCACTGTATCACACTCACCCCCACGACACTACACATCTAGCTTGCTCGCTCAGTGCACATGCCAAGCTCATAACATCACATTCGTATGCCCCGTTCGTATGTCGTTCCTTTATGTCATGTCGTTTTCGATTTTCTCAACCCTATTCTGTCTCTCGTCACTCATTGTTCTACGCTTCGTATTTGTGAGCTTCCATGTCAATGCTTCTTGTAGGGCTATCTGTTTGCTTTTTTTCGTTTCATTTGTTTTTATGGCATGTTTTCTTTTTCTTTTTCCTTTTTTTCTTTTTCTCGATTATTTGCTGTGTATGAACCTTTGGAAGTTGTGAATGCATTATGATATCATGGCACTTTTGACTGCGTGGGGCACCGGTGATCAGATCAGAAGTATAGAAGGAAGACAGATGGAAGGCTTGAAAATGAGTTGTCCCTTCTAGCACCGGTAAAGTTTCGTCCCCGCAAGAGCGCTAAGATAACAATCACAGACATCGGAGTATGATAGGCTCAGATGCATAAGCAAATATGCTGTGCGCACTACACCAAGACAAAGATTTCGGCTAGTGCCAAAAACACCGCCACACTAGCTCCTTTCATAAGTACTCCAAATCCAACTCCAAATCAAACCAAAGGCGCTTGTTCTTCCACCACCCACGAACGTCACTCACGCAGAGAAAAAGAATTTGAAAGATGTCATTTGCAGGCGTGCGTATCATCTTGATATGAGTCGAGTCGTTGATGGTGATCTTGTTTTGTTTTAGTATGGTGGATATGGTGGACCTGGGGCACATGGAGGACATGGAGGACATAGTGGACATGGAGGACCTGGTGGGTTTAGTAGAGGTCCGGTACCAGCTGGTCCTCCCCCTGGTGGTGATCCCCAGTAAGTCTTTCATCACCTCATCAGTTGTGCATTGTGTGTTGTGCTGATGGATGGGGTGCATAGGTTGTGGTCGTGGTTCGGTGCTGTCGATACCGATCGATCGGGTGCGATCACTGCTATCGAACTTGGTGCGTCTATTCTTCTTCTTCGAGATGGGGATCTTTGCTGATGATTTACGATGGGGGTGATTAGAGAGGGCGTTGATTAATGGAGATTGGACTCGTGAGTCTTAGTTTTAGTCTGTGTTTTTAGAGGGGCTGATGGTGGTGTAGCGTTTGATTTGGATACTGTGAAGCTTTTGATGAGTATGTTTGTGAGTCGTGTTATCGCGTTTCTTTTGGTCGGTTGTTCATCGGCGATAGGACGTCGACCGGAGTGGTACGATTGGGTTCAACGAGGTGAGTACTTTTCCTTCTTATCTGCTCTTTCCATTTATATAAACGGGCGTAGTTTTCTGGACTCTGGAAATACATCAAGGTTCGTACCCTCCCCTCAGCTCCCAACCATACTAACAACAACAACAAAAAAACAGGACTGGCAGAACGTATTCCGCCACTTTGACAGAGACCGCTCAGGCTCCATCGACCGCAACGAGCTCCGCGACGCCCTCCGCCAATTCGGATACAACCTCAGTCCACCCCTCATCGAGCTCGTCCAATCTAAATACGGTACGTCCCTCTCCTCACCCCTCCCTTCCTCGAGTGTACCAGCGTGTTGTAGTGGTGTTACTCCCTCACTTGCTGAAACTATACTAATCCAAGACATCAAAGCTTCCAACGTCACTAGCGCCTACGGCCCTGCTCCTGGGATCACGTTTGATAGGTTCGTGAGGGCTTGTGTGGTGATTAAGCAGTTGAGCGCTGCGTTTGAGGGGTTGGATACGGATAGGGATGGGTGGGTGCAGATTAATTATGATCAGTTTATGCAGACTGTTTTGTCGTTGCCTTGAGGTGGACTTGGATCGGGAAAGGGTCAGCCAGGCGTAGAGTGGAATATGTACTTGTAGCCTGTTGGTAACAGTAACCAGCTGGACGAAATTATGCATATCTGTCTTTTTCTTCTTCTTCTAGGCAGTGGTCAGAGCGTTTTCGGAACTTGGAGGACGTGTCCATGACTGGTGGTTGGATGAGCATGGTGATCAAGTTGATGCAGTAGTCTCCTGAGTAACGGAGACATGATTATAAAGCAAGTCTCCCGAATCGAAGGAATCAGAGTTAACATCGTTTCGATGCTCCCTCCGGGGAAGATTTTCCGAAGAACACAGGCACGCATATCCTGCTCCACCACGTCGGTGTGCGTGCACGGGATGGTTTGCGTTTTTTGTTTCAACTTTCTTCATAATTGACGTCTACACGGTGACCTTGCCGTCGTTATTCGAAATGACTGAGCCTCGGAGGTACCAGATCGACAACAGGTATTAATATTGCTGGAGATCATTATATCGGTTTGTTACTGCTTCCATCGTCCGTTCAAGATGTAATTCTTGATGGCGCGAATGCGATATGGCCGATAATGCACGTCCAATTATTAATATCTCCTTCGCGTTCAAACTCGCTTTGTTGTCTATAGTGATTCCAGATGGTGTTTGCGCATCTCAACATTAATATTAAGTCCTCGGGTAAAGTGTTGAAGTGCCCCAGAACTACCAGATGTCATCCATTTGTATGAAATGTCCTCCAGCGCGACGCGACGGATGATGACAACTCCCGGGCTTATCCCGGGTACATACAAGACCGCGGCGTAGATCCCTGAATAATCAAGACGCCTTGAATGTTCTCGCAGCTTGCCGACGACCAGCACTAGCAGAACAGACTACTGTGTCGGGAGGTTCTGACCTAAGTGATATTGAACTCACAAGATGCACGGATCGGTGACGGAACTTCAAGTTGTACGTCGAATACGTACAGTTACAGAACAAAACTTCTTTGTGCGTTACATGGTCTGTATGCCCGGAGAATAGCTACAGTGGTATAATGTTTCCGGAACTTATGCCCGGAGAATAGCTACAGTGGTATAATGTTTCCAGAACTTATTCATGCGCTACAATAGTCCACAAGCCCAACCCTCCTCCCAATCATAGCAAGCATTAAACGCGCGAGGATGCCCCGATTTAAGGCGAACATCAACTGACGAAAGACGCCCTTCCCCGCTCTCAGTGTACTCCTTTACGGTCTTGTGTACCCAAGGGCCAGACGGCGAGGAAACGGACAGCGTCAGCATCTCAACGTCCGTGTCCTGATACATTGATAACAAAGGGCCTGCGATCGTGATAAACGGGAGGATGGCTGAGACGGTGTGGAGGCTTTGGAAAGAAGCCCATGGAACGACCGTCATCCACTTAGGGAGCGGGTGGTTCCGGCGCTCTGACGCGGGGTAGTAGTAATTTCGGGTGACGAACCAAATGTTGTCGAATTGTGAGAGGAAGGTGAGGTGAGAGATAGCAGCAAGGAAAACGGATCCTTTGGCGGTGCTTGTGAGAGGGTCCCAGCGAGTGATATCCCCCACTAGGGTCAAAGCTTTTGTGCTCCGAGGAGAACATTCGCGGGGGCGATTATTGATGTCAATGTGGGAATCCCATGCGGACTCAAGGCAGCCGGAAAGAAGCCACAGACTTCCAAAGTCAAGTGCAAGGGACGGTGCGGATAGCAGTACTGGACCCAGGACGCTAAAGTCGATGTCAGGCTCAGACTGTGCATGTGGGGAAAGGCTGTTGTGCAATGGAGCTTCGGAGGGAGGTTCGCAGATTTTTCCGATCCAAATCTTGCCTACGCGGGCTGCGTAGTCGAAATGAAGGTCATTTCCTTGTTGGGCGTATGCGTTCTGCAGGCGCAGAGCACGTACGAAGGCCGCCACGTTGCGGTATTCCGGGAGTAATACTGTGTGTAGAAGTTCGGGCAGGACGACGTGTCTTAAAATTCGGGAGACGCGACAGAGTGAGAGCGCGGATGAATAGGGATTTTCGTTACTTTTATCGAAAGTAGGTCTTGCAGCATGTTTAATGATGCAAAGGACAAGCTCGGTCGGAAGATCAAACAACGGGATTTGAGAAGTGGGTTCCATCGAGGGTTAGAAGGATGCTAAGCTGGTTTAACGGTGCATAAGAATTTGTTGAGACGCACCTTATAAATCAATTGATCACAATGATGATCCACATGTGGTCCACGCACGTATGGGACGTACAGTTCCAAACTGCGGTGGTCCAGGATTATTGTTCCTCAATGCGCTTCGCCGCTGTGGCCGTATACCGGTATTACGCTCGAGAAGGTCCAATTGGGCCCATCGATAGGGGGCCTTCTCTTTGTACTGGACATAGGTATCCACAGGCGATAGAGTCTCACAAGCCCTCTGAAACACATGTCCTGTAGTTCTATGCGCCTGGAGTCTTGGACAGTTGTTAACTTTGCGTCATTCACGTGACCTAAGGGTGAACTAATACAGCAAGGTTTGTGCGAAGTCGGCGCTTCCCGAGTAATAGTAGTATTACATATCTCATTAATCCCGTCGTCAACAGGTCTAGCTAGGTGACCATCGCAATGCACGAACACTGGTTGACATTGACGGCAAATGCGAGGACGTTATTATGAAGCTCCGTCGAATACGGTTAGAATCAACTGGATGTTGCTCGACCGTCGATCAGTGAACATCATTCGGATGAGCTTTACATACAATGTATGTATATAAGTTCATGCATGTTCTCCGGAGTCCGCATCAATCCATCTTCCACGTCTCCCTTTTTTCGAATCAAGCATCCCGCCGTGATCAATCACGACTCCACCCTGTAATCTCGAGTTTTTTTGTATAACCCGTTTCAGTATATAATGACCCATAACTGCATTGACTGGGAGGCCACACCACTACGTTTCCTAACGATATCGTATGGAAACAAGAAGGTGGCAACGCAGAAGGGTCCAGCATCTAAAGTTCGCGAATTCAAAGTGCCCTTCATGTTACCCTCTCTCGTGACTTTTTGAACTGAACATTGTTGTGGTCATCAGGCCCTCCAATCATTTGTGCACCGTAAATTTTCTATCAAAGACCGTCCACTCTCATCCGTGCGCTTCCGAACGACCTGCAACCTTAGCTGTACGACATTCGAGGACCACTCCGCCTTTGAGGTTGATGAAGAAGCATGGGAAGAAGAAGGCTTAAGGGACCTTGTCTGCTGTCTGGAGGTGTGGCTGTGCGACTCGGAGGAGGTTTTGCCTGGCCCGTCTTCTGGTGTCGATGGAGAATTGGGCGAGGAGGCATTGAAGCCTGAAGAGGAATCTGAAGATACTCAGGTCCATGAGCAAGTTCGAGTCTCTGGCGAACGGGAAGATATAGAGGGTGAAAGCAACGGTGATGTAGCAGAGGACAAGGACAGTGTCGAGGATGAGGCGGAGGTGGAGCAGGAAGAGGAAGAGCAGGAAGAGGAAAAACAGGAGGAGGAGGAGAAAGAGAGGGAAGAGGAAAGTGCTCTGCGGACTAGGCCATCTGGTCGCCGACAACGGGTCGTTGTGTCTGATGACGAAGATAGTTTGAAGGAGTTTGATCGTGACCTGGCAGCAGACTTGCAGCAGAAAAATAAGGCTGCCGAAGTTGTCGATGGCCCACAGCCATCAGCACCAATCGCTAAGAACCGAGCCGGTTCAACCAGTGCTATTCATGCACAAGACATACAGCGTACCCCTGGTGAGTCACTCGTCTGCTACAACGGTATATGTGATAGCGCAGAATCTATAGATATAGAACGACCAGTCAAGAAGGAAAAGGAACCTCCTCTTGCGCATCGCGTGCGGCAGTCCTCACCTGTTGAAAGCTCTCATGAAGGCCGAGCCCCCTCCGGAGCAGCATCAGGCCGACCTATCAAACAAGAACCAATTATTGCAGCGCGATCAGCGTCTCAGTCTCAAGCCACCCATGCGACTCAGGACTGTACGTTGTTTGCGACTATCAGGGATATCTTCGCCATGATTACTCACGAACATACATAGCCGAATCAGCGCCTGAGCTCACACAGAACAAACTTGTCATTAGCATCCAACACAAACCCTCCGCACAGCATGCACAGTTCAGCACGAAGCCCCATACACGAGTGGGCAGGGTTCTCACCGGGGCATGCAAGAGCTTCCGCTTGGATGTGAACGTGTCAGTCCTTCTGGTGTTTGCGTTGTGCGTCGCTTGCTCATATTTTAACATGCAGAGCACAGCTCTACTTGGTCGTGGTAACGCAAAATGACCAGGGTTTGAAGGAGGAAGATTATTTCTTGTGTGATCGAAACGAGACGGTGGAAACCGCTCTTGTGGGCGTGGATGGGAGGGCAGAGTTTATGATTCGGATGCCTGAAGATCCTGTAGTGTAGGATGGTATATTTTACTAGGTATGTAGTAGATAGTGGAATTCACTGGCGGCTTGCTCATCCTCGGAGACTCAGTAGTCCATCGAAAGATCATCCTAGGAAACCGACAGCTTCTATCTCTATGACATGCTCCGTCTTTGATTTTCCGGAGAAGAGTTCAAGTGCTCTATAACTCTTGTCCTTCCCCATCCTCTAATTTAAATCTCCTCAAACCATCTCGTACCGTCCATGGCACCTCTTCCTCCCAATGGCTGATAACCACCACTGCTTGGTCGGATCCAACACCGCCCTCGCAAAGGTAGCGCCTCGCAGCGCAGACCATATTTTCATCCATACCACTCCAGACTTCGTCCAACAAAACAAGTTGGGGGTGGCTCACAAGCGCCCGCATCAGCAGAACGATACTCTGTTCCCCTGCGGAGAGGTCCACAAAATCGCGTTTCGAAAAAGCTTCGTTCGGTGCCAACAGCTCGTCGCCAGCGGCGAAGCTGTTGGCGTCTGTCTCCCATGACGTCGGACCGAGGCCGTTAAGGACGTCGCGTACGCGTTTCACCCTCCATTGTCTGACTTCGTCGCTGAGGGTGCCCTCCAGACCGTTCCCGACGCCGTCCTTTCCACCAGGAACGAAGCCGCCGTCAAAGCCCGTGCCTACAACGTCGAACACACTGACACCAGCGCGTCTTGGGTATGCGTTTGCAAGCTCCGGTGAGACAACACCGATGAGCGAACGGAGGAGCGGAGTTGGGATACGCTGCCGAGGTCGAGAGAATAGCTCTAAATTCGAACCACCTCGCTGAGTGTAAGACTGGGGATGGTCGCCAGTCAGAAGCGAAAGAAGGGTAGTTTTTCCGGAACCTGGTCGAGAGTAGTCAGAATACTAAACCTTCATTTCCGTAGAGTGTTGACGCACCATTTGCGCCTTGAAGATGCCAACGCTGGCCTTCGCGGATGGTCCAGTTGATATTTTTGAGCACCTATAGATAGCGTCATTCACAGCAAGACAATCAAGGACGGAGGAGTTGCCTTGCGCGTGCCATATGATACGTTTACGCTCTTCATGTCAACTACTGGCTTGCCATGATCAAGGCCAGGCTGAAGATAGGACTGAGTAGTGCTTGCCATTCTATTCTCAGCTTCTTGTACGTGATGATCCGCATGCTTGGACAGGATTTCATCTTTGCTACCTGTCACGATAGTCTCACCCCTCACTAGAGCGACATGTGAAATCCAATCAGGAATGGGGTCTTGCATCCTGAGGCCCATGATGATGCGTGGACTGCGAGACTCATGCAGTGACCGAAGAACATTCAACAAGATTGGGCGGGTATTGACATCGAGGCCGGCTAGATAAAGTATAGCGATTAGATTTGTCGAAGGTAAGTTCGATCACTCACTCAGAGGTTCATCGAGTACGAGGAGCTCTGGTTCAGACAAAATAGCCTTCACAATGCGTGCCCGACGCGTCTGGCCGTTTGATAAAGCGACCAAAGGTAAATCCAACAAAGAGGAAAGACCTAGTCTAGAAGTTAGGCCCTCAAAGATACCTTTCTTTACTTTGTCTTGTGCAATTTCAACCGGAGTTTTCACCCTGCCACCTTTTGGCTGAATGTTTAGAAAGTCGTACTCTCCAAACATGCTTTCCCGAAGGGTGATACGGTCCTCTTCTCTAACTGCACCGTATCGAGACGTGTAGTCATAGAAGGCACCACCTGCTGCACGGGACCGATGAGCGAAGGAAACAAGAGACACACAGGCGTGTGGGTCGCGTGGAGGGTCAGAGAGGAAAGGAAATAGTCCTCCAGGTAAGGGCGGAGGAGGAGTTATGCGTAGGTGACCGAGGAGTGTCTAAAGCGCGGTTTGAACTTGTTAATGCTGACACCTCACAGTACTAGCATGACGCACCTGCAAAAGGGCTGTCTTTTGCTTCGAGCCTGTCCCTATTACAGCCCAGTTTTCACCCTCACCAATGGTCCATTCAACATCACGGAAGACCGGCGCCGCGAAGTTTGGGTTACCAAAGCGATAAATGTTGGACCGTGAAATCTGGACGATAGCTCCGGTATCTACCGCACGATCGCTGTAAAGTCTAACAATGATACCACATCAGGAGGATGCGAACGAAGAACTTACAAGCTCAACTCACCTCGACTTCACTCCAAACCTTTTTGTTGCCAGCCAAGCCACCTTCTTGCTCTCATTTGCGAACATTTCTCACCGACAATCAAGAAGAGGATCGTGCATAAATTACAAGTCAGTATAGATGGTGCAGGAACTCGGGGCCAGCAGCTGCTGGTTGCTAAAAGGATATAGCGGGAATATAGCAGAACGGAATTTGAAATTTGCCTGTTTGACAAGCAAAGAAGCATCCATCTGCTTACTACTTCCGAAGCCATAACCAGCTCCTTGAAACAAGTTACTCTTCACTTAAGTACATATTGACTCAAACGCAGGCGGCCCATCGAAAAGCTATACAATCCATCGCATTCGAGTTCAGTTTAGCATTGAAGTTATGAGCCGTTTTGCTTGAGCGGTTCTCTCGGACCTAGAGTTTGAAAGCGAGGAGGCTACTAGAAGTAGCACAGTATTTCCAAACCCCTCGAAAGACCTCTGCATTGGCTGGTGCAGGTAGAGGTGCTCCCGCAAGAAGTTTCAGATCAATGCGAAGGTCCTTATCCGGTACCTCTTTCAAGGCAGACATCGACGATTTGACTCCTCGTCACCATTGCATTCTTGCAGAAGGTCTGGTTTTTAAAGGAGACTACTAGTGTAAGTGTCTTCTTTACCCGTGGATTCAGAGTTACGGCGTGTTGCATGTGAATTTTCAGTTTACTCTCAATGAGCGGCTGAATGTTCAATCGAGGCAGAGCTCCGTCAGAAGACTTGACCACCGGCCCCAATGCTTTGTGCAGGTTAAACCGCGTAGCATAGTATTATAGTGCAACCAACCCTTAGTGAGACATGAATGAAGCCCATAAAATTACACCTGAAAGCATCAGCAAGAGTCGTTTCTCGATGTCGAGCAGTATCTAATAGTGGTAAAGGCATAGGTCGCCCACGACAAGAGCCGCGAGGAAACCACCTCATTCTCCTTGGATGTGCGCAACTGCCCATCTGAGTAAATATCGAACGCTTAACTAGTACTCTTGTGGCATGTTCCAGTAGTATTGTCATGCTTATTAGGATCAACGTAGGTGTCGAACTTTTCCGAGTATCAGGAACAGACAATTTCGGAAAAGGGTAGTAGCGCTCACGATGCATTCCTCGAAGAGTACACTAGAGTTTATGAGGCCTTCGTACACCTTCTGGGCGACAATTTGTGGCAGATGCACTGATGGAGCATCATGAACAGCGCCCTGTATCACCTGCTTATTCCGAGACGGGTCGTTGACATCTGCAACTGTGGCCTTGAAGCGAGTTGCTTCTCTAACATATGAAGTTCTGAAATCGCGCAAATCTTGATGACACGGAGGATTCTGTGAAACATGTCTAAACCGCACCTTGTCGAGAGTAACTGCAATAACTGCGCATCGATGTTGTTCAACTCATCTCGAACTTCGTCTAGCGAGGAACAACATGTAGTCCCATTGGCATATTTTATAGTTGGCTTGCCCCACGGGATGTTACGATGGTCAGTGGAGGGTGGTATGGAAGGGAGAGGGTCAAAATAACATTTGTCGGACGGGTCGGAGGAAGACGCCACGACAAGGCCAAGGATTTGAAAAGCAACCAGAAAACCTATCATTCTCGCAGTCGCACTATAAGTATGATAGTGGTCCTTTGTAGGTCTGGTGTGGTGGTCCAACTCGGAGCTTTGTTTGGTTCCGACCCATGGCCATTGGGTTCTTGGAATGATTCGGAACGACAGATGACGTGACTCAGTGAGGTAATATAAGCTTCAAGAATCAACTTGAAGTTCGGTAGTCAAACTACCGTGACCATGCAATATGTATACTTGTCTCACTTCTTTTGGGCGGCTGATAGGCAGGCTGCAGTTCGCTATCACTCGACCGACTCAGACAGGTAGCTTGGATGAACCGAAATGAAGTTGAGGGGCTGGGGAAAGAATATGGAGGAAACAAGTGTATAAAGGTGTCGAAGAGTCGAAACACTCACTCTTGCTAACTGTGATCGCACACTACTAGTAACACCCCCAGCTGCGTCGAGCAACAGATGTGCTTCACAATATGGTGGAGTAGCAGGATGGCCGAACAGCACGAGCAGCGAGTGGAAGGGCAAGTTCATACTAGGAGCGACTCGGAGTCTATTACATGTCTTCTTTACCACTGATCGATCACGGGGTAGCGCCGTAGCGGTTAAGTGCTCTGACAGAGCCTGTGGCTTTTCACGGGTAAAATCCACGTACTTCAACCTTTGGGTGAGGCACAACCCAAGGTCATAAATTCTCGGCTGAAAGTCCTCTTTTCTGTTTCTCATCAGTGTCGAGCAGCGTATGCTAAGCGGTTGCGGTCACACAAAGACATGAGTGTCGACGGTACATCGCCTACGAGCATGACAGCCGTGGGGAAGCTGCAAACGCACTGCCCATTTCATTCTCCCTGAGCGTGCGCAAATGCTCATATGCGTATCTCCCTTTCCTGAATTCTGTCCGTCCTATTGATGCTGTATCGCCTGCACAAGTGAAGGGTTTATTGCGGCATATTCCAGCAGTGCCACAATGCTATTTAGAACCAACGTAGGTGTCGAACTGTTCGAGTCATGAACGGACAATTCCGAAGAAGAGGGATGGTGCTCACTATGCATCCCTCGAAGAGTACGCTGGAATTTATGATAGCCTCGTACACCATCTCAGCGACAATTTGTGGCAAATCCACGGCTGGAGCAGCATCCACAGCGCCCTGTATCACCTGCTGATTCCGAGACGGGTCGTTGACATCTGCAATTGTAGCTTTGAAGCGGGTTGCTTCTCTGACGTATGAGGTCCTGAAGCGTACAGATCTCAGTGACACGGAGAATTATCTGAAAGACTTTCAGGACACACCTTGTCGACAGTAGCTGCAATAACTGTGCATCAAGGGTGTTCAACTGCCCTCGAACTTCGTCCAGCGAAGAACAGCATGTCGTGCCATTGGCATATTCTATTGTTGGCTCGCCCCATGGTATGGTACGATTGTCAGTGGAGGGTGGTTTGGAAGGTAGAGGATCGAAATAACATTTGTCGGACGGGCCGGAGGACGCCACAACAAGGCTGATGATTTGAAAAACAAGGAAAAAACCTATCATTTCGGCTTCCTTGTGCAGTACTACCAGTGGGCTTTTGTAGTGGTAGATTTTTCCGCAAGCCTGAGATCCTGCGAGCTCCGTGTGAAGCCCCTTACGCGTTGACATTAATTATCCGTGACCTGTCAGGTACACGGTTTCCCGCAAGTTGCGTTGGCACTGGTTGGTTGGTGGAATAGCCTACACCAGGTTACGTATCAAACTCCAATGAGAACCTAATTTTCAGCCTAATATTAATACACGGTCATGCGTCGAAGGCCCAAGTCAAATTTCTGGTACTTCTCGACAAAAGTCTGCAAGCGAATGCGATCGGTCGAATCGGCCCCCACTAAACTCGCGTAGTACAGGGGCTATATGGACGGGCTGTGACACCAGTTAGACACTACCTGCTCCTTGGCATTCAAACCTCGAATTCCTGCCCAGCATCAAATAGTGCGGCCGAACTCTTGGTGACGACTGCCCACTCCGGCAGGAAAAGGATCACCTCCTCCAACGACGGAATCTTGCCCCCAGTGCGCCCCCCGCCCACCGTAGCACTTTCATACTCTGCCCAACCACAGCTCACACGTCCCTTGGCCTTCTCATCCTCACTTCCTGCGAAATTAATGTCCACTTCAAACTCCTTCTCCCAATCCCGGCTCCACAGCCTTATTTGCTCAAGCCCGTCCTCAGGCACCTCAGAGCCGCCTTGCAGAACTTTTCCGCCATCACCAGAAATGTGGAAGTTTTTGACGCGTCGGCTTGAGAATTGGAGAGTGCAACTTCGGGTGTTCAACCCCTGCACTTTGATGTGCGCACTATTTGATCCCGTGCGCTCGATGGATGTGGTCATCCACTTCCTTTCCTTCTCTAGAGAGGACGCAGGGCCCCGCTCATGAAGATGCTTACCTCCACCTGGAGAGGGCACAAACGCATCTCCAACCTCCCATTTACAAGTCTGCAGGCCGAGCTTGTCTGGAGCCTCCGTACAATTGATGGCCCGGTCAAATGCAGACGGGAAGCGGGGAATTATCACGGTCGATAGGAATTGATGAGGCCCAGTTAGCGCGGTAACGACGCGAGATGTATCTAGGTCCACGCTTTGAGCGAAATAAATCTTGAGCGGCGTTTCTTGTGAGAAAGGAAATGCGAGATAGGTGTAGAGTGTTGAGAGGACGAATATGATAAGAATGATACCGTTCAACCACCGATGCATGTTCATACTAAATGGTGCAAGGGGGAGAACAATGAATAACGCCAGTATCGAGACCGTTCCATAAACTGCGTAGCCCATCAGCTCACCAAGGCCAACGCAATAAGAGACCCATTAAAACACTCACCGCCAAATGGACTTGCCCCATCTGTGAGCGTCTGATTCACCGCGAACAGCACAATGACCGCAATATGGGACGCTAGGATCACCGGCAACGGAACAACAAGCAATAGCTGGACAATCCACCAGCCAATAGCGCCCTGCTCCTCACCTGATGGAGTAGGCTCACCACGCTGAGCTATGAGAGGTGTGATTTCGGTTGGCTCGGTTTCCTCAATGACGCCCACGCCCTGGTGCCCGTTCTCGGCGTCCTGGTGGCCATTCTCGGCGGTGCCCACGGCATCGTAGCGGACACCTCTCACATAACGCGGCTGCCTTTCACCATCGGTAATTTCTTCCTCGTCTTCGTACCCCCGTGCGCCAGTCATGCCTTCAACACACGCAAACACGGCTCCAAGAAGAACCACCACGTTCCACGCAGTTATGAAATATGTTCCCCCCAGTGTGACAGCTGATGTTGCATATACAAGCAGCGCCCATGTCAGAACATACTGATGAAGGAGGACTGACAGCTTTTGCTGTTCGGGAGCAGGGACAACACCATGTTTCGTTAGTGGGAAAGTGAGAGCGAGGACTGTCGTGAGATAAGCTAGCGACAGGGCAGACACAAACACGAGCCAAGGGTAAGTGTGAATGACCTGACAATTGATTAGTTTGTGCGTGCAGAGAACAGTGAGCTAGACACTCACGAATGGGTTGAGCTTTGCATATCCGACCACCAAAAGCATCTGAAAGCCGACACCAAGCAACAAAGCAATCCAGAATTTGGACCAGCCCCAAAAGCCTTTTAGGAAATATTTTATTTCCGCCGACGTACGCGCCATCAAGCTCGCGCGGTGTACATCGCCATTTTGAGTGCGGTAGTATCCAGAACGAATGCGAGACGTAACTCTGATGATATGCTCGAAGTAGACCAACATTAGGAGAACAATAGGTCCGACGGTAAGCAGGACGATATTCACGATCCGTAGAGTTTTGAGTGTGAACACAATCATTATCGTACCAAAGACTGATGAAAAGAAAAGTTGTAGATTGCGACCAGGGCAGCATAGCAAGAAAAGAACTCACGGTCAAAATACACAGGCTCACTTCCTTGTCCGACGGACTCGCTCCTCGTTTCTCCCTTAATGTCGTTTGCGAGGACGAGACTGGACGACAGTGTTCCCTCCATCATTGCCCATAACGCGTTCTTGCTCTCGTCACTCGTCATACCAGGGATAGAGTCGTACTTCGTATGGTACCTGCTCCTGCCGCGGTAGAAAGCAAAGTCAAGTCCCTTGAGGCCAGCTTGCTCGTAAACTGAGTAGTCTGTACCACTGCGGATAACACCGCGCGCAAATGCGTCGCCAGTGATGACATTTGCGTGTGGACGAGAAGTGCTCCACGATGCCAGAGGAGCGCGAGAAGTCACTCGGAAAAGTAGTGGCCGTCTTGAGGATTGTTCCAGTCAGAAAAGTGATACAGAACTGTTGCTTCGAATGGCTCACCCTCCCGCAGCAGCACCTTCGAGGTTTAAGAAAGTATCACTGATCTTGGCCCACGGATGCTCCATGAATCTGACGAGCCAGTTTAGTGAGTGCAAGACCAAGGCAGAATTACAGCGTACACATTTGCTCCATTTAAGCCGTCCTCTTCGCCATTATTGATGTTGAAAACTACCGTTCGTCTCGGCCTGTTCTCCGCAAAATACTTGACCATGCTCAAGAGTGTCACCACGCCCATACCGTCATCAGTCGCGCCGGGAGCGGTGCTGACGGAGTCCCAGTGCGCACTTAGCAATAGTCCACCGGATTCTTGGTACTCTTTATCGCTCCCCTCGATCTTGACCAATACATTGTCAGACTCGTAGTATACCGCATACGGATTGGTCGAAAGGAGTCCTGAAGCCCAGGACGCATTTGAAGAGAGGTCGAAATCCACCGAGACATGGTCATAGGAAGAAGAGATGTCCTTCACACGGTTCAGGATGTAGGACCGAACTAAAACATTGGCGTGCGAGTTGAAGGGATGCGGGCGAGCGGCAACCTGAAAGAAAACTGAATTGAACTGATTGCATATCCATGAAAACCACGCACCTCATGCAAGTCTCTGTATGCCTGCTGAAAATCCAAGCCCCGTGTGTGCTTGGGCACAGAGGGAAGGTGGTCGGTGACCAGCAGGGTGCTGAATACTACCGCATAGATGACCACTATGAAGATAGTAGTGGGAACGGTGCGAAACGCGAGCACAGCTGATAGCCCGCTAAGAAACCCCATGTGTCTTTCACCTTGAACCTCGACAAGTCAATGCAGAGATAAGTCGCAAACCTGTTATTCGGCTACCAGTAGCTAATTATAACAAGTTGAATGACGAATGCGGGGTAAATATTGATCAATAGTTGTCACACGTAATAGTACATGGTAGAAAGCAACGTTACAAGAAGACCTATCAACATCATTCGTACTAGAACAAGCGAAGCAGGCTATTCAAGGTTACACAGGGCTAATTGATGCCAGGCATCGCATCCTTGAGGTGCTCTTTCTTTAGACATCGCGCAACCACACCACATGTCCTGCATTGCCGTTCCTTCGGCTCGAATGCATCTTCACTGTATCCACTGCCCGCCATCTCGGGGTGTCTGTCACCATGGTATGGCTTACGACCATCACCGTCAAGGTAACAGGGCGGCGATAAGCAGTAGCTTACGCCAAAGTTCGCCTTCGGACAGCGGCAAGTGCCTGATGGGCGATCAAAGTATGGAACACCTGGGTTCACAGATTCAGCAATAAATCATGGCGATGGAAGTCATAAAACATACCTTGCATCTCTGGCTGCGTACAATCTTCGCAAATGGTGTAATCACACGTTGTGCACCGTTTGAAGGCATCTCCCACATCTCTCACATCGTCCTCCTCATCCTCATCCTCATCTGGAGGAGTACCTCGGAATCGCGAAAAGCAACCATCGCATTTTGACGCGGGAATCGGATTCCGCCGGCGCTCTTCCCAAGCCAGTTGTTCAATCCTATCGATGGTTCCCATTGTCGACCCTGGCCCACCCCATTTTTTCATCAGTTTGTCTACCTTGTGTAGGATGGCCGGCTTGATGCAGACGCTGCGTTTGTGCACCTTCCAGTCAACTTTCTGGCACTCCGCACTGGAGAGAACCAATATGTTAGACTACGAGTCTAATAAGTGCTGATGCCTATCACGTACGAGCAGTAGCTGTCCCAACCACCAAAAGTAAGATCAGAGGATTTTATCTTAGGGATTAGTTTGTACTCACATGGTTTTCTGACATTTTGAGCATTGTAGGGGCTTTTCACACTCGATCTTGCATACACTGCAATGGCGCATGATGGCAAGTGAAAAAAGGGTAACGAGCAGCAGGCTCGGTGTCAAAGCCTTAAAGCAATGGAATTCTGGGTTGTTCGGCAGCAGCAGCGCCGCGTGCTGATGCATGATGGGCCGGGCCCTGAGGCTCATGATTTTTTATGTCACTGGTGACCAAAGCGGGGCATCTCCTCCTTCATTAATATTGCAGATCAATATCAACTGGCCTTTATCAGAACGAATGACCATCTTCCTTCTTCTAGAGACAAAATCCTTTGGACCTTGCAGGGCACTGTCGTCTCCGTTCCACCTGGGAGTTCGATATATCAAATCTTCAAATCCCGACAAAAGTCACCCAGGTTCTTGTAAATGTCGTCCTTGACGACAACCGAGGCCTGTTACATTGCCTGCAAGGTGCGCTCAAAGTGCGCATTATGTAGGCCACGACTCATGCTGGCAGAGTCCAGACACAACAGTGCAGAACAGGCAGTTCAACTGACTGGCTTAGAAGACCAGACTTGTACCTCCTCGTGCTTGACTTGGTTTTCTATTTCAGAGTGGCAATCATGAGTTTGGAGCTGTCGTTCATCCGCGTACGTCTGATGCCACGGCTATCTTGCTTTTGTGTGGTAGACTAGAAGAGACTATGTTAATCGTTGTTCCCGTTTGGACTGTTCAACTGCTGCTTGTGTGTGATCCGAACAGGAGTACAGAGAAAACATGGTGGGGGGCGGCTCGTGCAATCGTAGTACTTGAGTCATCAGGGAAGTCATGTACATGACTGTTGGCGTTCGGGTCGTGATAACCGGGTACGGTGATATTGGATCGTGTTATGTACTGCTCGTAGGGCATTACGAAGAGGATGCGTAAATTAGTAATTGAGCCATTGCGGGGAATACGAAAGGGCGTTAATGGTGCAGGTCAGAGAAGTACAAGTGCGTGATGAATAATTCCGACATCTGATTTGAAGGAAATTATACAGTATCTGTGTATGGATATATGACGTGAGGGTAAGAATGATAACTGCTCGGAGTTCTCTGGTATTCAAAACAAAACACATACGTCTACGAAATTTCTATGGTCCTGATGCCCATCGTGTCGTGAACAGAAGCGATGTCCTTGACTTGTGCAAGGATATCACGATCCGAAGCGATTCTCTTGAATTCTCCAGAGTGTTGCCGCATTAACAAAAATGCGGCAAAAGGCTGCGCAAGGCGAACCATTAATCGTAATGCTCGCGAGTGAAACTCCGAATAAACTGGATCATTTTCTGCAGAGGGCCGATCGTGCAACAAAGATCGCACGGACCAATCTGTCACGCTCCGCGTGTCGTCTGCAGCATCAGGCAGCTCAAGCAGGTGACGACTCCATGGACGGACAAGCAAAAACGTTAGCCCGGTGCGCAGTGGCCTGACCCGCGAGAATGGGATGAACTTGTGTTTCGTAGTGATCTGCAGGTCATGGAGCCCGTCCGCCTTGATTGCATACGTATATGTCTCCTGGTCTGGACCAGAGCTCCGCCTGGCTTCTGTGACTGGGAATACAATGCAAGGTAAATGTAACCGGCGGTGGGAGAAACGGGGTGCACTCAGGTAGTCGAGTGTCTGATACAATCTCGAAGTTGATTCTAGAGCCACAGCATCTCGCAGAGCGGAAACAAATAATTGAATCTGATCTTCGGATAGAGATGGCTCCACACATGGCGGAGCTTCGTATGAGGAGATGTCAGCTGGCAGACAACTGTTGAACTCGGAAGGTTTCCCGACCCAGTCCAAGGCAGTAATGTCACCAGACTGAGCTATGATTTCCTGTAGGAGTCGCCCGAGCGCATTATGTTTTTTTTCACCGTAAAGGATAGGGAGTTGGACGCCGAAGATGCCAAATAATGAGTATGCAGTGTCTTCCGGCACGGTGGTGACACGCGTTGATGCCCATTGGAGTTTCTCTCGGGCGTCTCTCATCCCTGGTTGGAAGGCGACAAGGGCACGTGCATCTATGCCCGTCGCATCCTCCAACTCGCCCATGATCTTGACAGACTCCTTGTGGTTGGGGGAATCGTCGCCGAGATATGGAGTCCAATCCTGTTGGTAGAAGCGAATGACTTTAGGAGCGAGGAATTCGGGGACAGTCCATCCTCGAGTGTTCCAAGCGCTCTTCGCCAGCGCGCCCGACTTGGACGAAGGCGGAACATCCGCCAGGTAGACAACCGTGAGCGCTGAATGGTGATACCAGGTGAACATGGAATTCAGCGATTTTTGGAGCTCGACGCTGTTCTTCTGGTCGATGCAACATGTATCAACCCACGCCCAGTGATACCCCGCATCACGAGCGGTTTTGCAGAATAACTGCAACTTCGCGATACTACCACCTGACGTCAACTTGTACACGACCCTGTCCTGGATGTCGTGCAGCAGCGGCTCTGTCCCCTCCCACCTATGTGATAGCATGACGCAACCGAAGTACGCAACCACCGCTTCTGCGATGCGTTTCAGGGGTGGATGCTTCATAGTCAATAACAGGAGCTCCTTGTATCCTGTGCTGGCTTCGAACATACGTATCTGCACTTCTCGGGCACATAATAGCCCAGTAGCAGTGTTCAGTAGACGAAGCGGGGCGGTCTCAAGGTGAACGTTAATGACCTTTCGAATGACACCTTCTGCTTCAGAGACGCCGACATACTGCTCGCGCAGCTCTGAGGAGGCAGTTAAGCAACTTTATTGGCACTTAGGACTTAGGACTTACTTCGTATTTGCGTGTCGGCAGCGCTGTTCAATTTTGAGATCTCTTGTGTGAATAACTCTTCGGCGGTAGACGAGTCCCCCGCGATGAATGCACTGTTGCGGGTGTCCGTGTTGACGGCAAGTATCTGCGACACGAAGCATGCTCGAATTGCATTGTCAGAGTAAAGGATGAAAACATGCCTCTGAATCGGCGACTTGAGCCTTGGAAACAAAAGACGCGAGATGAGATGGTGAATGGGTAGAAAATAAACGAGACAGTACCTTTGATGCTGGTTTCTTGGGAGCTTCCTCGAGCCAAGCGTCCTTGGGTACTGCCCACTCTGAAATCATTTTATCATAACCTCCGCTGAGGATGTGCAAGCCGTCCATGGAGAAAGTGACGCATTCCGCCCAACCTGAGTGCTGGAAGATGGCGATGGTTTGTCGATCTGAGAGCCGCCAGAGACGGACATGGTTGTCATCAGATGCGGAAGCGACGTGGGTGCCCGCAGGATGGATGGCAATGAAGTAGATACAGCTAGTGTGGCCCGTCCAGGGACTACCGACCTGCTTCCAAGTGGATGAATCCCACTCTCGTATAGTGGAATCCCTTTCATCGCCCCCTGAGAGAAGGCGTGTACCATCGAGCGTCCATGCGAGTGAGTAGTTCCATCGTGTGTGACCCTTGAAGATTGCGACGCGTTCCCCGGTCGTACCTGAATTATAAATTTCGATCTTGCTGAATGTTGCGACGGCAAGAAGTTCGCCCGACGGCGAGTACTGAACACACTTGACCTGATCAAGACACTTGATTGGAATTTCTTGCATCTGCCAGGTTTTCGTACTCCACAGCCGCGTCGTTTTGTCTGTTGAACCAGTGGCAAGCATGGTCCCATCGGGAGAAAAGTCTAACCCATATATCCGATTACCACCGGAATGGGCTTTGATAGGTTGGGTGAGAGGTTCCCCGGTTTCCCCGTGCCAAGTGATGACCTCTCCCTCCCCATCACCGCTTGCTATGACTCGCCCATCTCGTGATATCGCCAATGTCCACACCTCACTGCGATGCCCCTCCATCTTCTTCAACAAAACACCTGTCTTCAAGTCCCAGATATAAAGCCTTTTGTCTCTTGAGCCAGTAACCATACGTCGTCTATCAGGGGAAACTACTACAGCACTTACGGAGCTTGTATGATCTTTGAAAACTCGAAGGGGTGTGGTGCTTGGAATCAGCTGCGACATTTTACTGGAGGTTGGTGGTGTTGAACGCGGTTGAGGTAGACTTGGGGTGGAGGGTTTGTGGGTTTCTTCCTGCTTGCTGTGCGTGTGCTGTATGTTTCATGCATCTTCACTGTATTGACTTGCCTCGTGTTTCCATAGACGCCCAGGGAATAATGTGAGAGTTTGCCTCTATTACAGCCATTTGCAGAACGCTAGGCCAAAAAGAAATTCACTACATATATTCGGCAATAAGTCGGGACAGCAAACTTTTAACTTCCTACGGACAATCTCGATCTACAACTCGGATCCGGGATGGGACGATACATATCCAAGGAACGAAAGCAAGTTGCTCTACAAATGAGCTTGCTAAATGTCAAAGACCCAACGATTCACTGGGATTAGTGAGCGATCATTGTGATATCTTCGGAAGATGTATCGATATCTGATTGGAGAATAGAAGTTAAAATACCGCTGTGTATGTAGTGAATTTTTTTTGGCCTAGCGTTCTGCAAATGGCTGTAAGGCTACAGCAAGAATACTTCCAAGTTCCCGTTGTCATGCGTCTTCCTCGAAGGTATCACACCGGCATGATTTCTGCACATCGGTTCTACGTGTATCTCCACACATTCCAAAATGTGTTCCCCTCCCATTCAGTTATGATAAGTGCAGTCGGTACCTCTCTGCTCTCGAATCGGCTGATAGTGCATAATGGGATGACCGCCATTAATGTCTTGTACTGGTTATTTTCCTACACCGCTGCCCTCACTCAAGGATGTGTAAATGCGATCATTCTTTCTTGTCTTCACGGACTTCCGCTTGGTGTTGTATCAGATCAGAAAACCAGAGAAGAACGTTTGACGGTTTACGACGAACCCTATCACATGCGTTGACAACCCTCGAGGGTCTGCGACTCCACTTTCTGTCTCACTGAGTCACAGCTGACTCATTGCCTTTCGCTGGAAAGCAGTCGCCACAGTACGATCTCGTAAATAACTCTCGGGGACACGCTGGCTTCTGGAAATACGCAATGTGCGTACAACATGTCTTCCGAATCTCCTAACAGTGTATCTCATGACGGATGCTGTTCTGCCTGTTTTTCAAGGTCTTCAAAAGTATCGAGGTAACATCTCTAGCTGAGTTGATTCTCGTCGCTGAAGCGACTAAGCCAGCGTTCGCGAGAATTGCCAGAAGACGGGGTTGGCTCGAGACTACCTATTCTTGCCGAGCAGTGATCGAGCTCGGCCTTCAGGTGAGGTAAATGCACGTACCTTGTTCTTTTCAAGGATTTAAGGTCACTTGCGACTTTTGTACTTAGCACCCTGTCATATCACCCCAAGCTTGCTCGGTTCGCTCGGCTACTCGCGGCTGCATTCACAGGGTCCTTGAGGTCCAAGGTCAGACCTGCCAAGATTAAGCATCATAATAACTCCCTCGTTTGAACGCGTCCATTCACTGATCACGCACATGCGATCGAAGTTAATTGGCATTGGCTCGGTTAGATGGATCTTGATTTGGGCGGATGATGGTGCGTGTGATGACGATGTCATCGCTGTCGTAGACATCGATTTCTTGAATGTGGGATGGAGTCAACATCTGGTATAGGACGCGCACTAGGGTACAGTTTAAAAATCATTGTTTTTGACAGCGGTTGAACATTCTAATAACACGGTTGAGAGTCGTAGTCTAAGGCCTGTTGAATATCGTGAAACAATGTGTGTCCGAATAAACTTACTACACCTCAAAAATTCGCGACCGAGAACATCAACTGCCTTGCCACCACCACCCTTATCTTTGACGCTCCCTGCACCACCGGCGTTGTTGACGGGTTAAGACGTCAGCTCGAGGCCTATTGAGGCAACAAGCGGCTATCCGATGCCCTCCTCAATACAAGAACTCTCTTGTATGGTGGAACGTGTTTCTGCCCATGACTATGTTGGAGGGCTGGCCGTTGAACGTTGATGGACCACACATGTATGCATTGCGAATCAGCAATTGTTTCAGCAAGGCTCCGATGTGAAGGAGGACCAATACATTCATATGCTGCGAACAGATCAGCAATTTCTTCGGTTAGCAAGCTCCCACTCGAAAGGATCAACGCACTCACTCGCTACAAACGGATGAGCAATGACTTAGGTTAGCAAGGCTCGGGCTCGACCAACATACTTACATGTGAATGGATTGGTAATGTCTTCGGTCAGCAAGACTCGAACTTGAACGAGGATCAACTCACATTCTACCAACAGATCCGCCAAGTCTCCGATCAGCGAGAATCGAGCTCGAGGGAGGATCAAGATATGTGCGCGTGCGACGAGGGCGTGGCAGCAACCTGATTGGGAGTAAGTTTTGAAGTAGGATGGTTTGAAGGCGAGGGCTCGTGGGAACGAGGAGGGTTCGAGAGAAATATGAGGACCACATTTCTTGGTCCAGAAGTCAGTTAGAAACGCGGGAATGGGTATTCAGAGAATGGAGGAGCAGGTCGGTTGTCTGGAACATGGTATGTATTGACACAGTGATACATGGTCATAATAAAACTACATCGATGAACAAGCGCAGCGCAACAGCATGGCCCTCTCAATCATCGACATCCCACTTGGGAATTGGCAACCGGCGAGGCAGTTTCCTCCAACCCTTGGCTGGTTCAGAGACCTCGGGAACAGTCTTTACGATTACTGACTGCCCTGGTTCGCAATCAAACGACTGGGATGAAGGACTCGAGCTGCTAGAGGTGAGCTCTCGTAGCACTGGTGGGGTAGCCGGTAGGGAAGGTATTCCTGACTCCACAGCCGAGCGCTGAGCAGCACGTTGCTTGCCAGATCGAAGGGAGTTTTTCAAAGCATTGACAAAGAAGGAAGGGGATAGAGGTAACGGTGAAGACACCAACACGTCATTTTGCAGCTGGGCTCTGTCGTATGACCGTAAATATAAGCACAAGTAACCATGAAATAGTGATATGCACCGTTGGACCAGGCTGTCCTTGAAGACTAGTACGCTTCTTAGGGAACGACGGACACTTCACCTTCAAGCGCAATCGATTGAGGGGGCGAGGAGCTGGACGAAGGATGTATTCATCGGTGAGAGAAACGTCACCGAAAGCAGTGAAGGTCTGCCCGTCGTGTTCTGAGTCTGTGGTACTGGTGGTGGCATCGGATTCGACGCCAACATCTGCAAAGAGGCCAGTGAGGCGGTGGAGGCTCACGTGTGGTGCGGTAGAGTTAGGCTACACAAGTTGTCAGTGGACTCAAGACCGAGGAGAAGAGGAGTATACTCACCATTGATAATGATTACTTTGGAGTGGAGATGCTCATCTGCCAGGAAAATGAGCGCATTTATACTGGGCATATCGAGCGTCCACAGGTGAAACTGTGTACCTGACTGGCCGCGGAAACCACTGAACACAATAGTCATCTCTAAAAATCCAGCGGCACATTGCCTGTTCATGTCAAAGCAAAGGCTCAAGCGCTCAAGCATGAAGCAACACAGAAGTGGACTGAACGCGTAAACAAGCATCAACAACGCGGTCGGGCCAACCTTGTCCGAAAGCATGTGTGGTCTTCCTTCCCTCGCACAAAACCACTCGAGAGCCTATGCATAGACCTTTCATATGACGTTTGTATGTATGTGAGCCCATCTCACCCATCACACGCCAATTTACATTCCACAGGGACATCCATCCATTGGCCACCCTATCTCACGTCGATTTTGAAAATATTCTCTGCTTATCGTGTCTCTACTGGTGTGTCCACGCCTTCATATAGTCGCTCAGTTTCGACTCGCCGTCCTGTATAGATGGTTCCGCAACGACAGAGATACTTATATTTGGAGAGACGCATTTGTCATCCACTCCAGCGACATTCCTAACCATTCGCGTAGCACGCATCACCCTCGCTTCTCGTGGCCCCAGCCCAGACAATCCATCACCCCGAAAACCGCCTCTCCATCTCCTCCTCTATTAATATTACAGATCACTAGCCTTTATCAGATGGAACGACTATCTTCCTTCAAATTCTATAGAGCTGGCTGGGGGCGTCGTCTACGTTCCACCTGTAAGTTCAATATATTTAATCCTCAAATCCCGACAAAAGTCACCCAAATTCTTGTCCTTGACCGTCTTGACGACAACCTGTAGATGCGCTCGAATGCGCAATCTACGAGCCACTATTAATGCTGGCAGAGTCCAGACCTAACAATGCAGAACAGGGGGTTCTGCCAACTGGCTTAGACGACCAGAATTATACATTATACGCTCTAGATTTCTATTTCAGAGTGCCATTGCCAAGTTGATATCCACAAAACATAAGCATATCTTGATTCTTGAGCTTGGAGCTGTCGTCCACCACGTACGTCTCATCCTAAGACTATCTTGCTTTTGTTTGGTGTGCCTAGAAGAGACTACTTTGATCGTCGATCCCGTTTGATTTGTTGAACTGTTGCTTTTGTAAGGAATTCAGAAAATCCATGGTGGGGACCGGCTCGTGCAATCGTAGTACTTCAGTTATCAGGGAGATCACGGACGTGGTTGTTGGCGTTCGATGATCGAGCGACTGCGGAGGAAGATTTGAGAGGGTATTGATGGTGTAAGGCAGAGAAGTACGAATACGTGATGAGTGGTTAGTTTCTAACGTCTGCTTCGAAGGAAATTGTACGATATCTGTGTATGCATATATATCATGAAGGTAAGAATGACGACCGCCCTGAGATATCTGACCTTCAAAAAAATACATGCTGCTACAATATTTCTAGGGTCTTAACCCCGTCCATCATGTTGTTAATAGACACTACCTCTTTGACTTCTGCAACAATATCATGATCCGAAGCAATCCTCTTGTATTCTCCGCCGCGCTGCTGCACTAACAAAAATGCGCCGAATGGTTGTCCAAGGCGAGCGATCAATCGTAATGCTCGTAAGTAAGGTTCCGAATTAGCCGACTCCTGTTCTACAGGAGAAACACCGGGCGACTCGTCCCATGGAGATTCGGGCTCGGACCAATCTCCTGAGCTCTCCGCATCACCTTCGAAGTCAGGCAGCTCGAGGAGACAACGATCCCACGGAAGGACAAGTAAGAAAGTCTGTCGAGTAGGCCTTGTCCTTGAGAATTGAATCAATTTCTCGTCGGTGGTGATCAGCAGGTCATGAAGCCCATCTGCCTTCACTCCGTACGTGAAATGGGTTTCCTCGGCTGGACCATGCTTCCGTCTGACTTCTGTGACAGGGAATGTGATGCAAGGCAGACGGAGTCTGCAGTTTGAGAAGCGAGGGGGTTCCAACTGCTTAAGCTGGTTATAAAATTTCGAAGCCAGGTCCGCGGTCATGGTATTTTGCAGCGAAGAGACCATTGTCTGAATCTCATCTTCAGACAAGGATAGTAGTGTGAATGGCGGAGCTGCATATGAGGAAATGTCGGCAGGAAGACAGCTATTGAACTCGGATGGTTGTCCGACCCAGTCCAGGGCAGTAATATCGCCCGACCGAGCCACAATCTCTTGCAGGAGCCGCCCAAGCGCATTTTGCTTATTCTCGCCGTAAAGGATGGGTAGTTGGACGCCGAAGATACCAAACAATGAATATGCAATGTCTTCCGGCACGGTGGTGACACGCGTAGACGCCCATTGGAGCTTCTCTCGGGCGTCTCTCATCCCTGGTTGGAAAGCAATGAGGGCGTGTGCATCTATGCCCGTTGCATCCTCCAACTCATCCATGATGCTGACAGACTCCTTGTGGTTGGGGGAGTTGTCCCCGAGATATGCAGTCCAATCCTGTTGGTAGAAGCGAATGACTTTAGAAGCGAGGAATTCGGGGACAGTCCATCCTCGGGTGTTCCAAGCGCTCTTCGCCATTGCGCCAGGCTTGGACGAAGGCGGAACATCCGCCAGGTAGACAATCGTGAGCGCTGAATTGTGGTACCATGTGAACATAGAGTTCAGTGATTTTTGAAGCTCGACGTTGTCACGCTGATCGATGCAACACGAATCAACCCACGCCCAGTGATACCCCGCATCACGAGCAATTTTGCAGAATGACTGCAGCTTTACGAGACCACCAGCTGCCTCCAACTCGTACACGACCTTGTCCTTGATGTCATGTAGCAGCGGTTCCTTCCCTTCCCACCTATGCGATAGCATGACCCAACCGAAGTACGTCGCCACTGCTTCTTTGACGCGCTCCGTTTGGAGGTCAGGGTGCTGTATAATTGACAACAGGAGGTTCGTGTACTCCGTGCTGGTTTTGAAGGCGCTTATCTGCGCTTCTCGGTCACATAAGAGCCCAGTTCCTGTGTTCAATAGGCGAACTGCAGTGGTGTTGAGTTGAACGTCGATGACCTTTCGAATAACATTAGCTATTTCAGACGACTGGCGCAGTTCTGAGGATTCAGGAAAGAGTTGAGCATCTTGAAGTATGCATTACATAGTGCTTACTCTGTATTTGCATGTTGGCAGCAATGGAGATTCCTTGCGTCAATATCTCTTCCAAGTTCCCAACGCGGGAGGTCGTGTTGATGGCGAGAATCTGCAGCACGAAACATGCTTGATTCGTGTAATACGAGTCAAAGATGGAGAACAAGCCTTTGAATCAGAGACATGAGCCTTGGGAACTTCCTCTGGCCAAGCGTCCTTGGGTAATTCCCACTCTAATATCATATTATCACCACCTCCACTGAGGATATGCTTGCCGTCCATGGAGAAAGTGATGCATCCCGCCCAGGCTGGGAGCCGGAAGATGGCGATGGATCGTCGATCTGGGAGCCGCCAGAGACGGACATGGTTATCATAAGATGCAGAAGCGACGTGAGTGCCGGCAGGATGAATGGCAATGAGATTGATATAGCCAGTATGTCCTTTCCAGGGGTTACCGACCTGCTTCCAAGTGAATGCATCCCACTCCCGTATGCTGGGATCTTTTTCATCGCCCGCTGACAGAAGGCGTGTGCCATCGGGCGTCCATGCGAGTGAGTAGTTCCATCGTGTGTGACCCTTGAATTTTGCGACGCGTTCCCTAGTGCTTGAATTATAAATTTCGATTTTACTGTCTGTTGCAATGGCCAGAAGTTCGCCAGACGGCGAATACCGAACGCAGTGGACCCTGCGAACATTATTACTACACTCTTCAGGCTGCCATGTGTTCGTTCTCCATAGCTTCGTTGTTCCGTCCCATGAACCAGTCGCCAGCGCTGTTCCATCGGGAGAAAAGTCCAATGCGTAGATCGCGCCTGAGTGGGCTTTGATGGCTCGAGTGAGAGGTTCCCCAGTTTCTCCGTGCCAGGTGATGACCTCTCCGTTCCAATCACCACTCGCTATAATTTGCCCATCTCGTGATACGGCCAATCCCCGCACGTCATTGCGATGCCCCTCCATCTTCTTCAACACTACACCTGTCCTCAAGTCCCACAGACGAAGCGTCTTGTCGTCCGAGCCTGTGACCATTCGTCGTCCATCGGGAAAAGCTGCAACTGCGTTTATGGCCTCTGTATGACCTTTAAAAGCTCGAAGGGGTGTGGTGCTTGGAATGAGCTGCGACATATTTTGGTAGTGTTGAATACGGTCGAGGTGGAATTGGGCAGAGGGATTGTGGGTGTCTTACTGTTGCAGAGGTGCATGTACTGTACGTTTCCATTACAGTAATGTGTTAACTTGCCTCGTGTTTGCATAGACGCCCAGTGTATGAGGGCTTGCCTCTATTAAGGCTGCTGCAAGAATACTCCCCGTTATCATATGTCTTCCTCGACGGTACTACCGTATGACAATGGTGTCACGCCCTAATAATGTCTTGTATGTATAATGTATTGTTTTCCTACACCGCTGTCCCCTACCGTTGAGCATCATAATGACTCCCCATTTCAAGGGTTAGTGTGCAGAAAGGTGAAGTCTTCGATAATCCTTATCGGTCGAGAAAGCGTTATCTATAGAATCACTAATCATCCTGATTTTGATCGTATGATAGCGATTACAAATTGACAATCAACCTATCTAGTTCAGTGAGTTACATCAAACGCCCTGGTACTTCCATCACGAAGAAGCATACTTACTACTTGTTAAGAACTCTCATGACCTTTAAAAACTCGACGGGGTGTGGTGCTTGGAATGAGCTGCGACATTTTGCTGGAGGTTGATGATGTGGGTGGACTCAGGGTGGAGGGAATATGGGCTTCTTGCTGCTGCACAGGTGCGTATACCGTGTATTTCGTGCTCCTTCACTGCATTAACCTGCCTCGTGTTTCCACAGACGCCCAGGGCATGAGGGTTTGCCTCCATTAAGGTTGCAGCAAGAATACTTCCCATATCTTCGTGAGCTGCCGCTCTCTGAGTCATTGCAGTCCGATTTGCAGGCTGAACACTATAGAACTGGGGTGGAGGCGCGTATAGTTTGTGAGTTGAGTCAAGGAGTATGTTATTACTAATACTAGTATGATGGTGTTATTTGTGCGTGTGGGTGCGGCGCTTGTTCAGCGCCATACAGTGACAACGATATCTCCTTGGTCACGCGCACCGCAGAATCTTATCAACCAACACCCCCGGCTCCCCTTGGGCCTTTGGTTCCCCCTATAAACAAATGCGGTTCAATTTACTTACACTTGTGAGTCTAATAGACGGCCGAGGCGAACTTCTTCAAATCCTCGGATCATTGCTTGCCATAACTTTGTCATTTCAGCATGGTCAGGTCATGCATTTGTCTGCATCCATACTCAGGGATGACAAGATGAAGCTGGCTCCGGGAACGTGCAGGAAGGTGTTTTCCTTTAACTTGAATTTCGTAACAGTAGATCTCCGTTCTAATTATTTACCAAAAGGTCACCAAGCCTCGCGAAGTGTTGGAAGTATCGCGGTCACATACTTGTCTTGGTGAACTGATCGATATGTTGAATTAAGGGTAAGCATGTGTTGTCGATGCTTTCGGATGGATCTTCATCGTTTCGGGAGAACACTCCAGCAAGCGGAGCGAGGGTTAGGTTAAGTTCTGATTCAATAAGATTTGTCGGTTCGCTCATCCAAGACCTTCCAAGACACAAAGACCTACCATTAAGCGTCATAACGACTCCCTATTTGTTCTAGTATACATAAAGGTGTCTCGGCTTTCGTCACAAAGGACTGCCAGATCATTTGCGAGTCTTCGATAGTCCTTATCAGCCTCATCCAATCACTGATTTTGATCGTACGATAGCGATTACAATCAACCTATCTACTCTAGCGAGTCACAACATACACCCTGGCACTTCTATTGCAAAGAAAGATACTATGTAAGGGCATTCGTCGATTCGCTGGCGAGGAATGTTTGTGTCATCGGCATTACGTTCCTACATAGTGTAACTTATAAAGGTCACAATCGAACATCGATCAGCCCCAAAGCTAATAACGCCTCTCCCTCCAGTTTACGTCCACGACGATCAATCTCAACCTACTTGATGGCAGTACGTGTCACCTATTGATCAAACCGTCACTAACCTCCCTCGCATCCATAGGCAGCAACTCACTCTACCTCTGAGGTGCGCCCTCACAAGGGTTGTAAATCATGAGACGATAATTGTCTGACTTGCCGAACGCAGGCGGCACTGAGTCCCACAAAAGGCTGAACTGATAAAATCCACAGCGAAAACATCGTCAAGACCGTGTTCGAGATTACCACCGGCAACACCGATATGAAGGTCATTCTAGCAGAAGTGTATGGCACTCAATATCTGTTTTTCTCTGAACGACTTTTATTTTTGGAATAGTTTGACTGATGTGGGAAGTGTAGTTACCCCGCCAACGGGTAAGGAAGAACTTTGGAAATAGATGGACGTTGATATCACGAAGGTGCAGGCGAATCTGTTCTGATATATCTAATATGCAGTATCACACTCTAAACGTCGTAAACACATCTGTGATGGTAGAATCTAGACATGAAGACACAATGGGCTTTTGTTCTTGTACCATGCATCTCCGTGGCCACGACGAGGGGCAGTTAAGTGTTACAGGTTGCAGCTATATAGTTGTGTCACGAGCTCTCCCCAGCCCAGGTTGAGGGGTCAACGTGCTTGATGGTGTCATCGCAGTCGTAGACATCGTTATAATTCAAATTATATTCGAATATGACGAGCGGTATGGAGATGTACACTGTCAAGAGGAGCAGGTCAGGCGATTACAAGTTGATTATGCAAGATGCCCCTCGCGCACCACCGTCTTGAAAATGGGTATGTATGATACAGCACGGTTACAGTACAACTACATTGATGAACAAGAGGCGCGAACCTCTCAATCATCGACGTCCCGATTCGGAATTGGCAACCTGGGAGGTAGTTTCTTCCAACCGTTGGCTGGTTCAGGAACATCGGCGACGGAAGGAACCGCCTTCGCGATAACTGACTGCCCCTGTTCGCAGTCGTATGAAGTACTGGAGCTACGCTCTCCTGACCCTGGGGAGGCAGTCGCACGAGGTCCGGTTTCTGATTCAACAGCGTCTAATTGTGAGCGCTGAGTAGCACGTTGCTTGCCCGATCGAAGAGAGTTCTTCAAAGCATCGACAAAGAAGGAAGGGGATAGATGTGACGGTGAAGACACCAATGGTTTATTCTTTAAGAATTTGCTAGCCGGGCTCTGTCGTATGACCGTAAATACGAGCACAAGTAACCATATCATAGCGATACGCACCATTAGACCGAACTCCCCTTCTTTAAAATTCGTATGCTTCATAGGGAACGACGGACGCCTGACCTTCAAGCGCAATCGATTAAGGGGGCGAGGAGGTGAGCGAATGATTCTTCGGAAACATCACTGAAAGCAGTGAGGGTGTGCTGGTCTTCTGAGTCTGTGGTGGTATCGGACTCGGCGGGAGCGTCTGCAAAGAGGCCAGGGCAATGGTATAGGCTCACGTGCAGTGTAGTAGAGTTAGACTAAACAAGTTTTCAGCGGAGAAGATGGAGGGGAGGATGAATATGCTCACCATTGATTACTTTGAAGTGGGGATGCTTATCTGCCAGGAAATTCTGCGCATTTATACTGGGCATCTCAAGCGTCCACAGGTAAACTGTGTAAGTGACTGGCCACAGAAATCATCGAACACAATAATTATACCCTCTGCAAATCCAGCAGCATCGCTCGGAATCATCAATTGCTTTGTTCTCGTCAAAGCAAAGGCTCAAGCGAAGTGTGGGAAACGCGTAAACAAGCATCAACAACGCGGTCGATGTGCTCCCGTCTACTCAATCGCGGTTCACTGTCCCTACTAGACTCGTACCTGCTCCTCGATGGCCTCGCCTTCTCTGCAAATCTTCTCGATAACAAGGACCTCCTCCACAATCCCCTCGCACTTGCACTCGAAAGCATGCGCGGTCGCCCCTCCGACTAAAAGGTACAGAATCACTCAAGAACTTGTGCATAGACAGTTCAGATGACGTTTGTATGTATGTGAGCCATTCATACCCCATCACACACCCACTCACAACCTACAGGGACATCCATCCATCCGCTACCCTATCTCGCATCTACTTTGAAAACATACTCTGCTTATCACGTCTCTCTCCTGAGGGACGGACGGAGATAGGTGTGCATATCGCCTTGGGAGATACTGGTGTGTTCGCATTCTTTCACTTGATTCCCACTCACCATGACTCATAGATGGTCCCGCAACGATCGAAATGCTCATATTTGGAGAGACTCATTCATTGTCTACCTCGACTACTCCATCCCTAACCATCCGTGTAGCACGTATCACCCCCGCTACCCGTGGCCCCTGCCCAGACGACCCCGCACCCCGAAAACCGCCTCTTCACCTTCTCACCAGCAAATGGACCATCGGAGAACTCGCAGCAAACACTAGGATAAAAGTCGATGCTGCGAATGGAAAAGGAGAGGGTTCGGAAGTGGTGAGACGGGCGAAGGAAGTGATGTTGCATTTACCGAATTCGAAACTGCGAGGGCGGGGGGAGGACAGACAAGGAAATAGGTGGTATATTCAAAGTGCCCGCTCCCCCGCAAAGAAAACCAGCCATGTAGCGGATGGAGACGTCTTCGGACCCGTAAGCGATTCTAAAGGTAAAACCCGCGCAGTAGACGAGGAAATCAGCGATATAGAGCAGGAGAATAAATATTGTTTGTCCTTCCCTCGTCCTACGCATCTGTGCACCCAACATTGCACTCCACAGATCATCAAGAAATTCACCGTCAGACGCCTTGACGCAGTCGGCGTATCGAAGGCGCATCTGGAGTTTAAGGATATATTTGGGTTCGTGTATCGTGGTACGGCGTTCGCTCTCGTATGTAATTATTTTCGTCTTTGTGACCGCGTACTTATTATTGTCTCAGACCATCTTCCTTCTAGAGACAAAATCCTTTGAACCTTGGAGGGCACTGTCGTCTCCGTTCCACCTGGGAGTTCGATATATCAAATCCTCAAATCCCGACAAAGCCCCCCAGGTTCTTGTAAATGTCGTCCTTGACGACAACCGAGGTCTGTTACATTGCCTGCAAGGTGCGCTCAAAGTGCGCATTATGTAGGCCATGACTCATGCTGGCAGAGTCCGGACACAACAGTGCAGAACAGGCAGTTCAACTGACTGGCTTATAAGACCAGACTTATATCTCCTCGTGTTTGACTTGGTTTTCTATTTCAGAGTGGCATATCTTGAGTTTGGAGCTGTCGTCCATCCGCGTGCGTCTGATGCCATGGCTATCTTGTTTTGTGTGGTGGGCTAGAAGAGACTACGTTAATCGTTGTTCCCGTTTGGATTGTTCAACTGCTGCTTGTGTGTGATCCGAAGCGGAGTACAGAGAAAACATGGTGGGGGGCAGCTCGTGCAATTGTAATACTTGAGTCATCAGGGAAGTCATGTACATGACTGTTGGCGCTCGGGTCGTGATAACCGGGTACGGTGATATTGGATTGTGTTGCGTACTGCTCGTAGGGCATTACGAAGAAGATGCGTAAATTGGTGATTGAGTGATTGCGTGGAATACGAAAGGGCGTTAATGGTGCAGGTCAGAGGAGTACAAGTGCGTGATGAATAGTTCCGACATCTGCTTTGAAGGAAATTATACAGTATCTATGTATGGATATATGACGTGAGGGTAAGAATGATAACTGCTCGGAGTTCTCTGGTATTCAAAACAAAACACATACGTCTACGAAATTTCTATGGTCCTGATGCCCATCGTGTCGTGAACAGAAGCGATGTCCTTGACTTGTGCAAGGATATCACGATCCGAAGCGATTCTCTTGAATTCTCCAGAGTGTTGCCGCATTAGCAAAAATGCGGCAAAAGGCTGCGCAAGGCGAACCATCAATCGCAATGCTCGCGAGTGAGACTCTGAATAAACCGGATCATTTTCTGCAGAGGGCCGGTCATGCAACAGAGATCGTATGGACCAATCTGTCACGCTCCGCATATCGTCTGCAGCATCAGGCAGCTCAAGCAGGTGACGACTCCATGGACGGACCAGCAAGAACGTCAGCCCGGTTCGCAGCGGCCTTGCCTGCGAGAATGGGATGAACTTGTGTTTCGTGGTGATCTGCAGGTCGTGAAGTCCATCTGCCTTGATTGCATATGTATATGTCTCCTGGTCTGGACCAGGGTTCCGCCTGGCTTCTGTGACTGAGAATACGATGCATGGCAAATGCAACCGGCGGTGCGCGAAACAGGGAGCGGACAGGTAGTCGAGTGTCTGATACAATCTCCAGGCCGACTCTAGAGCTACAGCATCTCGCAGTGAGGAGACCGATAACTGAATCTGGTATTCGGATAGAGATGACTCCGCGCATGGCGGAGCTTCGTATGAGGAGATGTCAGCTGGAAGACAACTGTTAAACTCGGAAGGTTTTCCGACCCAGTCCAAGGCAGTAATGTCGCCCGACTGAGCTATGATTTCCTGTAGGAGCCGCCCAAGCGCATTTTGCTTGTTTTCGCCATAGAGGATAGGGATTTGGATGCCGAAGATGCCAAACAATGAGTATGCAGTGTCTTCTGGCACAGTGGTGACACGTGTTGACGCCCATTGGAGTTTCTCTCGGGCATCTCTCATCCCCGGTTGGAAGGCGACAATGGCGCGTGCACCTATGCCCGTCGCATCCTCCAACTCATCCATGATTTTGATGGATTCCTTGTGATTGGGGGTGTGGTCGTCAAGATATAGAGACCAATCTTGTTGGTAGAAGCGAATGACCTTAGGAGCAAGGAATTCTGGGACAGTCCATCCTCGGGAGTTCCAAGCGCTCTTCGCCAACGCGCCAGACTTGGACAACGGCGGAAGCTCAACACTGTTCTTCTGGTCGATGCAACATGTATCAACCCACGCCCAGTGATACCCTACATCACGAGCGGTTTTGCAGAATGACTGCAACTTCGCGATACTCAAACCGCCACCTGATTTCAACTTGTACACGACCTTGTCCTGGATGTCGTACAGCAGCGGCTCTGTCACTTCCCACCTATGCGATAGCATGGCCCAACGAAAGTACGTCACCACCGCTTCTACAATGCGGTTCAGGGCTGGATGCTTCATAGTCCATAACAGAAGTTCCTTGTACTCTGTGCTGGCTTCGAACATACATATCTGCACTTCTCGGGCACATAAGAGCCCGGTGGCAGTGTTTACTAGACGAAGGGGGGCGGTTTCCAGCTGAACTTTAATGATGTTTCGAATTACACCTTCCGCTTCAGAGACACCAATATACTGCTCGCGCGGCTCTGAGGAGAGAGTTAAGCATCTTGATTAGCACATGTGACTCAGGGCTTACTTTGTGTTTGCGTGTCGACAGCACTGTTCAATTTTGAGATCTCTTGTGTGAATAACTCTTCAGTGGTAGACATTGACAAGTCCCTCGTAGTGCATGCATTGCGAGCGGTGGTGTTGATGGTGAGGATCTGTAGCAAGAAGCATGCTCGAATTGGGTTATTAGAGTCTTGAAGGGTGGAAACATGCCTTTGAATCAGAGACTCGAGCTTGGCCACCAAAAGGACGCGAGATGAGATCGCGAAGGGGTAGTAGGAAATCAACCTTTGATGCCGGTTTGTTGAAACTTTCCTCTGGCCAAGCATCCTCGGGTAGTACCCACTCTGATACCATCTTATCTTCACCTCCACCGAGGAGGTGCTTGCCGTCCATGGTGAAACTGACGCATACCGTCAAGGCTGGGTGCTGGAAGATGGCAATGGTTCGGTGATCTGAGAGCCGCCAAAGACGAACATGGTTGTCGTAACCTAAGGAAGCAACGTGGGTGCCCACGGGATGAATATCAATGGCACGGATATCACTAGTGTGACCCGTCCAGGGATCACCGACCTGCGTCCATGTCGATGCATCCCACTCCCGTATGGTAGTATCCTGATAATCTCCCCCTGAGAGAAGGTGTGTGCCATCGGGTGTCCACACTAGTGACAAGGTGTATCTTCTGTGACCCTTGAATGAGACACGTTCCCTTGTGTCTGAATTATAAATTACAATATCCCTGTCTGTTGCGGTGACAAGAAGTTTGCCAGACGACGAATACCGAACACACCAGACGCTACCACTACGCTGGATTGGATTTCCTTGTACCTTCCAGGTTTTCGTGCTCCAAAACTTCGTCGTTTTGTCTTTTGAACAGGTGGCTAGCACTGTACCATCGGGTGAAAAGTCCAACGACCGGATCCCATCGGAGTGGGCTTTGATGGGTTTGGTGAGTGGTTTCCCAGTTTCTCCGTGCCAGGCGATGAGCTCTCCATGCACATCACCGCTTGCTATCATCTTCCCATCTCGTGATACCGTCAATTCCCACACCCGATTGCGATGCCCCTCCATTTTCTTTAATACAACACCTGTCTTCAAGTCCCACAAACGAAGTGTCTTGTCGTCCGAGCCTGTGACCATTCGTCGTCTATCGGGGAAGACTGCTAATGCACGTATGGTGGCCGTATGATCTTCAAAAGTTCGAAGGGGTGTGGTGTTTGGAATGAGCTGAGACATTATTGGAGGTTGATGGTGTTTAGCACGGTCAAGGTAGATTTGGGCGGAGGGATTGTGCGTGTCTTGCTTCCGCAGAGGTGCGTGTACTTGTGGATTTTTAGGCTCTGTTCACCTGCCTTGTGTTCCCATAGTTGCCCAGGGCATGAGAATTCGCCTACAATAAGGCCGCTGCAGTGGCAAAAATAGTCTCCGTTATCTACTTTGCTTCCCGACGGTATAACACCCTGTGCCTCTGCACACCAGTCCAACGTGTATCTCCACACCTCCCAAAACGCACCCCCTCGCATTCAATTGTGTTAGTGCAGCCGGTACTTCTCGGTTATCGAAACTGGCTGATAGTGCTTACGGCTCGTCAGTGTCGCGAAGGTCATCTATCCTGGATGGCCGCATGAATAATATCTTGCATGAGTTATTGTCCTACACCGCTGCCCTCACTAAAGGAAATATAGATGCGATCATTCTCCCTCGTCTTATGCGCGAACTTCCGCTTGGTGTTGCATCAGATCAGAAAGCCAGAGAAGAACATTTGATGGTGTACGACGAACCCTATCACATGCGTTGACAACCTTCGAGGGTCTGCGACTCCATTTTCTGTCTCACGGTTGACTCGTTGCCTTTCGCCAGAAAGCAATCGACAACGTAGAGAAGTAGAGTTGCTTCCGGAAATGTACATATAATGTGTCTTCCTGTTGCGCGAATCTCCTGACAGTGGATTTCATGACGGATGCCGTTCTGCCTGTTTTTCAAGGTCCTCCAGCCTTTCAAAGTATCGAAGTAAAATTCCCTAGCTGAGTCGACTCATGTTGATGAAGCGACCAAGCCTTGCATTCGCGAAGCTTTCGAATGGATGGACGGCGGTCATGGTGAGAGCGTACCTAGAAGGTATGTGCAAATTGTCAGAAGACAGGTTGACTTGAGACTACTTATTCTTGCCGAGCGGTTGAGATCTTCAAGTGAGGTAATGCACATACCTCGTTCTTCTCAAGGTTTTAAGGTCACCTTCGACTCCTGTATTTAACATCCTGTTATATGACTCCAAGTTTGCTCAGTTTGCTCAACTACTCACGGCTGCATTCACATGTCCCTCGAAGTCCAAGGTCGAACCTTGCAAGACCCAGACTGTTAAGCATCATGATGCACTTCTCATTTTAAGGGCCAGTGTACAGAATGGTGAAGTCTTTGATATTCCTGATCAGTCAAGAAAGCCTCATCTGATCGCTAATCACGCTGATGTTGATCGTACGATAGTAATTACAACCAACCTATCTGCTCCAGTGAGTCACATCAAGCGCCCTGGCACTTCCATTGCGAAGAAGTATACTATTTGAGAGTATTCCTCGGTTCCCTGGCGAGGACTTCCATTGCAAAGAAGCATAACATTCCTCGGTTTGCTGACGAAGATTGTTTGTGTCATCATTACGTTCCCACAACAGGTGCAACTTATAAAGGTCACAATCGAACAACAATCAGCTAATAATCCCTCTGCACGTTCACAAAGATCAACCTCGAACCACCTTATGTGTGACCTATTGTACAACAATCATTGAACCGTCACTGACCTCCATCGAGCAACAGATTCTACGTTTGAGGTACGACCTTGTGTTGGTTGTGAATCATGAGACAACAGTTGTCTGACTTACTGGATGTAGGCAACAATGAGCCTCCCAAGAGGCTGGACTGACGAAATCACCGATGAAGATGAAGTCAAAGAGATGCTCGAGGGTGCCACCGGCATGACAGATATCAAGGTCCTTCTGCAACAACATTTGTATGGCACTCAATATCTGTTTTCATCTGGGAACAACTTTTATTTTTGGAATACTGGAGCCGGTGATGGAGTTAAAGTTATCAAGCCGACGGGTAAGGAGGAACTTTGGAAACAGATGGACGAAGATTTCAGGAAGGTGGAAGTGGAACCGCTTGATTCATAGTATATCTGATATGCGGTATCACACTTTAAGTGTATACTATATAGGCAGCATCTGTGTGGCGCGCGAAGGAGACAGTCTGGAGATAGGACATTTAGGACATGATAAGGACTTGTGTCATCGGATCCAACAACGAGGGGCAGCTAAGTGCTACAGGTTGCAAATATATAGTTGTGTTGCGAGTTTCCCCCGCCCAGGTTAAAGACTTGCTGGAGGATTGGCAGCGGGTCAACTTGAACGTGTTCGTTCACCGATCACGCATATGCGGTTGATGTTAACTCGCATTGGCTCGGTTAGATGGATCTGGATTTGGGCGGATTACTGGTGCGTGTGATGATGATGTCGTCGCTATCGTAGACATCGATTTCTTGAATGTGGGATGGGGTTAACGTCTGGTATAGGACGCGCGCTAGGGTACAGTTGAAAAATCATTGTTTTTGACAGCGGTTGAACATCATAATAACACTATTGAGAGTCATGATCTGAGGCCTGTTGAATATCGTGAAACAATGTGTCTGAATAAACTTACTATACCTCAAAAATTCGCGACCGAGAACAACATCAACTGCCTTGCCACCGCCACCCTTATCTTTTGACGCTCCCTGCACCACCGGCGTAGTTGACGAGTCCAGATGTCAACTCGAGGCCTATTGACGCAGCAAGCGGCTATCCGATGCCCTCAATACGAGAACTCTCTTGCATGGTGTAACGTGTTTCTGCCCATAGCTATGTTGGAGGGCTGGCCATTGAACGTTGATGGACCACATATATATGCATTGCGGATCAGCAATTTCTTCTGTTAGCAAGCTCCCACTCGAAGGGATCAACGCACTGAGTCACTCGCTGCAAACAGATGAGCAATGACTTCGGTCAGCAAGGCTCGGGCTCGACCAACATACTCACATGTGAATAGATCGGTAACGTCTTCGGTCAACAAAACTCGAACTTGAACGAGGAACAACTCACATTCTATCGATTCGCCAAGTCTCCGATCAGCGAGAATAGAGCTTGAGGGAGGATCAACATATGCGCGCGTGCGACAAGGGCGTGGTAGAAACCTGATTGGGAGTAAGTTTTGAAGTAGGAGGCGAGGACTTGTGGGAAGGAGGGTTCTAGCAAAGTATGGGGACCATATTTATTAGTCCTGAAATCGGTTAGAAACGCAGGAACAGGTATTCAAAGAATGGAGGAGTAGGTCAGTCGTCTGGAACAGGGTATGTATTGATACACTAATACATGGTCATAATAAGATTACATCGATGAACGAGCGCAACGCAACGGCATTCGCAATCATACAACTGAGATGAAGCACTCGAGCTGCTGGAGGTGAGCTCTCGTGGCACTGGTGGGGGGAGGGTGTTTCTGACTCAACAGACGAGTGCTGAGTAGGATGTCGCTTGCCAGATCGAAGGGAGTTCTTCAATGCATCGATAAAGAGGGATGGGGATAGAGACACCGATGCGTCATTCTTTAAGAATTTGCCAGCTGGGCTCTGTGTTATGATCGTAGATACGAGCACAAGCAACCACGAAATAGCGATACGCACCTTTGGACTGAACTGCCCTGCTTGGAAAACTCGTGCGCTTCTTAGGGAACGGCGGACACTTCACCTTCAAGAGCAATCGATTGAGGGGACGAGGAGCCGGAAGCAGCATTTACTCTTCAGTGAGAGGGACGTCACCGAAAGCAGTCAGGGTGTGCTCATCGTCTGAGTCTGTGGACTGGCGGCGGCATCGGAGTCGACACAAACATCTGAAAAGAGACCAGGGGGATGGTAGAGGCTCACGTGCGGTGCGGTAGAGTTATGCTAAATGAGTTATCAGCAGAGAAGATCGAGGGGGGGGAATGCTCACCACTAATGATTACTTTGGAGTGGGGATGCTTATTATCTGCCAGGAAATTCTGCGACATTCATATCGCATACACAGGTGAACTATGTACCTGACTGGTCACGTCCGGAAACCACTGAATACAAGAGTCGTACCCTCTGTAAATCCAGCATCATTAATATTGTCAATTACTTTGTTGGCGTCAAAGCAACCAAGAAGCAGTGGATTGAAACGCGTAAATAAGCATCAACAACGCGGTACTCCTCAGTGCTCACGGCATTCTCCGACAACCGTCTCACCGACAAAGACTTTCTCCAAAACATGAATCCCCTTGCATACTTGCACTCGAAAGCATGCGCGGTTGTCTTTCCCTCTGACTAAAACGATATCTCTCCGACAAAATTGTCACGCGAGTCACGCTATGGTTCATCACTTTTTTTTTAAAAAAACAAACAAACAAACCCATTTATAGTCTCTTGGGGAAACCCTACTATGTCGACTCGTTACAGGGGGTGCACTCACTAGCGCTTGGCCACCGCTCCCGTCAGAAGTTGGACACTATAGAACATGTCATGACTGCAAGGTGCTGTCAGTGGAGGCGCGTTATACTAGTTCATGTGAGTTAGCTCTATAGGTTGTCTGCAGGGGTGTGATGGTGTTGTTTGTGCGCATGGGTAGGAATCCTTCCAGCGCCTGTTCAGCGCCATAATCAAGCATCTAATCGCAACGATATCTCCGCACTGCAGAATCTTATCAACCAACACCCCCGGCTCCCCTTTGGTTCCCCCTATAAACAGGTGCGGTTCAATATAATGATCTACTGACGCTTGTGAGTTCAATGACCGAGGCGAACTTCTTTCAAGCCCTCAGATAATGTTTGGCGATGCTTGCTATAGCTTTGGCATTTTGGCATGGTCAGGTCGTGCATTTGTCTTTGTCCAGATTCAGGGACCCTGACAAGGTGAAGCTTACTCCGGGAACGTGCATATAGATGTTTTTCTGTTACCCGATTCTCGTAACAGTAGATCTCCGTTCTGATTCTTTTTCAAAAGGTCACTAAGCCTCTCGAAGTGTCGGAAGTGTCACGATCACATACTTGTCTTGGTGAGCTGATCGACATGTTGAATCAAGGGCTAAGCCTGCGTTGGCGATGCTTTTAGACGGATCTTCGTTGTTCCGGGAGAACACTCCAGCAAGCGCAGCGAGGAGATCACTTGTGATTCAATAATTTTGACAAGTTGTCGGTTCACTCATCTCAGACCTTCCAAGACCCAGAGACCTGCTCTTAAGCATCATGCCTATTTGTGGTAGTGTACATAAAGGTGTCTCGGCTTTCGTCAAAGAGGACTACCAGATCATTTGCAAGTCTTCGATAATCCTTATCAGCCTCATCTAATCGCTGATTTTGATCGTACGATAGCGATTACAATCAACCTATCTACTCCAGTGAGTCACATCAAACACCTTGGCACTTCTATCGCGAAGAAGGATACTATGTAAGGGCATTCGTCGATTCGCTGGCGAGGGATGTTTGTGTCATCATTTACGTTCCTACATATAAGGTGTAACTTATAAGGGCACAATAGAACATTGATCAGCCAGTCAGATCGATCAGACCCAAAGACAATAGCGTCTCCTCCAGCGCACGTCCACAAGAATCAATCTCAACCTACCTGACAGCAACGGCAGATTCAGGATAAATACTCCCCACAATCTCCTTAAACGCCCTATCATCCTCGTACCTCTCCCTCGTCTGTGCAACGATCACATGCAACACAGGCCCCAAACTGTCTCCCCTCTCATACATATCGTCTACATCGCTCTCGAACGCGGAGGAGATACTGGTGCGTCCGCGCCTTCATACCTTCACTCAATTTCGACTCACCGTAATGTATAGATGATTCCGCAATGACAGTAATACTCATATTTGGAGAGACGCATTTTTCATCCACTTCAGCTATATCCCTAACCATCCGCGTAGCACGCATCACTCCCGCTACCCGTGCACCCCGCCCAGACGATCCGACACCCCTAAAACCACCTTTTCGTATCCTTACCAGAAAACGAACTATCAGAGAACTTGCGGCTAATACGAGAATAAAAGTCATAGCGAATAGAAAAGGAGAGGATCCACAAGTAGTGAGACGGGCGAGGGAAGTGATGTTACATTTACCGAATTCGAAACCGCGAGGGCGGAGGGTTCGAGAAGTACAAGGATACCTGTGGTATATCCAAAGTACCTGCGCTCTCCGCAAAGCAGGGCATCCAGGCAGCGGACGAGGATGGTTTCGGAATCGTAAGCGACGTCAAAGATAAAGCACACACGGTGGACGAAGTCATTTGCGATATAGAACAAGAGAATAAATATGTTCGTCGTCTCCTCATCCTACGCTGCGAACGATGATTCAGCTTGGTTCCGGTGAGATAGGTGACTTCACAATGAACCTGCTTATTATTCATCAATTAGCTACTGTTGTTATTTTCGAACGCACCTTCTATCTTCGGGACCAGCAACACTGTACTCAGGCCCAGCAGGGGTCAGTTCATCCTGTTCATGTTGCTCTCGAGCGCTGCATGGCGTCTCCGAGTTCGGTTGCTGTCAGGGAAGCTGTGGGCTCTGCTGGAGTTAATCAACACAATTTTGAAGTCACTTTACTGCACCGCCTGCGTATGTTTGAATAATTGTGGCAGTCTGGCTGATCTGTTTGTCTTTGGCAAGATTTTAATTCCAGGCAATATATCACCACTGTAGTATCAGTATGTGTACTACTGCTTGTAGGGCATCACAAAGATGAGGCGTAAATAATTACACGGTATCTGTATCCATATATCGTGAGGGTATGAACAACAACTGCTTGGAGATCTCTGGTGTTCGGAATACATACAGTTACAATATTTCGAGGGTCTTGATGTTCATCATGTTGGGGACAGAAGCCACGTCTCTGACTTGTGCAACGATATTGTAATCCGAAGCAATCCTCTTGTACTCCCCACTGCGCTGCTGCACTAACAAAAACGCGCCGAACGGCTGTCCAAGGCGAGCAATCACTCGTAATGCTCGAGAGTAAGGATCCGAATCAACCAGCTCCTGTTCTACAAGAGCACCACCTGGTGACTGATCTGACGGAGGCTCGAGTACGGTCCAATAATCATCATCGGATACATCACTCTCCGCATCATCACTCTCCGCATCGTCTGCAAAGGCAGGCGGCTCCGCAAAGGCAGGTGGCTCGAGGAGACACCGATCCCACGGACGGACAAGGAAGAACGACTGTAGAGTGCGCCTTTCTGGCGTGAACTGAATCAACTTCTCTTCGGTAGTGATCAGCAGGTCATCAAGCCTATCTGCTTTGACTCTATACGTGAAATGAGTTTCTAGGGCTGGACCACGCCTCCGTCTGATTTCTGTGACAGGGAATGTGATGCAAGGCAGACGAAGTCTGCAGTTCGCGAAGCGAGGAGGTTCCAGCTGATTAAGCTGGTCATAAAATTTTGAAGCCAGGTCCACAGCCACGGTATTTTGCAGCGAAGAGACCATCTTCCGAATCTCATCTTCAGGCAAAGACGGCAGGATGAGTGATGGAGCTGCATATGAGGAAATGTCGGCTGGAATACAACTATTAAACTGGGATGCTTGTCCGACCCAGTCCAGGGTAGAAATGTCGCCCGAGCGAGCCACGATCTCTTGCAGGAGCCGCCCAAGCGCATTTTGCTTATTCTCGCCGTAAAGGATAGGGAGTTGGACGCCGAAGATGCCAAACAATGAATATGCAATGTCTTCCGGCACAGTGGTAATGCGCATAGACACCCATCGGAGTTTCTCGCGGGCGTCTCTCGTCCCAGGTTGGAAGGCGACGAGGGCATGTGCATCTATGCCCGTCGCATCCTCCAACTCGCCCATGATTCTGGCAGACTCCTTGTGGTTGGGGGAGTCGTCACTGAGATATAGAGTCCAATCCTGTTGGTAGAAGCGGATGACTTTAGGAGCGAGGAATTCGGGGACAGTCCATCCTCGGGTATTCCAAGTGCTCTTTGTCAGTGCGCCAGGCTCGGACGAAGGCGGAGCATCCACCAGGTAGATAATTGTGAGCGCTGAATTGCGATACCACGCGAACATGGAGTTCAGTGATTTTTGGACCTCGACAGTATTTTTCTGGTCAATGCAACATGTATCAACCCACGCCCAGTGATACCCCTCATCACGAGCAATTTTGCAGAATGACTGCAACTTTATAAAACCACCAGCTGCCTTCAACTCGTACACAACCTTGTCCTGGATGTCGTGCAGCAGCGGCTCCGTTGCTTCCCACCTATGTGATAGCATGACACAACAGAAGTACGTCGCCACCGCTTCTGCGATGTGCTTTGTCGGCAGGGCTGGATGCTCCATAATCCGTAACAGAAGCTCTTTGTACTCTGTGCTGGCTTCGAACATGCGTGTCTGCAGTTCTTGGGGGCATAAGAGTCCGGTGGCGGTGTTGAGTAGACGAGGCGGTATGGTGTCGAGCTGAGTGTTAATGATCTTTCGAATGACACCTTCGGCTTCGGAGAGATCGACATACTGCTCGCGCAGGCCTGAGGAAATATTTAAGCATCTCGATGCGTGTGTTACTTAGAGCTTACATACTTCGTATTTGCGTGTCAGCAGCACTGTTCAATTTTGTGATCTCCTGTGTGAATAACTCTTCAGGCGTTTGAGCCTTGTCATCATGAAGACGTAAGATGAGATCACGAAGGGGCGGGAAATAAACGGGAAAGTACCTTTGACTTCAAGTCCTCGGGTACTTCCCACTCCGAGATGCTCATATCAGCGCCTCCGCCGAGGATGTGATTGCCGTCGATGGAGAAGGTGACACATGACACCCAGCCTGAGAGCCGGAAGATGGCGATATTTTGTTGATCTGAGAGCCGCCAGAGAAAGATATTGTTATCACCAGATGCGGAGGCGACGAGCATGCCATCAGGGTGAATGGCAATGGCAAAGATTGCGCTAGTGTGACCTGTCCAGGCATTACCGACCTGCTTCCATGTCAAGGCATCCCACTCCCGTATGGTGGGATCAATCGCACTCCCCCCTGAGACAAGACGTGTGCCATCCGGCGTCCACGCGAGTGACGTCAAGTTTTGACCTTTCAACCTTACGACGCATTCCCTGGTGCCAGAATTATAAATTTCAATGAAGCCAGATGTTGTCATCGCAAGAAGTTCGCCAGACGGCGAATACCGAACGCAGAAGACCCAACTACACGGGATTGGATCTCCTTGCAGCCGCCAGGTTGTCGTGCTCCACAGCTTTGTCATGGTTCCCTCGCCCTGTGAACCAGTGACCAGCACTGCATCATCGGGAGAAAAGTCCAACGCATAGATAAAACTGGAGTGAGCTTTGATGGGTTCAAGGGTAAGACGTTCCGTAGTTTCTCCGTGCCAGGCGATCACCTCCCCACTCTGATCACCGCTTGCTATCAATTGCCCATCGTGTGATACTACCACTCCGGTCACTTCGGCGTGATGCCCCTCCATTTTCTTCAACATAACTCCGTCCTTCAAGTCCCACAAACGAAGGGTCTTATCGTCCGAGCCCGTAACCATACGTCGTCTATCAGGGAAAACTGCTAAAGCGCGTATAACGTGTGTATGATCTTCAAACTCTCGATCAGGTGTGGTGTTTGGAATGAGTTGCGACATTCTAATGGAGGTTGATGGTACTGGGCACGGTCGAGGTGGACTTGGGTGGAGGAATTGTGGGCGTCTGGCTGCTGCACAGGTGCGTGCACTGCGCGCTCACAGGCTGCATTTAGTATCTTCCAGGCACCACCGAGACAGGGCAGGTTCATCCATTAAGTACATAACGGCTTGTAGCTGTCATCTATAGTGCAGTCGGTACTTCTCGGCTCTCGAATCTGGCTGATAGTGGCAGTGCTTACGGCCGCGAAGGTAAGTATATTGTGCAGGTTATTTTCCCACACCGCTGCCCCCACTCGAGGAAATATAGATGTGATCATTCTCACTCATCTTATGCACGGACTTCTACTTCATGTTGCCCCAGAAAAGATCGTCTAACGATTTACGACGAGCTCCCAATTGCATATTCGAGCCTGTCTGCTGTTCCACGCTCTGTCTCGTGAACCATTCAATGCCGTTCGCAGGAAAGCAGTCAACATAGTGCGATCTCACAAATGACTCCAGATCTCGGAGACACGCTGCAGGCCCGGATATTGCCCATGACGCAGACAGGTGGAGCTAGGAGGGAATGTTTTCCTTCCACTTGTCTGGCTAGGGGTGACAATGTGAAGCTGGCTCCGGGAACGCGCCTATAGGTGTTTTCCTTTTACCCAAATTTCGTAACAGTATATCTCCGTTCTGATTAATCTGCAAAAAGGTCACCAAGCCTTCTCGAAGCATCGAGGTAACATGTGAGTTGATCAACATGTTCAATCAAGGCTAACTCGGCTAAGCCTGTGTTGGCGATGGTTTCGGATGAATCTTTTTTGTTTCAAGAACTCCAGCAAGCGGAGCGATGAGTCAACATTGAACGAGGAGCACACTTCGGATTCAATAATTATGACAAATTGTCGTTTCGCTCATCCAAGACTTTCAAGACCCAGAGACCTACCGTTAAGCATCATAACGACTCCCTATTTGGGCAGCTTTCACCAACAAAGACTGCCAGTTCATTTGCAAGTCTTCGATAATCTTCATCCAATCACTGATCATACTGATTTTTATTGTACAAGTGAGTCACATCAATAACTACCCCGTACGCACTGGCACTTCCATTGCTAAGTACTACGTAAGAGCATTCCTCGATTTGTTGGCGAGGTACGTTTGTGTTATCATTAAATTCCTACATATAAGTGTGACTTATAGAGGGCGCAATCGATCAATGATCAACTATCGGATCGATCACCCAAAGCTAATAACCTCTTCCTCTGCACGTCCACGACGATCAACCTCAACCTACCTTATGGCAGTACGTGTCACCTATCGTACAACATTCATTGAACCATCACTGACCTCCCTCGCATCCATAGACTGACTCTACCTCTGAGGTGTGCCCTCGCAGCGGTTGTAAATCATGAGACGACAGTTGTTTTCTAACTTGCTGAATGCAGGCGGCAATGACTCCGTCAAAAGGCTAGGCTGACAAAATCCCCGACGGAAAAAGCGTCAAGGTCGTGTTCGGGATTACCACAGGCAAGACTGGTATCAACGTCATTCTGGCGGAAGCTCAATGTTGAACCCGAGAGGGTGTAGTTACCCCGCCGAGGGGTGAGGAGCAACTTTTGAATCAAATATACAATGATATCCCGAAGGCGCAAGTGATTCTGTTCTGATATATGGAACAATGCAGTATCGATCTAAACGCTGCGTAAACACATCTGAACCTGCTTCTTAGCGCTCATGAACGAGGCAGACTGGACACTGATAGGACGTGATGAGGATTCGCATCATTATTTTGTATTTATACAATGATACAGCATGGTTATAATACGATTGCATTGATGCACAAGAGGCGTGCACCTCTCAATCATCGACATCCCACTTCGGAATTGGCAACCTGGGAGGCAGTTTCCTCCAGCCCTTGGCTGGTTCGGGGGCCTCGGCGACGGAAGGAACAGCCTTTAAAATGACTGGTTGTCCCGATTCGCAGTCATACGAAGCGCTCGAGCTGCTGGAGGTGCGCTCTCGTGGCTCTGTGGAGGCAGTTACATGAGGTCCGGTTTCTGGCTCGACAGCGTCTAATTGTGAGCGCTGAGTAGCACGTCGCTTGCCAGATCGAAGAGAGTTCTTCAAAGCATCGACAAAGAAGGAAGGGGATAGAGGTGACGGTGAAGAAATCAATAGTTTATTCTTCAAGAATTTTCCAGCCGGGCTCTGTCGTATGACCGTAAATACGAGCACAAGTAACCATGTCATAGCGATACGCACCTTTAGATCGAACTGCCCTTCTTGAAGACTTGTACGCTTCATAGGGAACGACGGACGCCTGACCTTCAAGCGCAATCGATTAAGGGGGCGATGAGGTGAGCGAATGATTTGCTCTTCGGAAACATCGCCGAAAGCAGTAAGGGTGTGCTCGTCTTCTGAGTCTGTGGTGGCATCGGACTCGGCGGGAGCGTCTGCAGAGAGGCTAGGGGGATTGTATAGGCTCACGTGCAGTGTAGTAGAGTTAGGCTAAACGAGTTGTCAGCGGAGAAGATGGAGGGGAAGATGAATATGCTCACCATTGAACTTTGGAGTGGGGATGCTTATCTGCCAGGAAATTCTGCGCATTTATACTGGGCATCTCAAGCATCCACAGGTAAACTGTGTAAGTAACTGGCCACAGAAATCATCGAACACAATAATTATACCCTCTGCAAATCTAGTAGCATCGCTCGGAATCGTCAATTGCTTTGTTCACGTCAAAGCAAAGTGTGGATGATTGAAACGCGTAAACAAGCATCAACAACGCGGTCGATGTGCTCCCGTCTACTCTATCGTGGTTCACTGTCCCTACCAGACTCGTACCTGCTCCTCGATGGCCTCACCTTCTCTGCAAATCTCGATAACAAGGACCTCCTCCACAATCCCCTCGCACTTGCACTCGAAAGTATGCGCGGTCGCCCCTCCCTCCGACTAAAAGGTACAGAATTACTCAAGAACTTGTGCATAGACAGTTCAGATGACGTTTGTGTGTATGTGAGCCATTCATACCCCATCACACACCAACTCACAACCTACAGGGACATCCATCCATCCGCTACCCTATCTCGCGTCTACTTTGAAAACATACTCTGCTTATCACGTCTCTCTCCTGAGGGACGGACGGAGATTGGTGTGCGTGTCGCCTTGGGAGATACTGGTGCGTTCGGATTCTTTCACTTGATTCCCACTCACCGTGATTCATAGATGGTCCCGCAACGACCGAAATGCTTATATTCGGAGAGACTCTGCCTACCTCGACGACTCCATCCCTAACCATCCGTGTAGCACGTATCATCCCCGCTACCCGTGGCCCCCGCCCAGACGACCCCACACCCCGAAAACCGCCTCTTCACCTTTTCACCAGCAAACAAACCATCGGAGAACTCGCGGCAAACACTAGGATAATGGTCGATGCTGCGAATGGAAAAGGAGAGGGTTCGGAAGTGGTGAGACGGGCGAAGGAAGTGATGTTACATTTACCGAATTCGAAACCGCGAGGGCGGGGGAAGGACAGGGACAAGGAAACAGGTGGTATATTCAAAGTGCCCGCTCCTCCCGCAAAGAAAACCAGCCATGCAGCGGATGGAGACGTCTTCGGACCCGTAAGCGATTATAAAGGTAAAACCCGCGCAGTAGACGAGGAAATCAGCGATATAGAGCAGGAGAATAAATATGTTTGTCCTTCCCTCGTCCTACGCATCTGTGCACCCAACATTGCACTCCACAGATCATCAAGAAATTCACCGTCAGACGCCTTGACGCAGTCGGCGTATCGAAGGCGCATCTGGAGTTTAAGGATATATTTGGGTTCGTGTATCGTGGTACGGCGTTCGCTCTCGTATGTAATTACTTTCCTCTTCGTGACCGCGTGCTTATTATTGTCTCAGAGAGCCACGATAAAGAAATCACCTGTTAGTGCGCTAGCTTTGGACACCCTTGTGGAGGCACACATTAAACTTTATACCACATCACCTACTTGAGAGGAAGGACAGCTGGACTCCCACTGTTGGAAGACTGTAGATGGTAAAATCAAGGACGAGCATGGAATTAGATACCCGCATAAATCAAGAAGGAACGTCTTCCTTCTGTTGTGGTCTGACTACGGGAGACTAGGACCTCATGTGCCTCAAATTGCAACTACACAGTAACCAGTCGCACCGCGAGCTCACCCTCCTTGCGCAAATAGGAGATATGATGAAGGACTGGCGCTGCGGGTCAATACCTTAATTAACACCTGGTGGATACACTAAGTATAGGGGTAGTGGCCTAACTTATAAGGTCCTCGCATCATCATCGATGCATCGATCAGAGCCACAGCCAATAACATCTTTCCCTCTACACGCCCACAAAAATCTACCTAGTGATGGCAGTATGTATGACCCTATTGCATGCGATTGTCCGAAAATCATTGAACCATCACTTCCATAGACAGCAACAGATTCTAGTACCACCTCTAAGGTGCGACCTCGCAGCGGCTGTGAATCATGAGACGACAATCGTCCAACTTGCTGAACGTAGACGATGACGACACTAAGCCCCAAAAAGGCTGGACTGACAAATTCGTTCATGAAGACAGTCAAAGGAATACTCGTGGAGTCCACTGGCAAGCGATGGCCAAAGGACAGTATCGGGGACATTCTGAAACACGTGCGCGGCCCTCAACATGGGTTTTCCTCTGAGAGATACTTTTACTTGTGGAACTATGAAAACGATGAGGGAGCTATATTAACTAAAACGAAAGGAGGAAATTAGAAACAGATGAACGCTGATTTCATGAAGCTGGAAGTAGAGATGCTGGAGCCACTCAAGTACTCATCTGGTAAGTACTATATCACACTCTAAGCGTGTACCATGTAAACACATCTACGATGTTAAACCCGTCGATGATGTGCTACCCAAGGTCATACATGACCAGATAATACTACTATCATAAAAAGCGCAGGACAGAAAGTGGACGGAATAAAAACAGTCGATACATATTAATTAGCGTGATAAGATATGCGTCAAGGCTCCAGAGCTGCAGCAAAACCAACGGCGCAAGCACCTAAGCGCCACCCCCTATAACAGCGGCAGCGGCAGGTCCAGGATAAACACTCCCAACAATCTCTTTAAACGCCCTATCATCCTCATACCGCTCCCTCGACTGTGTGACGATCACATGCAACACAGGCCCCAAACTGTCCTCCCTCTCATGCATATCGTTTACATCGCTCTCGAACGCGGAGGATGTGCTGAAACAGTTTAACGCTTGGAGCACCGGGCTCGTGGGGCGCGAAGGGGGGTTGGAGCGTGGTAGTTCGCACAAAGAAGCAGAGGGAGAATGAGAGGTAGACGGAGGTGGCGAGCGCGAGAACATCCGCGTAAGTGTCATCTGTGTTCGAGATGGCCTTCGAGATGGTGTACGATTGGGATTGGGATTAGCACGGATGATAGTACGCGTAACCACGATACCGTCGACTTCTTGAGTGTGTGATTGGGGGACATCAACACCAGACGTAGGAGAAGACACGCGCGTATCTGTCGTGGAAGTAGGAGTAGATGTGGGTGTAGAGGAGCGCGACGCAAACCCTCCCTCCGATTCCAAATCTCCATCTCCCGCCGAAAGAGGAACGACAACAACTTCATGATCTGGCCACACAGCACCCACAGCCGCTCGCGGGCGAGTTCTGATGCAAAGGCCCTGCCCCATTGTCAGTTTGAAAGTGCCTGTTTGAGATGGCGAGGTTTTTTTCTGTAGAATGAATGGTGAGTGTTGATGTTACGAGAGAAGTTGCAAAAATGAAATGAGATATTTACCATGCTGCGCCGCAGCGGGTCGAAACGTTGTGCGTCCATGGGGTCGAAACGTGCAGTATCCATTTTCATGTCTATTCCCATGGCCATGTCTATGTCTATATGCAATGAGACAGATCCAGAGCTATCAAATACCAGCTAGAATATCGGATTGCCCGTCGCGAGAGGAAGGGAACGATGTCATCTTCACCATAGCGAAGGAGGGATTTAAGCAAAACGTGCGGTTCACAGCTGTGGACACAAGTAAGTGTGGAAGAAAAGCGCCGCCACACACCGTGACTGTGCCACCGGCGTTTCTTTTTGGTAAAGTGGCTTTGGCGTTCATCCATCCACAGCCCTCGCTTTGTGTGGTGGTGATGAAAAGCGAGGACATACGAGTATTTAATCCGCGGGTTTGAAAACCTGATCCGCAATAGAATTTGTCGTCCAACCGAGCGGAAGAGGTGCCACGCGTTAGTCGCTTGCTTATCATGAATCAACAGGTCTGTGACCACGTTCTTCCCTCGTGCGGTCGTCGTGCTGACTATAACATGTCTTCTGTCTTCCATGACGATTCGAACCTGTTCACAGATATCCCACGCACAATTCACGTACGAGCTTCGCAATGGGCCTGGGCCGTCGCATGCGCAGCTTGATGGGACCGAACCTGAGTTTGAGATACGGAGAGCAAGGAGGGTGGTGATGCCAAGGGAGCTGGCGCGGTTGGTCGTGGTGAGTGTCGGGGATTGAGAATCATAGAGTCGTGGTGCTTACTGTGACTGTGATGTAGGTGCCACCCAGACACGTGGGTGATTGCAATCGTGTCCAAGGGTGCCAAGATGATGCTGGCACGAGATGACTTGCCTACCCAGTGCAGCGTGGTTACAACGCGTTGACAGCTGAAGACTTCGCTCAGTATAATTTTTTGATTCCTGATGCAGGTTATCGGAATTTCGTATCCACTATTATACAAAGTATTTGTAGCATTGACGTTACGTATAAATGAACGTTCGTTATGATGACTTACGGTTTCGTACTTGTAAAAATTCCTGCCCAACGCCACGGCGTATGTCCAAGCCCGTTAGTTTTGCCCAAAAGTTTAGAGTGTAGTTGTAGATCTTCTCCAGGTTCGGATCCCTGCTGATTTACTACTTGTATCGTGATCCGCGGGCCTTGATGGAAATCAAAGTCCACAATTCTGCTGCACAAAAAACAGCCTCACCCGTTGCAGATTCAAGGGTGTAGTGTTGGAAGAGATGTCCTGCAACCTCCCCGATCGAGTCGATGCTGGAGAGGGTAACAAAACATCTTCTCAGACGCCTCATCTGCACGCATTATCGACTCTCGGTATCGCGTGACCGGGGATAGGGACGTCGGGCACGAGCTACAGGGAGATCGTCTACGAGGTGGATCGGAGGAACTGATCAACCGTCAAGGCCAACTTGGGTGAACAATTGTTTGGCAAAGGCTTCGGATACAAACAATGTTCTAAATTGGGCTATTACAAGTTCAACGCCCTCGAGCTTGCCGGATTTGGACTGGTACGTATGATGATAGCCGTACTTATTATTTCCCGTGGAGTTCCATGGTCACCGAAGACCAGATCTTAGCTAGTCTCCCCTATGTAGCCAGACCATATGACATACTGGGTCCTGCTTGATTATGGATCTGGGCACTGTGGGCACTGGCAGGACCTTGTGTGCTTCGAATCAGATTGCAATGCAGCTATGCAGTAGAACTCACACCTTACGAGAATCGGAGATGCACTGAAGTACCGACGGGTCAAATTTTGTCATCATCACTCGATGACTAGCTCCCGAAAAACCTTGAACTCGAGAAAACTTTTATCAGTTCTTGAACTACTAGTACATAAATGATAGTAGGGGGGCTGGCCATGATGTGGTCGACAAACCCGCAGCCATTCCAACTCCCCACCGGGCGCCACCATCGTCAAGTCAAGTCAACCTATTGAAGATGATACGGAACCTTCTGCGCGAAATGTATGTATAGAATTACGAGGGCGCTTTGAAATTAGGGTCCTTGAACCTCAACGCCTGGACAAGATGGGCGCAATTTGCACAGGGATCCGCAAATACACCAGTCGGTTTGAAATACTCAAACTTGTCTCCCACTTTATCAGGGAGTATCAACTTTGGCTTGAAGGCAAATCCTTGAGCAGTTGCAGCATCGACGCTACCGAGAACTCTGTTGAGACGATGAATATTTCGGGCGCATTAGATGGAAAAGAGAAAAAACTCACGCCTTAATAAACAAGAATGGGATGGTCTCGGCGCAGTGCCCAAAATACTGCGGGTTCGGGCTCGTTACCAAAGTCTTGCCTCGCATGTTTTTGTCAAGCAAGCCAGAGTCGATGAGAACTTGTTCCCTCCTCAAGCGCGCTGCATTCTTCTGCTGTGCAAGCCCTTGACCATCGAGAGTGGCCGATATACAAATGCGTGTAACCTTATCTTTCCCTTGTTTTTGCTCGAACCATGTCATCTGGATCATCCCAGGGTCGTGGTCAAAGGGAAGGTTGACCTCGGTTAGTCGACGCCAGAAAACGGAGTAGAGACACGCGAGGGGGTAATAGTAGTTCTTTGTGGTTGCGGCGGCCGGCGAAGTTCCGGTAACAGAGAAGATCCATCCGACGAGATCAAAAATGGTTTCGAGGCGGAATTCCTTGTGCTGGTACGTAGCATGCAACTCAGAATCTAGAAATATTCTTTTCTTTTTATCGTTGTTGTTGCTGATGTGAGTGAATTGAATAAAGTTAGAGACTACCACTGCGAGCGATGATCACGATCGCTCAGACTTACACAAGCTTCTTGATTGCGTCCACTACCTTCTTGAAACTTGCTTGGGCAGACGCTTCGACATTGTAACCTCCTGTCTTTGGCCCAGGCTTATGCTCGACATCGTCGAAGAAGCCTAATATCTATGCATTGGGAAATTTAGCGCAATGAGTCATGTTTTATCCCACTCGACTCACATCGCCCTTGTTCCAGTCAAACGCAGACTTCTTCCCCTTGACTTGATTCATTTCCACCTTGTTGTTAAACGCTGCTTTAAGGTCAGACGCCGTTGATGCGGCACGATCCATTGACACTGCCTCCATGCTGTGACAATACAGTGTAAGCGCGAAAACGACAAGAAAAACCCTACACTAGCCTTGCCACGATTTCCTGTTGTATTGGAGTCCTGACGTTGAACATTAACACTTCAACTTTTTGTAGTAGGCAGAAGCGCTCGCAGGGTCTAGGCGATTTGTCTTTTTCAGCTCGGATCTTGAATGTCAAGAATCTGTGGGTGGACTTACAATGGCCTACCCACGTCACATTACTGAATACAAAGATGCCATCTTTGAAATAGCCGGTCTGGGGCGTGGCCCTAGACTGACTAAATCTCCGACTTTCTGATCTCCTGGAGGACATCTTTGAAATGGCCAGTCTGGGGCAAAGTCTGTGCCAAAGTGTAGGTGCACGGAAGGCACATAGGAGGCCATCTTTGAAATAGATGGCCTGGGGCCAAGTCTGGGTCAAAGTGTGGGTGCGCGGCGGTCCACTGGTGCCTCCTAGCAGAGTATGGAATTAACTGTTGTGGCTAGGGGAGGAATAGCGATAAAGACACCATGGGGGTTACGATGCGCGCAAATCCACGCGGAAGAGGACAGGATGGGCGGGCACGAAAGGATGCGAGCGGGCGAGACAGACGTGCGAGGAAAACGGCAGGCATTAGGAGATGTATGATGACGGGTTGACGGGACTACGACATGCTGGCGTCATCAATCTAGAATTACACTCCACTCGACTTCGCCGAGCTTGTCGCACACATACGTTGTCCCTGAATTTGGCCCGCACTTGGCTCCATACGTGCCACCGGACTGCCTCAATCGACGAAATCTCCGACTTTCTGAAGGGAAGTTACCCCAGTGATAGTTCCATTTGAAATGAAGTTACTTACGAACCATTCCTCGCCATTTCGTTGTGACACCGGTATTTGTCCGGAGACGAGTCATATCAATGACTACTACTTACGCCCCAGCAGCCCATCCCTCGGTTTTCCGCGAGGAATGTTTGTCGGTGATAAGAGGTCTAGAGCAGAAACGCATTGAGCAAGATACACATGATCATGTAATCAGATTGAAATACCTGGCGTAACTTATAAGGTCGAGTCACAACCGAACAGCGACCAACTAGATCGATCCCAAATTAATAACCTCTTCCTCTACACGTCCACGCAGAACCTCGATCTGATATGATGGCAGTATGTGTTATCGTATGACAATCATTGAACCGTCACTTATCTCCCGCAGACAGGAACAGATTCTGCCTCTGAGGTGCGAGCTCGCAGCGGTTTTGAAATCACGAGACAACACTTGTCTGACTTGTTGAATACAGGCGACAGTGAGCGCCCCAAAAGGCTGGACTGACAAAATCGTTGCCGAAGTCAAAGTCAAAACCATGCTCGCGACTTCCATTGGAAAGCCAGTTGCCACTATCAAGGATATTCTGGAACAAGTGCACGGCGATCAATATGTGTTTAGCTCTGGGACCGACTTTTATTTTTGGAATTGTGCAAGCGATGAGGGAGCTGTAGTCACTGACCCGAAGGGTAAAGATAAACTTTGGAAGCAGATGGGCACCGATATCACGAAGGTGAAAGTGAAGCAGCTTTGAAATATATCTCCTATTCCAAGTGTGTTACTCTACGTAAACACATGTACGATGTTGAACCTGTCGATAATATGAAAACAAAGCGCCCCGATAGTCATACACTACTTACCTGATATATTTGGCTCCCCAAAGACCTTGGACTTGACGACGTCGGCATTCTTGGCATTATGGAGGAGGAGGAGTGGACATTAGGACGCGATAAGGTCTGTATCATCATCTCCACGATCAGATCAAACGAGGGGCAGGTGAAAGCTACAAATTGCAGCTATATAGAGGATCTGAGAATCGGAGTCTCGCGGTGCTTCCTGTGACTGTGAATGCGACGTAGGTGCCCTCTAGACACGCAGCAGGTGCTTGGTATCATGCCCCGGCGTGCGACGATAATACTGCCAGAGGAGATGACTCGCCTACCTGGGGCAACGTAGCCACGAGGCGTCGACAGCCGAAGTGTTCGTTCCAGACGATATCTTGAGTGGTGGTGCTGGTTATTGGTGTTTTATACCCACTATCATAAAGAATAGTTGTAGCATTAACGTTATGTAGCCAATGGACGTCCTTTTATTATGACTTACAGGTTCGTACTTCGAAACATTCCTGCCTCCGCCGCTTTGCCCAGAAATTCCGAGTTGTGGTTGGAGATGCGTCTTCAGGCACGAATCCCTGCTAATATACTTTTACCGCATATCGTAGCATATTCTCAATCCACATAAAATACATATGCTCCTCCGTATACTCGATATCAAGCCAGAAAACATCTACGAGGCAGTTCTCCTCATCAAATCTCGTCTGCACGCCGTGTACGTCGTCTGAACTGACATGGTTCCACCTGCACTGGCGATACCCGAGCGCGCAAGGAGAGGCGCGGTGCCTGTAAGACGCGTATACTGCTTGGATATGTCTTCGAGATGGGTCCTGGGATCAATAACACGTCGAAATACTGGATTCTGATGTCCGGTGCATTTCCACGTCTTTCTTGTGTGTATGCGAGATGTTGATCCAAGTTGCTGGAGCGAGCGCGTCGAAGACTGCGAATGTTGATTAAGCGGTATGTATGCATGAGTGGGATGGAGCTGTATAAGGATACGGAGGAGTCCGAGAGGTATTCGAAGACGTCTGCACTGTGGAGACGGAAGGGGTCTGTGTATCGTCACATTGGGGCTTGTTGTGAGGAGTAGATTGTGGCGTGTTTGGGACGCCGTAGGTAGACGTGTGAGTGGTTGGGGAAAGTGATGTCGAGGGAGAGAGATTCGGATACTGAAGGCACGGGCTAGTATTCTCAATGTTGAGCACAAAACGTACCTTTGGGTTTAGTTTCGGTCCACGAAGAATAGGTTTCATACCAGGCATCTGTATCACCCTCAAACTACGCTGCAGGGTTTACCTGCAAGACGTTGTGACCTTCGCCTTCGATACGCTCTTCTGGTTTAGAATCCTCCGTTGTTCTGAAATGCTCCAACGCAGCCACCCACATCCAGTCAGCAAGACCTATTTTTTGCCGCCTCGGAAAGGTGAGATTTTGAGCGGGTTAAAATCGACGAAGGGCTCCAGGCTCCAGGCAGAAATATGATTGGGTTCTTAGTCCTAGAAGTCAGTTGGAAACGCGTGTACTGAGTATCTGAAGAGTAAGTACTACTGGTCTGTTGTGTGCTTAGTAATCAGGAAGTTGTTTGGCAAAAGCCTTGGATCCAAACAACCGCCGTTCGAGCAAACACACTTAAGGTTCCGTATATTCGACTGACATTTTCAAATACAAAAAGACAAGGATAGCTTCCATCATCGCATCCAACATTCAGTGGTGCTTTATAATTAGCTCCCATCAAACTCTTCAGGCCTCCCTGCGGTGCTCAGACGGCTTAAAGCATGCAATTGCAGCAATCCACCAACGACAACACCTAATTTTGGTGTTGGTGTGAACGATAGTAGTCGGACCCAGACTGAACGTTGGACGCTGATCCCGTCAGAATTGTGCTTTGTTGTCGTGGGGCACGGGCGCGGATTTGAAACTACTCGCCTAGTCGTAGTCGTTACTTGAGTGATCAGGCATGGTCGTGTAAATTGGGTTTCAAGTCGTGATAGCTGAATATGGGATTAGTCCGCGCACTGCTACTCGTACTAAGTATAGAACGGAGGCGGCCTGAATTAGTGAAGGCAAGGGTGTCAAGCGAATGCGGGGTTGTGGGGGAGGATGAAAGGGTATCGATGATTTAGGACAGAAGTACTAGTGCTGCATGAAATGAATTGCAGGTCTCCAGCGTACTTCTGCTTCGAAGGAATCATGGAGATCTATGTATGTATGTATGTATATGTACGTCGTCAAGGGATAAACGAAAACTGCGTTGAAAAAACACTACAATATCTCTACGGTCCTGACGTCCATCATACTGTGGATAGAAGCCCCGTCTTTGACTTGGGCACTGATATTACGATCTGAAGCGATCCTCTGGTATTCTCCGCCGGGCTGCCGAGCGAGTAAAAATGCGCTGAACGGCTGTCCAAGACGAACCATCAATCGCAAGGCTCGCAAGTGAGATTCCGAATTAACCAGCTCCTCTTCTCCAGACGAACTACAGGGCGATTCGTCAGAGTCGTCTAACGGAGACTCGGGGTCGGACAAATCTCCCAAACTCTCCGCATTATCCGCAAAGGCAGACTGCTCTGTGAAGTTAGGCAGCTCAAGGAGACGTCGATCCCACGGACGGACAAGCAGGAATGTCTGCTGAGAGGGCTTTGTCCGCGAAACCGGATTCAATTGTGTCGTGGTGATCTGCAGGTCTTGAAGCCCGTGTGCCTTCACTCTGTATGCCTGATCTCGGGACCGCCACTTGGCTTCCGTAACAGGGAATACAATGCAAGAAAGATGCAACCGGCGGTGCGCGAAGCGAGAAGCACTCAGGTGGTCAAGTGTCTGATACAGCCTCGAGGCCGATTCTGGAGCCACAGCACTTCGCAGCGAGGACACCGATGACTCAATCTCATCTTCGGATAGAGATGGCACATGAAATGGTGGAGCGTTATATGAACTAATGTCTGCTGGTAGACAGCTGTTGAACGTGGATGGTTGTCCGACCCAATCCAGGGCAGTTATGTCGCCCGACTGAGCTATAATTTCCTGTAAGAGCCGCCCAAGCGCATTTTGCTTGTTCTCGCCATAAAGGATAGGTAGCTGGACACCGAAAATGCCGAATAATGAGTATGCAATGTCTTCTGGCACGGTGGTGACACGCGTAGACGCCCATCGGAGTTTCTCTCGGGCGTCTCTCATTCCCGGTTGGAAGGCGACGAGCGCGCGTGCATCTATGCCCGTCGCACGCTCCAATTCACCCATGATCTTCTCGGACTCCTTATGGTTGTGGGAGTGGTCGTCGAGATACGGAGTCCAATCCTGCTGGTAGAACCGGATGACTTTTGGGGCGAGGAATTCCGGGACGGTCCATCCCCGGGTGTTCCACGCGCTCTTCGCCAGTGCGCCAGACTTGGACAAAGGCAAGACATCTGATAGGTAGACAGCTGTGAGCGCTGAGTCGTGATACCAGCCAAACATAGAGTTCAGTGATTTTTGGACCTCAATGTTGTTATGCTGATCGATGCAACAAGAGTCGACCCATGCCCAGTGATAGTCCGCCTTACGAGCCATGTCGCAGAATGACTGCAACTTCACAAGACTGCCAGCTGCCTCTAACTCGTATACAACCTTGCCCTTGATGTCCGGCAGCAGCGGCTCCTTCTCGTCCCATTTATGGGATAACATGACACAACGGAAGTACGCCGCCACCGCTTCCGTGATGTGTTCCGCTCTGAGTTCAGGGTGCTTCATAGTCGACGACAGAAGCTCTTTGTACTCTGTTCTCGTTTTGAAGGCGCTAATCTGCGCTTCTCGGTCACATAGAAGTCCGGTGGCAGTGTTGAGTAAACGCAGTGGGATAATATTGAGTTGAACGTGAATGGCCTTTTGAATGACAGCTGCTGCTTCGGAGGGATTGATGTACTGCTCGCGCAGCTCTGCGGAAAGAGTTGAGCATCATGACGTACAGGTTACTTGTAGCTTACTTTGTATTTGCGTGTCAGTGGCACTTTCCAATTTCGAGATCATCATTTCAAAGGCCTCGATGGCTTCATCGTAGCGCTGGGTTCGGTGAAGCGCTGTATGCTTCACCTCGTATCCAACGTGAGATGAGGGGTTTAGTTCGATAACCTATGTATAGCTAAAGGGAGCATTGGCTACGAAAAGCTAGATGTCATCGCACCTTTTGCGCATCGAGAAGCGCATCGTCCCATAGCCTTTTTTCCAATTTCGCTTTACTGCGATTTGCAAAGATCACGTCGTTCGCAGAATCCATATCGATAACCACAGAGTATAGCTCAATAGCCGTGTCATAGTCACTTGCAGCGAGAGCTGTATCTCCGTTGGCAAGACAGAGCATGCTGCATTCTTGCGTGAAAACTGAGTAAAATGCGGGTGAGAATTCAAGTTGATGTGGCATTACTGAAGACTTGCCAGTCGACCAATCGAGGCAGCTGGCCTTCGTAGCTTCGTCGCACATATCCATCATGAGCTGATGTGATTCGAGGGCTTCACGTATTCTACCTGCCCGTACGAGGGCATCACATCGTTTCTGGTTTGCGATTTGCCACAATGACTCAAGGTCCAACCCAAACAGCTACAAAAAGCATGTGGTGGAGCATGAAAAGGACGTTTCGGTTACATTACATCAACGTACCACCACCAAGTCGTCGTAATATACGAAGTGAATGACCGACCCTGATGAGAAAGCGCCGGAGTGGATAGCGGCAGCAAAATGGTTAGCAGCTTCGTCGTGGCGCGAGCCATTCGATGCATCGACTCCGAGCTGAACACATAGATATGCCTAATGTGTGAATCAGAAAACGGTTTCAATGTACGAAACCTGTGCTTGATTAAGGCACTCACTTCTACGACACGATATGCAAGAGCATCATGATTCGGACAAGCTGCAGCCAGCTGTTGGACAAGCTGCATTGCCTCCTGATGTTTGTTTGCACCAAATAGTGCTATGGCCTGAAAACCGTAATGAAATAAGGAAGCTGCGAGAAAATTTAACATGCCTTAACCAAGAAAAGGAAATGAACGGTTTTTAAATCTTCGTTCGTGAAAATAGAGGCAACGTCAAATGCTGTCCTCGCGTCCCGGACCTGCCCTTTTCCGCATAGGGCAATGCCCTTCGAGATATAACCTGTCAAGGAGGGCTGGATGGTGATGGACTGTGTTACGACGAAAGTTAGCATAAGGAAGCAATGCTGGGTCAGTCAATATCACCTTTATTGCGTCGTCAAGCGCGTGGTCCCAGTCGTGTTTTCGCGCCATGACAAATGAACGATTGGCATACGAGGTGTAGTTTTTTGCATCGGCGTCGATCTCTTGAGTGAATAAAATTTCAGCGCTAGATAAGTCCCCCGCGATGCATGCGTCGCGGGCAGTGGTAGTGTTGACGGAGAGAATCTGTGACGTGAAACATGCTCGAGTTGCATTATCAGAGTCAAGGATGGAAACATGCCTCTAAATTCACGCCCTTGGGTGTCTCCCACTGCGAGATCATGTTATCTCCACCTCCGCTGAGGATATGCCTGCCGTCCGTGGAGAAAGTGACACATGCTGCCCAACCTGAGTGCTTGAACGTGGCGATGGTTTCTCGATCTGAGAGCCGGCAGAGTCGGACATGATCATGAGATACGGAAGCGACATGGGTGCCCGTAGGATGAATGGCAATGTTGTAGACATGGTTATCGTGGCTCGCCTGACAAGGACTACCGACCTGTGTCCAAGTTGATGTATCCCACTCCCGTATGGTCGGATCCATTTCATCGCCCCCTGAGAGAAGGCGTTTGCCATCGGGCGTCCACGCGAGTGCGAAGTTCCGTCCTGTGTGACCCTTGAAGTGTGCGACGCGTTTGCTTGCGTCTGAATTATAAATTTCGATATCGTTGACTGTTGCGATGGCAAGAAGTTCGCCAGACGGTGAATACCGAGTGCACCAGACCCCACCACTACATCGCATCGGACTTCCTTGCATCTCCCAGGTTTTTGTGTTCCACAACTTCGTCGTTTTGTCTTCTGAACCAGTGACCAGCACTGTACCATCGGGTGAAAACTCTAGTGACAAGATCCGATGGGAGTGGGCTTTGATAGCTTGGATGAGAGGTTCTCCGGTTTCTCCGTGCCAGGCGATGAGCTCTCCGTTCAAATCAGCGCTTGCTATCATTTGCCCGTCTCGTGATACCCCCAATCCGTACACCGATCCATGATGTCCCTCCATCTTCTTCAACACTACACCTGTCCTCAAGTCCCATAGACGAAGCGTCTTGTCGAACGAGCATGTGACCATCCGTCGTCTATCGGGGGAGACTGCTACACCCCATATAGCGTTTGTGTGATCTTTAAAAACTCGAAGGGGTGTGGTACTTGGAATGAGTTGTGACATTTTATTTAGGGTACGGACGAAAAGTGGGTTGTTAATAACACTGCTAAGAAAGGTGTGTTATTAACATGTTATTAACATGTTAATAACAGGCACACGGCCGTGGGGGGGTGACATGGTGCTAATAAGTCTATTGACCCCCATAGTCTTTGTGAGTCGCCTTCCGACCTTCTGCTGTTCCTCGCAGATCATTGACTTAGAAGTTTGCAACGCAAATCTTGCAGAGAAGCAAGCTGTTGTCTGACATGGGACTCGAGTGTCTCGCAATGAAGTTTTCAACTTGTTTTCCCTCCCTCTTGCACCAGTCGAGCACTCGAAATGGCTGACATCGTCGACACAAAAGCCTCAGATGATATTCTCATTATTCCTGTATCAGTGCAATCTATTATTCTCCCAGACAAGAATCTGTCTGTCTCGTCATTCCTTCAATTCTCACTCCCGTCAGCTTCAATTACCACTGCTCCGCCATTGTGCAAATACTTTAGCACTGACTCCCCACCTGAGGACAGCTTATATCTCGATTATCTCCGCACGCAGCCGCTTCCCCAGCTTGCGGTTCTGCACAAGCTCCTAGAAGGGGTGCAACATGCAATATCGGGTGGTAGCCGGTCTATTATCTATGCCCATGCCGACATCGAACAACCTTTTCCATTCTGGATTCTGACATTTTGGCACCAAGCCTATACTCTCTTGGACGTCCAAAGCAACTGGCGACAGGCGGAAGCCTTCCTCACCAAACATCAACCTAATGAGTCCCAGCACAACCCCACACTCAAAGGACAAACAGCTGCTGATGTTCGTGAAGCTTTCGTTCGCCAGTTCGAGCGCTATGTGAAAGGACAATACCCTTTTGACACAATGATGGATGCTGGTCAGGACGTCCTCTCATACTGGACTCATAGAAAATGGTTGAACGACAGCATCCAGACATTTCATTCTGCGATCTTGACTCCATCATTTCCTCACCCAAACAATCAGCTGCTCGTCGAAGCCACGAAACCACTGGCAGCTATCTATCTGTGGGCACAGATGAGCAGGAAGAAATCCTTGAAGACGAAGAAGGCACTTGGCTCGATGAGACACTAGCGGCTAAACCGGCGGAGGATTCAGCCTTCGACATTGAAGCAGATGCAAACCTTCACGCACTAATTGTCACCAAGGCCTTGTCTGATGAACACGAGGAAAGTCCTATCAACGGCCTGTGTAGCACTCAAGGTGATGCTACGGAGGATGATGCTGACCTAGAAGGCATGGACAACGAGTGGGACGAATTTTGGTAGTAGCTGTAGCGAAATTTTCAAATTTTAGGTCACGTGACTGTTAATAACATGTTAATAACATGCTTGTTAATAACCCTACGCATCCTACTTGATTTTTAACATAGGTTAATAACAGTTGGATGACTTATCGTCCGTACCCTAATTTTATTACTGGAGGTTGATAGCGTTAAACACGATCGAGTACGACTTGGGTGGAGGGTGTCCTGAGGTGTACTGTGCATTTTTAGACTGTTTCACTGTATTAACCTGCCTCGTGTTTCCATAGACCCCCAGGGCATGAGGGGTTTACCTCTAGACTGGTAAATCTGGGTTTGAATTTGGATGCTGAGCGGAATCTCAGGACAACACGACCTCTAGCCAATGAGAAAAACAGATTTTTTCAACCTGTAGTATAGAACACAAATTACCAGCCGATAGTGTTATATAGATATATCTTTTATGGACTATTAGCCAAAAAGTCCGATACATCATCTACTCTAATTGTCCACTGTCCATGGGGAATGTATCCTACATTCTAAATTACAAATCTTGCTGTATAAATTCACATGTTCGCATTTTCAGCCACCTACTGTGGGAACTTCTCCACAACACCCAAAACATAGCCCATTTTGGGTATTCTCCACAATATCAACCTTTCCCACACCCTCCCCATCCATCCCTGCCTCACCAACCACATCACAATTAGATACAGCTTGCATTTATGTAGTAGTATAGGTTATATACACATAATAGAATATAATAGACCGCTTTTTCTCTTTATTTTTGCACCAATACCTGGTACAGAGCCTCTGCAAGTGTGACATAATAGAAAACATATCAAAAACTGTTTCGCATTTTTGCCCCTCTGGTATTGGGGTACTCTAGCATGTTTAGAATATGTTTGTAAACATATATGTACCGATGGGGATGGGCAGCACTCGGTCAATTTTAAACTCTGCCCATGATTTGCTTCGAAGTGCGTAGAGTCGAAACAAGTGTCCAATAAAAAGATCGACTGACACTACACTACCACAACAATCTGACTGAAAGTTTGTATGGAGAAATATCCGTGGATTAACGAGACTTAGGTATTCTATGGGGAAAAAGTGTAAATGGTGCTGTCCTTGGGAGGATTACTCACTACAATGGCATGAAATGCACCGTTTTTTTTAGTTTTTTTTTCATAGAATACAAGGATGGAGTAAAAAGAATACATTTCACCTAATTTTCAGGTGACGCGGGGGGTCGCACTGCTGGCAACCAGTCGATCTTTGAGCACAGTAATGAGTGTGCTGACTCAGCGCAAAATGATGTGATGCGACGTGTTTCGACACGTCAAGAAAGGGATTAACTGTCCAATGCAGCCCCGATACGTCAAAAGGGACTGCTATAACCTGGTAAAACAGTGTTCTGCAACACAAAAGGCTCATCTTACATGCTTAAACTCTAGAACAACTGTTGAAAAGGAGAATAGTCCTCCTGCCGAGACCTGTACTAGTGCAAGGGACAGCAGTCCGAGTCCTGCAATCGTGGTGCACCTGCGAATTCAACTCAACACACAGTGTCAGAAGACCAAGACATACGAGAGGCGTTACCGCAGTGAGCACAAGCGGGCCTCACAAAAGGACAATGCTGCTGCATGTCTTCAGGAGCAGCTGCACTCTCTGCAAGCTTCGAGCTCCAATATTGCAGCAGGAGCTCAGGCGGCTGAGGCACAGCTTGTGGACACTCTACAAAGTGTCAATCGCCTCAAGAGTCGTAACAAGACACTCACGAAACGGAACCATGCACTGACTATGTGTGCAGCACGTGCATCTGCAGTGAAGCATTACGCCATCGAGAAGACACACATTCACAGCACAGAGGCCACTACAAACTCGTTCGCACTAAAGGAGAAAGGCATCTTCACAGACACTTCCCATGCCATGGTGCGCAATATGGTTGCCACCCTAGATGTACCTATACGGAGTGTTAATGCCACCATCAATGCCGTGGCGGAGGCACTTGGTGTTGAGATCACTGGTTCTGTTAGTGGACACAGCATCCATCAAATAGTGGCTGAGGGAGGAGTGGCTGCTGAGGCTCAACTTGTTGATGAGATGAACATCGCAAAAGGTATAGAGGCTTACCATGATTTGGAGAGAACAATTGTGTCTGAAAATTGCTAAACAGGAGTAACTTTGAGTGGAGATGCAACATCGCATAAAAACATCAATTATCAGAGCCATCACATCACTTACTCGTTGCCAGATGGTCATGCTGCAACTCAGTTTGCTGGTATCCTGCATGAGGTGAACCACAAGAGCGAAACACAGCTTCAGGGGTGGAAGTCACGTATTGAGGACATGTATGACACCTACAATGATGTTGTTGGGAGTACAGCAGGTGCTCTGGATGTCCGTGACTTCCCGTCCAAAGTGAAGGGGATGCTTACCGATCATGCAGAAGATCAGAAAAAGCTCGTTCAGCTCTTTACTGAATGGAAACGATCGTGTGAGTGAGAAGTTTGAGGGGAGAGGGCCCTTGTCACCTTACCTCCAGATGATGTCATACACCTCCTTTGGGAAATGACAGAATCCCTTGTAAATGAAGCGGGTGGGATAGATGGGTGGGATAGGCTTGGCGTTGATGAACAACAGAGCTGCTACTCCAATGCGCATCACAACCTGCTCGTACAAATTGGACAGGAGCAATTTGATTCACTTTCACAGTCTGAAAAGGATGACATCGACTTCTTCATTTGGGCTGGCTGTTGCATGCACAAAGAACTTAACACTGCCAAAGGGGGAAATTCTCATATGTGTGCCTGGTGGATAGACAATAGTGTCGAGGGTCCGGTTTTATTGATGAACAAGGACAACGTTGCAGCATCTTCTGCAGGCTCGTCAACTGCCAAGCAGCGTGCTATCCAGGTTTCGACAGGAGGTGCACAAAAAGTCCTGGAACTTGTGGGTGCAGTCTTCCGGCACAAAGATGACAAGAAGGGACAACAGGATTCACTGCGCTATTATTTTGAGGTTGAACTTGGCTACAGAATCCAATGGCCAGACACAAGCAACACACGGTATCATAGCCACGGTAATGCTGCGTGCGAGTATGTCGTAAATGACACACTTTACCTCACATTCCTTGAACTCGTCCCCCTGAAAAAAGAAAGCCGGACATCCACCAATATCGAGTACAACGTCTACCGGGGTTTCATGTGCCTCAAAACCAAGCAGGAGATGATGTCTTGGGCAACATATAATCAATGTATTACCCACCCATACCTGTGTACAATTCAGAACTCGACAGCCAACATCCTAGACCTTGGACCAATTCACATGAAGGTCATCTCGCACCTTAATCACATCATCAATGATATTGATCTAATTCTCGCACCTGACGCTACTTACAAGACATTGACACTCGATGGCAAGCCTTTCGAGTGCCCTGAAGCATTTTATGCTATTCAACGTCTTGCACTGGATCGCAAAATGTATCCTCACTTCCCTCAACTCCTGGTTGCCTTTTTCCAGGGGGCTCTCGACACGTGGATTCGATTTTCTGCCAAGTTCGCAGCTGGTGGAGCAATCGACAAGTCACCCCCTTCCCAATGACAGATGGCGCACATGAAAACCACCAATGATGACAATGAGGGTGCCCTTGGCACTATCCGCACATCCCTCCACCATGCCCCACACATGTCATTATCGCATTTCAATTCTCGTTTCATGTACAAGAAGAATCAGATGAGCACATACATTGAAAATGTTCTGGATGTTAATTCATGCCAGAAACTCCGCAAAAAGGCTCATGAAAGGGACAAGAGTGGCGAGGAGCGTAAACGGCGGTTCGCGCAGGTCAAGTATGATAAAGAGGTGGTATGGCAGCACCGGGAGCAAGATATCAAGAAACAAGCATGCCGTGATGCTGCAGGAGCAAAACTTGATGCGGTCATCCCACATCTCACACTTGAAGATATCACAAAGCTTCGCACCCCAGAGATAGACCTGCAAATTCGTTGGCATCGTCGATTTGACCCTGCAGTACCGGCAGCCAAACACATACCAACCACGAAACAGAAGAAGGTGGAAGTGCTGCTGGAGGCCGTCAGACGGTATTTGAGTGGTGAGGCAACCCCCGGTGGACATCCAATGTCTTCGCAGCTGCATGCGCTCGACAATAATGCTGTTACATCCCACTTGCTGGAACTAGGGGATGGGGAGGACGAAGCTGAGGATGAATGATGGTTAATTTTCTTGCCAAGTTGTTTGATGTTACCTTATACAGCTGATATTATAATTTCTTTGCACGTGTAGTTGTAATTGGCGTGCGCTAGTCATACTCTTGATACATTCTTGATATTTGCCATCATGTTCGGTAGCATTGTGCTTACATAATGTCACACTTTGTTTATGGGCATTGCCCATCCCCAGTACCTATCCCAGCCCTTATTTTACCTCCTAGAGTGCCCTATATCATGTACTGTGCTGTACTAGCATAAAATAGAAAATAGCTACACATTTTTTGTAGTGCTGCCACAGTCTGGTTCTCCATGGTTCAGTCCATGGTTCTCACATCAGCCAGAACCAGACTGATTTCTGGTTCTCAGTTCTGGCTCCTCCCGAACTGTTCCAAACCCTTGTCAATTCTTACTTTGTGTCATATCCTGTACCTCCGGATCCAGAATTCCGGATCTACTTCATTGAAGTCCGGTCCTCCATCTTACTATTCTGCCCGGTGCTCCACCTTCATCTCTGCACTCACCCCTAACTCCTTTTAGATTAGCTATTGCTCCGGTTACCGGTTATGTCCTATTCCGCTATGCTTACTGATCCATCCACTCTTACTTCATTTCCGACTCCACTGCTTTGATCCGTTATACTTAGTAATAGACTTTCCACATGCTTCATCCATAGCCCTTACCTTTGCTGACTGATTTACCTACATGATACCTACAGTATATAAACCCCTGTAATACTCCGGAACTCCTCAGTTTGAATATCATCTTAGTTCTGCTCATTCCTGCAATCTCCGGACTTGAGTCTCACCTCTTGTCCACCTCCGAGTCTTAGGGGTTAAACCTTAGGACTACTTCTCTGGCTCTACCTTAGAGTAGTCTAACCTCTGTTCAGTTTCTACTCCGGACTTCCATAGTAGCCTTACTCCCTCCCCATATAAACCTTCCGGAGTTCCGCTGAACTCCGCTGACACTAAGTCCTCCAGAACTCCCTGGACTTCTGTTGGACTTCCCCTCTGTCCCCCGGAAATTAAAGGGCACGTCCTCGGGTAAGGGGCGCAGTGCACGAGCTGAAGCCAAAGCCCTTTGAGTAACCTCTCCCTTGAGCACGACCTTAACACTTTGACATTGCTTACCTCGACATCAGACCGACCTTCAGGATTTGCACTGTTGGTAACCTGGTCAGGCTACCTTTAGCCTTTTTGAAGGTAAGTAGTAACCAATTGAACTTTCAATTCTCTCACCCACTGACATATGCTTATTTATGTCACAGATATTTGTTTGTTTAAGTCTCTACATCTTCCTAGATGATTATGATCCTCCACTGGATTTTTACTCTGACTGATCTCCTAGGATACCAATATTCTGTGATATGCTGGTGTTTTCTCCGTGCTCTGTGTACAAAACAAGGTGACGACGACGAAATTGTGAGTTAGTTACCTCCCTGAAAATGTCTCAAGACTCCTGTGCTCTCAATGCTAGTGGCTCCCTCAAGGACACTTCTGAGATCAAGTTCTACAACAATCCTGATGACAATGTTCCATTGCCACAGGTCCCATCAGCAGCATCCATGACAAACACCTTCTCCATTCTACTCAAGGCTGGACATGTCCCAGCAACTGTTGCAGCTGGTTCTCGGTGCTCTGGCCACCCTACAAAGCCCCCAGCTCATGTTCGTGATGCTTACAATGCCTGTTCTTTGTCCTCGGGCACAAGGAAGCATGCATGTGCATTATCAAGTGCTGCGGCAGACCCTCTGGCACCTAAAAAAGTCGCCATGCAATTCTTGTCTCCTCTGGATTCTGACGATGAGGACGACGAGGTTGTCCCTTCTTCTCCCCCTGATCTAGATGAACCAGGCGAACCATCCTCTGATGAACCGATCCCTCAACCGGACGATGACAAGGCTGATGAAGCTCAATCTGAGAGTGGAGACACCACTCAGACAGTATGTACCTCTTATACTCATCATCTTCCTTCACTAACACTCATGTTTATGTTTCAAAAAGTGAATGTACAGCAGATGTCCGTACAATATTCACCTGTGCTTCTGACAGGTGGGTCTGCAACCTGTGCAAGTAAGTTTATTGTCTATTTTTTCAATTGTTTCTAACTTTGTATAAGGGCTGCTGGTGAACCAGTCTCAAGGCACACATTTTGTGGTGGCACTTCAACATTGCGGACACACATTGTGCGCAATAAACGCACTCACTTTCAAGTATACAAGGAACACTGTGAAGCTGTGAGCATCACAATGCACACTTGCGCAATCCCACCTGGTGAAGATATGACTGTGATGCAAACGACTCTTGACACCAGCCTTGTCTTGAAGCCACTCGTATTTACCAAGGAAGGGCTACTTGAATACATCATGGAATTCATCGTGACAGAAGATGAGGTACTTCGATTTTTTATATTTGTATTCATTTGAAGTTCATTGACATCACGTCAGGCAATACAGTTAGTCAATAAGCCAGCATTTCAACGTTTGCTGCAGTATACATGTCCATCCTTAACTGAAAAAGATATCCCGCATCGCACCAAGTTAATGAATACCATCAAATCTCGAGTGATGACTGTGGTCAAAACTATCAAGAACCGTCTGGCAGTGAGTTTTTCCTGCTTATATTGTAGTGAGTCCTGAAACATTTTGTTAGCATATTGACAGTGCTATTTCGATGACATTTGATTCGTGGACATCGATCATTGGTGAACCTTTTTTTCCATCACTAGGTATTACATTTGGAGCCCTCCTGACAAACCACTGCAGTGGGAACTCAAAAATGAGCAGCTTGATTTTGTTCGCATTGAAGGCAACCACAGTGGCCAGACCGTTGGCCATATACTTGTCAAGACGATCAACAAGTATGATATTTGCGAGAAGGTTAGTCTGGAGTCTGTCTTGTTTTAACTATGGATTAACTTTGCCCATAGGTTGGATGGATGACATTGGATAACACTTCAAATAATGACACTGCCATGAGGGAAATTGGAAGAGTCATAAATGAGGATGACAAGGATGGTAACTGGCTTGTGGGTCCCTGTCACATCTGTTGTCAAGAGCACATCTTAAATCTGGCTGCGCGTGTTAAGACCATGCTCAGGGGTAAGGTTGGATCTGAGGGGCTTGGCTTCAGCTCGTGCACTGCGCCCCTTACCCGAGTACGTGCCCCTAATTTTGGATTCGGGAAGTTGGATGAGCAGAGAAGGCGGCCGACCTAGGGAGTCAATCCCCTAGGCCAGCAAACAGGAGTTGACTTGGGTTGAGCCTAAGTCAAAGGACAGAAGAGCAGGGCTTAGGAAAGGTAATATTCAGACTAAAGATCTACAGACAGATGTACATGTGTTTATATACTCTAAGTAAGTAGCATAGCATAGCAGAAGGCTATGTGCTGAATGTACAGAATTACTAGAAGGATGACTGAGACATACATGAAAAGGCTCGGAGAACAGTATGTATGCAACAGATCAGTAGTCACTCCAGTATAGGAATTACTGGTGATCCGAAAGGAGGAACTATGATACTAAATGGAGATAGGGCCAGTTGAGTGGTACCTAGTCTAGGAGTGGACCGGTGAGGTGGTCGGGCAGACTAATAGTCGGGTGAGGCGATACAAGAGAAACTGGAGGAACCAAGTGGGTCGGAAAAGTGGAGATGGTGGAGGGAGTAGGAGTAGGATCGGTCAGACCAATGGAGCAGAGGAGTGGAGCTCCAGATAGGGTCGGAGGGTAGGGATATGGTGTCGGAGGAAATAGGGGTAGTGTCAGAGGGGCGGAGCAGAGTCAGGCAGAGGTAGCAGGGCTAGTCCTGCTGAGATGCACTTTGTGCATTGTTGGAGAAGGAGGGATGGAGTGGACAGAGAAACAGGGGGTCGGACCAATAGTAGGGATGTCTATGAACAGTGTTGGGAGTGGCTGAATTGGGTATATGACAGCACAACACTTCGTTGATGCAGTCGCGCCCACCCCTCAGGCAACAATACTCAAAAAGATCCGTCATGCTATCGATTGTGGTGAGGATGCCGATGTTGACAGCTTAACTGAACAACTCACTGCATTGGAGCATGATCCCGAAGCTATTGTTGAAGATGGTTTTGATGTTGGTGACGCTGTCAGAAAAGCACTGGCTCTCATCGAACAGATTCGCAAATCACCACAAGCCCAAGCATTCTTCAGAAAATCATGTGAGGAAGAAGGTGTTGCCGTTCGCAAGATTTTGACATGGGTGAGAACATGCTGGGCATCCTTGTTCAAGTGCCTCGAGCACTTCTTGTCTCTTGACCTGGTAAGTGAGACATACAGTTACATGTTTAGTATCTAATACCTTGATTTTTTTTCAAAGGCTGTCAACCGCTTCACGCTTCTTGCTGACAAGAGTCACAAAGTCCCAAAGTTGTGCAACAAGTCATATGCCGACTTCAAGCTTGATTGAGCCGACTGGAGAATGATACAGCTAGTGCACAATGTCCTCAAGGTAGTTATTTTTCCATCTGTTTGTTTATCTACTGATTATTTTGACTGATTATAGGAGCCTGTGACTGCGCAACAGTCTTTCTCTTCAGTTGCATACCCGACAGCCTGGCAAACTATACCTATACTAGAATGTCTCACTAATACATGGCAGACAATGGTGGGAAATCTGGAGTATGCACTAATCGTGGACACCATTAGGAAGGGTCTCAAGAATATTGACAAATACTACCAGAAAGCTAGTGACTCAGACATCTACTTTATCTGTTTGGGTGAGTACCAATGTTTTTTTCTCAAGTCTATTTCTGATTTTACTATAGTTCTCGACCCTAACTACAAGTTAGCATATGTTGAATGCCAATGGACTGAGATGAAGGTTGTGAGTGGGAGGGCTCGTCTTGAAGCAGTGGTAAGTACTAAGATGGGCACTTAGTTTGATAAGTATTATGAAGCACTGCCAGGCCCAGGATTACATGTCAAAGAGCCCATGGCCATGTTGACAACAAAAGGCTCTATTCCATATGGTGAGTCCTGGATGCATGACACCATCATGGCACGTCAAGCCGCAGACCATCACACACACAACCCTCATCAAGAGCTTTCCTCATACCTCAATTCACCATTGGAGGAGACAGACAATGTTATGGTGTGGTGGGGTGTAAGTCCACCCTTGATTTCATTTGTTCCTAGCTTACATTTTTGATTACTAGGTACACTTGCTGCAATATCCAACACTAGCTTATGTTGTGCATGATTACCTTGCTATTCAAGGCAGTGCTGTTCTGTCTGAACGCACCTTCTCCAGTGGAGGAATCACATTGACTCTGTGCCGCAATGCACTTGTGCCAGCCACATTTTCGGCACTGCAGTTGATGAAGGCAGCTTATCAGAATGGACATATGTCTGCAGCAGTAGAGGCAGAGGAGCATGCAGCTTGTATGTAATTGGACTAGCTACTCAATGTCATGTACTGTCAATGATTGTTTTTGCGCTTGAAATTTTTTTGGTTTGGTTTGCATTTGAACCAGAGAAAAACTGAACTGAACTGCAAAGAATGGTTCTCAATGGTCTGGTTCTGGGTTTGATGATTTGGTAGAACTGGACCATGGTTTGGTTCTTGGTTCTCACCCAGGAGCCTCTGAACTGGACCAAACCGGACCGTGGCAGCACTAATTTTTTGAGCTTTAGGTATATAGACTTGTAAATATGATCCCCAACATCCCTTCAATAGTATATGCAACATATCACGAGCCTAGGTCAACAGGATCAGTCACTGTGGTGCTATGTGCTTACCCTCTCCTGGTGGTTCACCCCATGGGAATTTTTTTCCTGCAGCTCCAGCCCTCCAGGTTGGTAGGGTGCCTGTTCCTATTGATATCTAGAATATATAAATCACATAGCTGTATGAGAATAGCAACAGAATCCTTCTCTAGAATGGAATATCTCCTCCTGGCTATACTGCTGCATATTTTCGCATTTTTAAGGTTTTGCCATTGCACAAACTATCCAAACTGTTTATAGTTAACTTCTAGTACATATATCAAGTCTTTTCATGGCAAGGATCAGACAGGAATATGTCAGAATATTAATATCAGGGGTATGTCAGGGAGATTTACTGATAAGTAATCTAGGGTCTCATGAGGATACATCTGTGTAATCAGCCACTTGCTATATGGTGGGCCTATACCCATTATACCATCTCTGAATTTGTAGAAAGATCCATTCATATCTGAGTGAGTGATAAGCAAAGTAAATGTATGATTATGATCTGACCATGTATGTAATAGGAGAAATACATGAATATACTAATATCTAGGTCAAATATTTTGTTAAAAATGAGTTAAATAGAATGTAGACTACCTAAATATCCTGTACCACGAAATACTCAGGGGCTGTGTTCCCCAGTATGTATAGTGTATATTGTGATAGTCTGATTATAATATACCATTCTATACCTGTCTAACAGTCCTGATCAGTAACAATAGGAGATATATCCTTGATATTAATATTCTGACATATTCCTGTCTGATCCTTGCCATGAAAAGACTTGATATATGTACTAGAAGTTAACTATAAACAGTTTGGATAGTTTGTGCAATGGCAAAACCTTAAAAATGCGAAAATATGCAGCAGTATAGCCAGGAGGAGATATTCCATTCTAGAGAAGGATTCTGTTGCTATTCTCATACAGCTATGTGATTTATATATTCTAGATATCAATAGGAACAGGCACCCTACCAACCTGGAGGGCTGGAGCTGCAGGAAAAAAATTCCCATGGGGTGAACCACCAGGAGAGGGTAAGCACATAGCACCACAGTGACTGATCCTGTTGACCTAGGCTCGTGATATGTTGCATATACTATTGAAGGGATGTTGGGGATCATATTTACAAGTCTATATACCTAAAGCTCAAAAAATGCATAGCTATTTTCTATTTTATGCTAGTACAGCACAGTAAATGATATAGGGCACTCTAGGAGGTAAAATAAGGGCCAGGATAGGTACATATATGTTTACAAACATATTCTAAACACGCTAGAGTACCCCAATACCAGAGGGGCAAAAATGCGAAACAGTTTTTGATATGTTTTCTATTATGTCACACTTGCAGAGGCTCTGTACCAGGTATTGGTGCAAAAATAAAGAGAAAAAGCGGTCTATTATATTCTATTATGTGTATATAACCTATACTACTACATAAATGCAAGCTGTATCTAATTGTGATGTGGTTGGTGAGGCAGGGATGGATGGGGAGGGTGTGGGAAAGGTTGATATTGTGGAGAATACCCAAAATGGGCTATGTTTTGGGTGTTGTGGAGAAGTTCCCACAGTAGGTGGCTGAAAGTGCGCCTGTGAGTGGCTGTACTAACACCTGAGACACCGCCAAAAAAGTTCTGCAAGCAGATGTGATACATATCCAGAGTAAGATTTTGAATACATCGAACCATTTGTATGCTGTATGGATAATGGACAGTTATATAATAAAATCACAAATAAGAATGAGGATCAAATTCTATCAATCAAATTCAGAGTAAGTTTACCAAAAAGAGGGTGAATTTATTCCAAAATCTGCATATGTTACAGATTGACTGAATTTTTAAAATTTAGTGACAGATATGAAGATGCCTCTGACTTTGCAATTGTTTGTGCATATTTCATGTGACATTTCCGAGGGAAGACTTAACATCAAATTACATATCAGACTTCAGGTCTGCCTCTGCAATAAGCTCGAAAATAAATCTAAAAAATAATCATTATTTGCTGATGTGACAAATGTGTTTACAAATTCAAATTATGAATATGGCGAAGATATGTACTAGTGGCCCTCTGAGTACCCCACTAAAAGGTCCACTGGGGTGGAATACCGCTCATAAAAGTTTTGGGTATCTCCATTGCTGAGAGTGTCAACCAAGGAACTTGTGAAAATAGGGGTGTTTGATTGAGATGGCGAGAACTATATATTGAGTCACAATCGATTTGAACAAAGCAGATAAAAGTTGTGCTGCAATTGTGCAACATACAAGTATTTACTGCATTTGATAAGTAACTCTCCCCATGCATATCATGGGTTTCATCAATGGACGTTGGCAGAATGATAAACATCCTACTGAATGGATAACTACCTGTCTGAATTTTTTCTTGAAAGTCCACCACCATCAAGTTGATCGCCTCCATATTCCATAGAGAGGATCTCAAAGAGTCTTGCCAGTCGATGGTGATGTTGCCCAAACTTGGTGGGCTTTCATTGTAATGAATAAAAGTGTGAACCATTTGCGACAGAGGTGATTGTGGCAAGGGACCAGTCTTGGATCGTAGAAGATGTTTCTCCCATAGATATATCCAAATTGAGCGCTAGGATTGATATTGGTCAGCCCCTATTCACTTGGAACACCCCAGACTTACATGTAATTGATTCTTGATGCCCTGCTTCCCCGGGTGCTTCCTGTGAGGAGAAGAAGGTGTTAGATTGTCGTCACAATCAGGCTCGCTAGCATCGTCATCTTTAGATGACCCACAATGTTTCCAGGCGCATGTGAGAGCAGGTGGAGTGGTGTGAAAGCAGGTAGAGTGGATGCTCTTAATTTCACCAGTTATCCGTTCAATAATTGTTGGTATCATAGCGTCAACTGCACTCCTGAGAGCAGGCACAACTACCTTGTCAATTGCTGATTTACCAACTGTCCCAGATAATTTTCTGTGATGAGCAGCAAGGGCAATGCTCTGTGTCATCCAGAACTTGTAGGAATATCGGACACTGGTTCCGAATGGGTTATAGGGCTGATGAGCGGGAGCAGAGTGGCTGCTGGCACATCTTGATCTATTGGGATTTCATGATTGGCATGGGAAGGTGGCTCATCGTTTATAGGAGCATCGGCCATGGGAGCATCATTTTGTTGAGCGTCAGTGATGGTTATCTGGGCAGTTATCGGAGAAGACGGATGAACAAGTGCAGCAGAGATATCTAGAGATGCTATTGGAATGGATGAAGGGCCAGGGGACGTGAATGAAATGGTAGCAGGAGGCGGGGACAAAGACTCGGTGGGGCCACATGAAGAGCTGGTGAGTGTAGTGGATTGGAGGGAGGAAATATTTAACGGGTGGGATTGAGGGGTAGACTTGGACACATGGTGTGGAGAGTGGCTGGAATGCTGTTCACATGGAGTGAAAGAGGTGTATGGCCTGTATGGCCTGTATGCCAATGAAATATTAAGCCTGTTCTCTAAATTAGCGCAATGTTCTGGCACAGTTGGGCCTTGCGAAACGGGAGTCCCACAAGTGATAAAACTAGAAAAGATTGCAACTTCAAAGTCAGTGCTAGTATGTGCATCCAATTCGGTCACGTACTTGTGGGTGGTCCACCCGATTACAATGAGTGCTGTGGCAAGGTTTTGGGGACTTGGATTGATCTCTGAATTGTCATGCAGGATAAAGTTGTCCCCACGTTGAGCCATAACCACAGGTAGAGAAATAGGTTGGTCGGTCTCACACAATGTAGCATCATGATATACTTGCAACAAAGTCCACAATTATATGGCATCTGCTTGCTTCGTCTGCCTGACAACTAAATGAAACAAAACAAGTTTGAATAAGATTAGATAACAATAGGCCAAGGGGAACAAGTCCTAATAAGAACGCACCTGTCATATACCTGATCCAACTGCTCCAATATTAATATCTGCTCCGCTTTCCGACCACCTCTGCTCCATCCATCGTCTGCTCCATCCAATCACAGTCCACATTCTGCTCCTATGCTTCCGCTTGACTGCCCGACCAGTCCCCTTCTATAACATCTCCATTCAACTGGAACCTCTTTCCCCTTTTAGACATATACTTTCCCCTTCAGTACATAGACCCTTACTTCCGGATCACCAGTAATTCCTCTTACCGCTCAATCACTGATCCGACGTGTACATATTGATATCTGCTCCGACTTATGTCTTCACCTGTGTAAGTACTTACAAATTATATCCTTGGTACATAGCTTTACAACATAGTTATCCTGATTACTGCCTCATACTTAGAAGTATATAACATATCCTGTACTTAGATATTTTCCTCAGTCTTAATATTACCTGTCTTCTTGCAGTTTCTACTTGTGAGAATTCTCAGTAGGACCTTGCCTCGTGTCATATCCCATACCTCCGGATCCAGAATTCCGGATCTACTCCATTAAAGTCCGGTTCTCCGTCCTGCTATTCTGCCCGGCACTCCGCCTTCATCTCCGTACTCACCCCTAACTCCTTTTAGATTAGCTATTGCTCCAGTCACCGGTTATGTCCTTTCCACTATGCTTACTGATCTGTCCATTCCTACTTCATTTCTGACTTCACTGCTTTGATCCGTTACACTTAGTAATAGACTTTCCACATGCTTCGTACATAGCCCTTACCTTTGCTGACTGATTTACTTACATGATACCTACAGTATATAAACCCCTATAATATTCCGGAACTCCTCAGTTTGAATATCATCTTAGTTCTGCTCATTCCTGCAATCTCCGGACTTGAGTCTCACCTCTTGTCCACCTCCGAGTCTTAGGGGTTAAACCTTAGGACTACTTCTCCGGCTCTACCTTAGGGTAGTCTAACCTCTGTTCTGTTTCTACTCCGGACTTCCATAGTAGCCTTACTCCGTCCCCGCATAACCCTTCCGGAGTTCCGCCAAACTCCACCGACACTAAGTCCTCCGGAACTCCCTGGACTTCCGTCAGACTTCCGTCAGACTTCCCCTCTATACCCCGGAAATTAAAGGGCATGTACTCAGGTAAGGGGCGCAGCGCACGAGCTGAAGCCGAAGCCCTTTGAGCAACCTCTCTTTTGAGCACGACCTTAACACCTCATCCGGACACAAGTTTCATCTTATTGTCACCTCCGACTCTTCGCCCTGACTTAGAGCAATGCTCTAAGTCTTCTCCTTACTTCTTCGACCCTATCAAGTGTTCCCACTGCTCCTATCCACCCTCCACACTATCCTCCACCTTCTCCGCTCCGCTCCTAGTTGGCCTGCCACTAGTAGCATTTACCTCCCGACCCTCAAAGTGGACCTAAGTGGTCTACTTGTCCTACCATTGGACAATGTTGGACCCGCTCCAAATTCGGGGCACGTACTCGGCTAAGGGCACAGTGCAAGAGCTGAAGCCAAGCCCCGACCCCACCGCTTCTTGAGCCGGCACGGTACCTAACAGCACCATGAACACTGAATCGTCTAATCGGTAGTCACAATTGGGGGTTAATACATAATGATGGCCTTCTTGTTTTCAAAGACTACAATAACATTGAGATTGATGCCATGCAAAGCGTAAAGTATATGATACTACTACTACATTAAGTCTACATGATAGAAAAAGAAAGTCTGTGAAATAAGGTTTTGAGTCCTAAGTAGTGAATGGGAGAATCAGACTCTGCTGGAGGTACCCGAAGCAGCTAAGTGGTTGAGCGGCTGCCAGCAAGTTCCATCAGAGTTTTGACTGACTCGAATTCACTACTTAGGCAGCGAATCCCTGTTTCATTGCTTTCTTTCCTCCTATCACAGTCATTTACAATCATTATGTTAATGTTTTTACTTATGCAGACTGTAGAATTGTAGACTCATAGACTTATATCTTAAATTTCAGTTTGGATGTGTAGTAGTTTTGTAAACTTATGGTAGCGGTTCTGATCTCCAATTGCATTTTGAAATGTTACGTGAGTCTTGCAAAAGACTGAAGTCTAATACATACCCCGTGTATGCTGTTGTGTAGGTCGTTTTGTTTTGTGCATTAAAGGAAGTTAAATTGTCATACAGACCGAATCGAAACATCAAACACTCCCGCCAAGCCTCACATACCTTGTCGGATCAACTTGATATCATTTTTCATATAGGATACAGCAGGCAAGTTTCTGTGCTTTGATTCCACCACATCCTTATACTTATCTTAAGGTCAAAGCACTTTCCCTATCCCTGAAGGTTATATCGTGGTTGTTGTGTGCCCTAGTTTGCTTGATGGCTATTGTCGTTGATGCGATTCAAACACAGGCTACTGGCTTCCCATATTGTCATAGATCAGAATGTGCATAACTACGTCAATTACCAATTTTCTAGTCCCCCTCTTTCTTGCGTCATTTGCTAACTTTAAATATCATTTGTTGTCTAAGCAATAACTTAGAACTGAGGTAGCGGGCTCCACCACAATGTAATGGACTAAACAGTGGTATTTGTTCTTGTATTTGCTTGCCACTGAGTGCCTAGCGAGTTCTGGAACACCCCAGTGACTTCTGGAGCATCAGTGACTCGGTCCAATTCACTACTTATGGTGCTAAATCTCACTCACTTTTTCTTTTTCTTTCCCCTCTCCCAACACAAGAAGGGGATGAGCCTCTTACGCGGTATCACCATGATGAGCACCTCCACATCTGGGATCTTGCCAACTGTCAGCTCGTCCAGCGCATTTCCTACATGTTGCCTCCAGCCACGCATGGATAATCTCTTGCAAAATGATCTTGTAGGTAATGTCCTGTGGGAAGAAACTGATCTCCCCGCCACCACTTCTTCTCTCATGGATCACATCATCCCAAAATCAAGTATCCACAGATCAGTTTTTGAGAACATTACTTATGTGACTGGAGTGCCGATATTCGTCGATCACAAGTGGCAACTTGATAAACATTGGAACAAGCAGATGCTGACACAGAAACAGAAGCAGGCGCCAGACGACACTGATTCAGATACAGAGGAGTTGGGGACAGATTGCGAAGGTTCCTCTGCGTCAGGGCAGGAAGGTTCCTCCATGTCAGCTGCGCCTGATGCTAGTGATCAGGGCTGGGACTCTCGAGAATACGACCCTAACCAACCAAACAGAAAGCTGACCCCGAAGAGGATACCAGAGCAAAAATGGGCGCGTCTCTTCAATACTGTCTATATGGCCATGCACATGACATATAGGGTGATGTTCCCTCATCACTCACCCATGTACCCTTTTGAACCTGCAGATCGCAAATGCCCACATCGGCAATGGTCACCGGAGTTTTGCAATGCTCCCATTCTGGACGTGACCAACATCCAGAAGCCTGGTGTAGTCCTTCTTGATCGTGACGTTCAACCAAAAAGCTGGGCACACGTCCTCACATGCGTTGAGATCACTGAATCTGATCTTGGCGCAAACCATGACATACCATTGTTCAAGGGGGTGATCACCAAAGGTTATCTCATGATGTGAGAACAGCCCTGGCGTCGGTTCATTGTGCTATTTAGTCTGGCAGCAAACCATCTTCGTGCCCATTACATGCACCACTCAGGCCTGATCATCACATGTCCCATCCTAATCACAGCAAACCCAACATGTCTTGTCGACATGCTAAACACCATGTCACTGGGGAACAATAAATTCCATGGCATGGATTCCACCATGCACATGTGCAATGAGTCCTGCAAGCAAACACAATGTGAAGTGGGGGACCAGGCAATCGGCTGGATAGAGGACAAGGAGAAGCAGAAATTATTGATCATTGCTATTTTGTGGAGAAGCCAGGGTCTTTTCTCTTGCAGGACTATTTGCTATCATGTTCAGGATAAGGATGGAGTTGAATATGCACTGAAGGATTGTTAGGTGGATGAGGCAAAGAAAGATCATGAAGAAAAGGTTCTTGAGATGGTCCGGGGCATTCCTAATGTAGTTACTCTCATTGCCGCTTAGGATGTCGAGTTCGAGGGAGAGCCCGCCTCTACATTGTGCATCCGTAACCGCCATGGGAAATTCAGTCCTGAATTTTACTGTAAATATCACCGACACATGCTTTTGACCCCTTGTGGAGAGCCACTGTCGACATTTTTGACTAAACGAGAGCTGATAAGCACTTTTCGAGACCTTGTAATCGGTGGGTTTCTTCTTTGACTGTTTGAATTAAGCTTGATCTTTACATTGATTTTTTTTAGTGCACAAGGCAATGACCAAGAGGAAAGTCCTACACAGAGACCTTAGTCCCAACAACTTGATCATCTATAAAGGACGTGGCTTCTTCATTGATTTTGACCACGCCCAGATCATTGCGCAATGCAACACTAGTGTTTGTGCACAGGGTACTGTAAGTTCAAGTTCAAAGGTTAATCTTGTATAAGTGGCTGATCCCAATGTTCGAAGTGCACCTTGCTGTACATGTCTATCTACCTTCTCCGTTATCTCCATTCAGCATCTAAACTGACAGATAAGGATCTTGTCGTGACGGGACAGATTGCCAGTCATGATCTTGAGTCTCTTTTCTACATTTTTGTGGAATTTGTGACTACATATGATGGGCCGCATGGTAAGATAATATGCCCAAAGACAGAACAGTGGGCTGATCTATTGGAGGACATAGGCTCCAGGGCCGTTTCGTACAAGTCGGGGCTATTACTCGCAAAGTGCGACGAGGAGTTGATGAACTGTACAACAGCTTACTTTGGCCAACTCAAGTATCTCATTCAGGAGTGGCGCCTCAAATTTCTTCAGGCAGTTGAAGAAAGTTGCGAGAGTGGCATTCATCATGAGGATATCGAGGAGGTCCTTGTGAAATGGATATATCATGAGGCTGCTGATGAGCCCCTTCCAGTTGCTCAAGCCTCGTCATTGAGTCCAGTCAGCATCTTACCTCTTCCAGTTCCTCGTCATTCGAATTGGAAGACTGTCCCGGTGAAGAGACCGTAATGTCGTCAATATGTCAATACTTGCCTTTGTATGTTTTGTAGTATCAAGTTATGTGTCTGCTATTGTGACGCCTCCTACTACCTGCTGCTCGTCAACGTCCCTCGCTTCACGCAGTGCATGCTGTAGCTCATGTAGAAAAAGATCCGGGGTATGCTCTACACTAACTCTGAGATGGCAGTGTGAAGTGGGTCACTTGGCCTGGGAGGTTGCCGGGTCAGTTGAGCCCACATCCCACCATCACAATCATCCCAGCACTACGCTGCTTCTCCAGCCCCTGAATGACAATTTGACATGGAACAAATATCACCTTGTGAAGCATGGTCAATGCCAGCTCGAATCCGCTGGTGAGAACTACTGCAACAAGGATTGACAAGCTCATCCTCGATCAGCTTGTTCCTTCTGCTGTAATTTCCTAGTGGGATTAGGTATAATGGAAGTACTTAATAATAGAGCATATAGAGTCAAAAAAAATAAGGTGTGCACTGCACAATGCTGCCACACATAGCATGGAATTGGAAACATTGATCACTGAAAGCTCTTGGCGAAATACTCACGTGAGTAGAACAATAGAATAAGATAAGAACTGCAAAGCAAAGCAAGGACTGTAATTCTACATACCCTCATAGACAGCGACGGCTTCCTTAACCCAGGGTAGCCTGAAGAAATCACTCCTATGCAACTCCTCAGCATGGATAGTAGCACCCTCACTTGGTCCACTTCCGAGCATGCTTTCCAAGTCGCGAGACTGCGACGCCAGCCACGTCTGTATGAAATTTGCTGGGTCATTGGCGAAACTTTGAAGGAATTGCCGCTTCATGTGTGAGTTATGTAGTGATTGTGCTAACAGCGCGATCTGCATTTCACCAATATTAGAGAAAGGGAGTCAGACCTGAGGGAGTGGACATTTACCTTGTCATCTGACTTGGTGAGGTCGGATATGCTATAGGCTTTACTTGACTGCATTGTCACCATGATGGGGTTCTTCAAGTTGGTGTCCTCCATCTTGATCTCGATATCCCATGCAGAAGGGCGCTCTGGGGGTATCTGTGCTGGGTTGATGGAGGCATCAAATATTGATTGACTAGCTCTGGCAGTTGGTGAAACATGATGCCTTCTCCACCACAGATCTGCAATCATACAATTGGTATGATAGTGAAGAGTCAACAGAATCAACTTACCAGTCTCAAATAATCGTCAGCATGTATTCTTTGACAATCAGTTTTATCTTGCAGGCCGTGTATTTTGATATAATTCCACATAGCCTGGATGATGCCAACATGACTCTCCTCTTTGATGCCCAAGACGTTACCTGAAAGGTGGCATCAAGTTTAGAATTCATGAAGATACACAAGACATACCCAAATCTGGAGCCACTTTATACTGCTCTGGTGTCTGCTCAAGATATATGATGAAACACACTTTCGTCGGCTGGTCTCCAGTTTGCCTTATGATGAACCCATCTAGAGGCAACTGAATGGCTGGAACTGGAGGCCACTGAAAAGACAAGTAAGAACTAGACAATGTTCCCATCTGGATACAAGGTAGGGTCATGGTCAAGCTCAAGAATCATTCATTTTATGAGAGTCGAGAATTTCCGAGGTGGAACCCTGTCTCATGCACGTTGATTTGGAAGCTTCATAGGCATCAAAGCAATGCATTGATGCTTGCTGAAATAGATGTGCCTCTAGTAATCGCCCTTCGACTTTCAGGGACCATGCTGGAATTCACTGCCCCATCTTGAAGTTTACTCCCTCAGCAGCTTCACCAGTTTGCCACACCTGCCCAGAAACTGTGTAGCTCAAGAATAACCGAAGTGTACAGTAGTCTGATCATCATCTATTTAATAGACCAATCATCAATTGTAGGAATGTGAAATGTACGGTTGGATTGTGTGCCAACGCGTCTTGCACTTCCACCTTTTTCTGGTTCATTGTCCAGTCAAGCTTTGGTACATTTGTGAGTCCTCAGCAAACTCATGGGAGCTGCGCAAGAGCATTTGGAATGGATTTGTCTGTGATTTTATGTCTCCTGGGGATACCTTAGTAGGTTTATAAAATAAACTTTGTGAGGAGCGTACTTTGCAGCTTTCACCCTGTCCATCAATTGTGGTGAACATTTGAAATTTGCAAACTTGAATGATGGTCAATGACTGTGTCTCAGGCTCTCAATGTTGTGTGCAGACATTGTTGCCCATTGTTGTTTGACAGACTTGGGTATGTGTCAAGTCTGTTGGTGGTGGTGGATGTGATAATGTTCAATCCCAAAGCTGTGCTCTGACTAACCACTCTGAAAGTAAACAAAAGCAGTGAGTTGTGCAAAATGGAATTTAGTCTATCGATTTGGAAATAGCTGTAAATGCAGAATCAATGTAGACATTTGGGATTCTGACCACAATATATGATTGACAGAGGGTATATAGTATATGCAATATGATAACATATATGGACGGAATAGCCACTGAGCCGCTGGTAAGTTGTGCTTTAATATTGTAGATGTATGAATTACCAGTCACTGCTAATTTTCAGCTGAAAAAGATTGTCCATATGAGAAAAGAGCTCTGCAAGCTTCTCAAATGAACTCATGCATTTGGCCTGAAGTTCAACACTTTCCAGCTCATGGAAGGTGTCGAGCCAAGGATGGCAGCAGAACTACATGAGGATGAGTGCTAATATATGTACATTAAACATGCACAGAAATTGTTAGGTGTTTCGAAGGTACAGTGCGACCATTGTATGGGATGTTAAAGTGGCTGGTAGTATGGGAAGCATTGAAAAAGCTCAACTGCAGTGCCTGGATACTTGCGAAATGTTGAGTAACATCTAGAACGGCTGACAAGTGGTTAGAAGTCAAATTTTCCTCAACTGAAGGCTGAGGTTTCAAATACAAGGGGCTGCATGAATTATGGCTAGCAGGGAAACAAGATACCAAGGCGGGCCGCCAAGAACGTTCAGGTGTAGTAGATGGGAATTGGGGATGTGCTGCAATGTCTGTCTTGATACCTTCTGTAAGGCATGATTTGGTAGTTTCGGCGAAAGAGTTGACCCAGATGAATCCACAATTGGCCAACATTCTGATGGTGGTGTGGGGAACATCCCCACTGTAGGCCCATATCCCGTATAATTCCCAAGCCTTACCACCATCTTCCCGTGCATTCCACTACCATTCCGCTACCCATCCGTGTCTTACCCGACCCGTCCGCTACATGGAACCCAGCGGAACAATTGCATACCACGCGCATCATATCCCTTTAGCCTTCAGAATGTCCTCCTTTGTCCTGTCCCTGTCCTTCCATCCTCACTGGTGAGTACTAGCTATGTTCCCCGTGTTACTGACATGTTCCTATCTCATTTCATATGTGTTACAATATTTATATGGATCCTTCTGCTACTCGGAACTGGTTCCTTATCTCACAGCCTCACCTGGTTGTAGCATAGCACTTTTCAGAACCCCTTCCTATATAGATAGCAATAGATGGGATCTTAGTTTTTTACCTTTTGATAGACCCAACTCCACTTCCACTTACAGAGTACTTCCCAGTACTCCACTCACTGTTTAAAATATCTTCCTGAATCTATTCCTGATCTCATTGCAATGTTCCTGCCTCTGTGAGTTCCGCTCGAAATGCCCAACATCGGATCCGACAACTTGGAGCAAGTACCAGACACAAGCCTGGTCTGACTTTGCCCAATCATCCTCCTGCAGGCTCATAGTTTCCTTTTCCCTCTGTTAGTTCTGTTTGTTCCCCGTTAGTTCTGTTTGTTTCCTGTTTGTTCCATTTGTTCCCTGTTTGTTCTGTTTGTTCTGTTTGTTCCACGTAGTTCTACTTGTTGCGCATTAGTTCTGCCCGTCGTGCGCTGCATTCTGCTCATTGCATACATTCTGCATCTTTGCGTTCCCAGTCCTAGTAAGGACCGGAACCCTTCGGGTCGCTAGACAGAGTCTAGTCTTTGCTTTCCTCGCACTTACTTGAGGACCCGCTACCCAGTAGCAATCACCTTGGGATGAGTATTAGTCTCACACCCTTGTTAGACATCTGAATCACCCCAGAGTCTATTTTCCTCACCCACAGTGGATCAAAAATTCAGTGAGGACGTCGGGGGGGGCACTCAATGTCAACTGTCAACATTCGAAGCAGCAGGAGGATGTTCCACAGAAATGCAGCCCACTGAATGCTGCTCAATTCAGTGTACGTGAGTGAGGGGTCGGTTAATGGGGAGTCCTGCAAGGTTGCAAGGGTGAGTAAGGTGATGCATGGGGAGAAAAACATGGGCGAGTCCACCTGACAATCGCTGAAGACTAGATACTGCACTTGGGTCTGATTTAGAGACAGGAGCAGTTACAACTGTACACAGGTGGTCCGCATCACTGCTTGAATAACTGAAACTGGAGCAATCTAAATCCTTGACGAGCTGGAATAAAAATGCCAGATCTACTCCTGGGGGGGCATTGAAGCACAGAATCAATGACATAGGTTTACTCTGAACACCTTTCAAGGACTGCAAGAAGATCTTGAGTGCTGTCAGGTCATGGTCACCAGTACCATGGAGGTCACAACGCAGAAACTGAGGAGCGCAGAAAGAAGTTGTTCGAGTATACAATGGAAGAGCTAGGTAGGTCTGAGTGTTGACACGCAACCCTGTCTGCTCAACATGTAAGCCTATGGAATGCAGATATAGGGGTGCAGCAAGGTCCTTTGAGAGGCAGGACACCTGCATGATCGACTGCAGGTCTATCGCAGGCAGGATGTTGGAAGATCATAAATATAAGCTCGTTTGGAAAGGGCCAATACAAAAAAGTGGTTTGTCCAGTCAAAGCTACAGGCGATGGCGTCCCCTGCGAAAGACAGGTATTTTGTTTAAAAACACCTCAAGATTCAAGATTGACTTACATGCAAAAAAAGGACAGGATCTATGCTGCACTCTTCAGTTGCTGAGTGAGCCTGAAAATGAATGAGGCATGGCATGGAAGACTGGTGAATGATTAAACTCACAGTGAGATCAGCAATTGCATATGAACAGGAGAGGGTACGCCTCTTAAAACTGGGAGGGAAGGAACCATCTGGCATGTCTCCATATGCTTTGCATTTCGAATGCTCTTGAGGAATTTTATGTGGCAGATCCACAGTCTATAATCGAGGAGCATGAGGCATGAAGACTAGGGAAAGGTTAAACTCACTGTAAGGTCAGCAATCACATATGAACAGGAGAGGGAATGCTTCTTGGGACTGGGAGGGAGGGAGCCGTGTGGGATTTCTTCATCTGTTTTACGTTTCAAACGCGCTGGAGGGAATCTGCACTTCTTCTCACATGGCAGTATGAAGTTTTCGAGAGAATCATCAATGGCCTTCCATCTTGAAATTACAGGGGCTAACAATGATTCAGCTTTTGCATCTGAAACGACATGTACAGGTGAAACAGATCTGAGAGCCTGTGTGACAACCATGGCTAGAGGATGATGGGGAATGACACGGAATTATGCAATATATTTATTGCAAGTTGTGAGTTGCCCGCTGTGGGGAATTCCCCCACTGTGGGCATAAGACCCCATCCTTTCCACATTGTCTTACATCAGTTCCGCATATTCCGCACATTCCGCATTTCCCGCGGATCATCCGATGGGTTCTGCATTCCTGCGCATCCTTTGGAACCCACCCACACTATCCAATATTCCCACACATCATTGGACAACCTTCACATGTCCTGTCCCCATCCTTCCAGGTCCATTGGTATGCTGTATCTCTCTTCCCGTTGCTTCTAATGTTACCCGGATCACACTGACACATGCCCTTATGGCATGGACCCCTATTCCGGAGTATTGCACCCATGTGCACTGCCTGCCTTCACTTCCGCTTCCTGAGAATTTACTACCTGTACCTCAGTGTTCCTTGAAAATAATGTTCCCTTTAAGTAGTGGTACTCAGGGCTTGGGTGTTTTTTTATGGAATCTCATCTTTTACCTTCTGACTTTTCTCTGACTTTTCCTTCACCTTACTAGAGGACCACTTTGACTTATGCCCACTATCAATCTAACCTTGTGATATACTTCCTTTGACTTGACCTGCAAGTTCCGACAACTCCTTATGTTCCGCATTGTATCCGGTTGAGTTCCGCTTCATTCTGTTCCATTCCACTTGGGTTCCGCTTGAGTTCCGCTTGTTCCGCTTGAGTTCCGCTAGTTCCGCTTGTTCCACATTTTTGCAGATCCTCATCCTACCTGCGGTAGGGTTGAATAGGGTCGCTTAGACAGAGATTAGCACTCCCCAGTAGCAATCCCCTTTAGGGTTGAACGTGCTTGTTCTCAAGTGAGGCAGTAGGCAGTAAAGACCCAACTTTGTAGTAGATCGATTTCTCTCCGCTGCACTTGTTGTACCCACACCGCTCACAAGCTAGACAATAGGCCTACCTCCACACTGACTGAAATGAACTAAAAAATCAAATGAGCAAATGGATGCAATGCATCATGAGGGTATCACTGAAAAATATAAAGTCAAATAGTCAAAAACTACTATCACAGTCAACTCATGAGTCCAAACTCCTATCTATCCTAGCAAACATTAGTTTATCCTGGACAAGGTGACAGTGCATAAGTCCAAACAAGATATCATATGGGTCGACTCACAAGTCTAAACTCCTATCTATCCAAGCAAACAATAGTTTATCCTGGATGAGGTGACAGTGCATCAGTCTAGACTCTTTGATATCATGTGGGATTGACTCACCAGTCCAAACTCCTATTCTACCAAGTCCAAACAAGTGTCATTGGATGACGTACACTTACTATGAAAAAAATCATGGGTTGTCTGGTGTTCAGCACCGAACAGCAACTTGCATGTAAATGTGCCTGGTATATAACAATGATTTTGCTTGGCATGAAAAGTAAAATCAAGCCTAACTGCATTACACCCATGATCGCGATTGAAGATACAAGGGGGAGAGCAGGGGCAAGATCAAATTGGATTTACTAGTGTACGGCAACTTTGGAAGAGGGATAGCTGAATTGGATAGTTGAACATCATAAACAATATTGGCTGTACTCGGATCTCATAGTATATCATAAAATAAAGTCAAGCAATGTGACTAATAGGCCCAGATACCATCGACTACACTGTCATGAAACAGCAGTTAAAGTTCTGACAATGTGCCTGAATGGAGGGCGTGCATGGCAATGTTTACGAGCATGCAGATAATAGCAAACCGAAAAAGCTGCATTGTTGGAGAAGTTCCTGCAAAGGGTGAAGGAGGTGAAGGAGATGTTGCGTCGTCCTCCATTGACACCTGAAGTTGATTAGATATCGCTGCTGTAATGGATATTCAATCATACCAATTTGCCCTCCTCCCAGACCTTCATGCTACTATGCCCATTAAAGCAGCTGCCAGTAACAACAGTGCACCCAGCCCACCCTTCATGCAACTGCTATTGTGAGTATGGTACATATATATCAAGTTCGGCTGACTTACATGATGGGGATGATCTGATCACCCCAATTCCCATGTGCCAACTGTCCTCGGTATGTCCCTGTGCTGTAATCAAATACACGAGCAAATCCATCATCACCACCAACAAAAATAAGTCCTGCCTGCTGAGCAACGGAGATTTGCAGAGGAACATTGTGAAGGATCACATGGTTATAGGACTGTACGTGCTGGAGGGTAGGAATGGTGTATTTATCCACCCCATCTTTGAGATTGCTCATGAGCAGAAAACTGCCCTTGAGAACAGCATTGCCGCTGCAGCATACACATGAATAATGTGATACGCGAAACAAAACCCCCACTTACATACTTCCTTGCACCTTCTTGCACCACTTTAGATCTCAAGGTTCGATAGAATAGCAGAATCTGAATATAAGGGTTAGAGTGAAATCAAGAATGGAATGGGCAGCCAACATTTCACCACTTTCCAGATATGACACTAGGAGGGAAGCACCATTGTCATAGAAGTGAACTGTGCAGGCAATGTATGACTGTTTCTCAGGCTGCGAGGCAATGGTCGTGAGGGTTTCTGACCAAAAGAAAATCAACACCATGCAATAACTGACGGGTAGGCAGCCCACTGTCTGGTGTCAGGTTCCAAAGATGCAGGAGACCACCAGCGGCACTCGCCAGACGTCGATGAACAGGATCCCAAGCAAGCGACTCCACCACACCTGAGTGGCCCATGGTGGTACTTGTCATATACCTGATCCAACTGCTCCAATATTAATATCCACTCCGCTTTCCGACCACCTCTGCTCCATCCATCATCTGCTCCGTCCAATCATTGTCTGCGTCTGCCCCTACACTTCTGCTTGACTGCCCAACCAGTCCCCTTCCATAATGTCTCCATTCAACTGGAACCTCTTTCCCCTTTTAGATATATACTTTCCCTTTTGGTACATAGACCCTTACTCCTGGATCACCAGTAATTCCTCTTACCGCTCAATCACTGATCTGACACGTACATATTGATATTCGCTCCGACTTATGTCTTCACCTGTGTAAGTACTTACAAATTATATCCTTGGTACATAGCTTTACAACATAGTTATCCTGATCACTGCCTCATACCTAGAAGTATATAACATATCCTGTACTCAGATATTTTTCCTCAGTCTTAATATTACTTGTCTTCTCGCAGTTTCTACTTGTGAGGATTCTCAGTAGGACCTTGCCTCCTCTGGACACAAGTTTCACCTTGTTGTCACCTCCGACCCTCCGCTCTGACTTAGAGCCGCACTCTAAGTCTTCTCCTTACTTCTCTGCCCCTATCAAGTATTCCCCCTGCTCCTTTCCCCCTTCCGCATTATCCTCCGCCTTCTCCGCTCCACTCCTAGTCGGCCTGCCACTAGTAGCACTTACCTCCCGACCCTCAAAGCGGACCTAAGCGGTCCACTCGTCCTATCATTGGACAACGTTGGACCTGCTCCAAATTCGGGGCACGTACTCGGCTAAGGGTGCAGCGCAAGAGCTGAAGCCAAGCCCCAACCCCTCTGCTTCCTGAGCCAGCACAGTACCTAACAGTACTCTGGAACGCGAACAGTGCCTGAGGTGATCGACCGTCATCAGCGAGAGCAATAACAATATCCCTATCACTTACATCATTGCTTCTTTCATATACTTGAATGTTGCCATCTGAAGCCCCAAAAGCAAATGTTGTTTCACCACAATCATCAATGTCCATCCAGATAATGGCACTGATATAACCTGCTGCCGGTGTAAAGATTTCTTGAATCATTTCACTGGATACCAAGCTCCATACAACTATGCGACTATCATTGCCTATCTTGCTCTTAGTACAAGTTAAGTGAGAGAGATAGACTGATTACCTCCAGTAAGGAGCAATGCTCCATGTATACTCACAGCCAATACATTGACTGCCTTAGTGTGGCAAGTGAGAGTATATTTGCTAGAAAACTACTTTGCCATCAACAAAAATATAACTTAACTGAACTTGAAGGACTTACATCCATGATCGAATATTGAGACATGTAGGAGACAAATTGGTCGTATTTAACCATGTGCCTAGCACTGACAGCCAAAGTGATTATGAAGTTCGTAAACAAAAAGCATCATTGACAATCGGCCAATTGTCCATTCACCACCATGGAAACGGAAAAAGCTTACAGATTTAGAGTTTGATAGGGGGGATTCTGACTTGATCAGTGACAAGATCGTTAATTGTTCGATAAAGACTGCCTGGCCTACTTTTAAATCAGGAAGTAAGTAACTCAAGCCATGAAACTCATGGCATCGAAAATACCTTCTCACAAACACAGCGCTATCAATACACAGTTCAACCCATATGGCAGACCTACACTGTGCTCCCTTATGGGAACTGTGAACGCATATGAGATGCAGGAAATGGAATGGGGTATCAAGGCATCAATAAAGTCCTATGAGTGTGAGCTTCGACAATGTGAAGACGACAAAGTAAGTAAGTTAACTACCTACAATTCCTGCCTGCTAAACATTTCCAGGACGTGTGGATGGGATCTGCTATAGATCTCGATCTTGACCTGCCTATCAGTGCAGGGAGTGGAACATATGGCTGTGTAGACAGTGCGATGGCAAATAACGAGGTTAGTAACTCCTCGCCGCCTGTCAACACTGCAACTTACTGTAAAGTAAAGGAGATTGGACCCCTGGCCATTGTTCTGATGATCAACTGTGGTGAGGCCCGGCGGTACCAGTACCAGTCACCGAAAAAAAGGAAACTTGTTCATGGCCTGCACAAAGGCATTAACAAGTATATCAATAATCACTGCAAGAGGGAGCATGCCAATACTGACCAGTTACGTGAACGCATGTACATTGCACTCCAAGCTGCATTGCTGGACGTGGATATTGACGATATCATGCTGCCTGATGCGGGTTCGGACCAAGCCCAAGCTGGAAAACATAGTGTAAGGCAGATTATTGGCAATATTAATTTGTATGAATAATGGTGTTGTTATAGGAGCTTCAACAGGGCTACCTCATCTCATGTGAGGTTGCACGACAATTCCTCAATGGAGTCAATTTTATCATCCCCCACAGAGTGAAACGCGGCCTGCTATCCATCGGAACTGCACTAACTACAAAGTCATCAATTCCAGGTATCATCCATAAGACAGGTGAGTTCACAAACCTTCCAGAACACCATCATTCCTAATGTAAAGGAAGGGTATCCTGCCACAATGCCAGGACAGTTTCCAGACTGATTATTCGAACATCTAAAAGTCTACTGGTACCCCTGTACAATAGTGTGTTGATACAGTTGCTGCAAATAATGAATGAAGGCTTATCATTTGTTTGTTACAAGACATGTGCTCCACATCGATTGAATCTCATCTATTGATCCGGTAAGAGTAGATCAATGACGACGGCAATCAATTGATTTACCAACCTGCTTTATATATTCTTTCAACCTGGGGAGATTGCTTGGTATTGTCAGGTATTGGTAAAGTTGGACAAGTGTTCATAAATATTTCCCATGCCTAAGTATCATGGCTACAACTATTTTTCAAATATATACAGAGCATATCGCCAACAACCCAACTTCCATCATAACGTTCAAGGATAGGATATTGTTTCTGCGCCTACTGGAGATGAGTAACCAATACTGTTGACCAGACCAATACCTACCTCTGCATACACAATGGCTAATCTGGGCTGTGCTTGGAGCTTCCAGGACTTGTTGGCTTTTAGATATTCACGGGCTAGTTGTGAAACAAAAGCCTGCATGGAAAAAATTAAACAGACAAGATACAACAGCTACAAGGACATGCACACGAGTTTCTTCATATTCAGAGACAGGCCAGCCAAGTGCCTCCTGTAAATTATATCCTCCTCGACTGATACGGGAGACGTCTCCTCACGGTTTCAGAATCTTCGCTGGCAGAGGGATGGGTAACTGAGCCACTGGTGTAATTGGTTGTGCAGCATCAGAGGTTGATGAGTCTGTGTCGTGTGAAAACAGTTGATGTTGTGTCAATGGGGGAGGGGTGTAGCTGCGTTCAGGGGGGAACTTGCAATGAACGGTGAGCGGCTTGAAGTGGTGACAGTACCGCCATTTAGCAGCTTTAGGCATAGCTCAGTTAGACGAACTTGTTGAGCCAGAAACAATGAGCTTACCATTATGATCAATAGGACATTATATATTTTGACTGATGTGCACATCCTGATACTGACAGAATACAGTTAGTTGCAATCAAAGTCACTACCTTGTAGTTACATACAATTTTGGTAATTGGTTATGACATTCATAACAATGGCCTTGTTGTTTTCAAGAAACAAGGACTACATTAACATTAATGCTACGCAAAATATACATGATTGTTGAAAGGGAAAACTTGAGTGTAACAATGTTTCGAGGCTTAAGTAGTGAATGGGAGAATCAAACACCACTGGAGGTATCCGAAGTGGCTGAGTGGCTGAGTGGCTGAGAGGTTGAGCAGCTGCCGGCAAGTTCTGTCGGAGCTTCGACTGAGTCTAATTCACTACTTAGGCAGTGAATCCTTGTTTCATTGATTTTCTTTCTCCTATGATAATCCACCCCAATGGAATGTTGCATCTGCATTGGCTTCATTAGACCAGAGCCTAAGATTAAGCTGGGCATTGTATGCATTTCTTGTCTACAGTCGTATCGTGCACTTAATATTGCTTTTGCACTTATTGCTAATTGTTGAATTTGAAAATGTTCAGACTCGTATAATTAGTTATTAGTTAGACTTTGCATATTCTGGTGGAGCTTGCTGAGTCTGAGTCTGATTCTGATTCACTACTTATCGAATACAACACTTGATGTACTTTCTTTCTCTCCCACTATACATGTATGTGGACTTAGCTGCTACTAAATGTAATCAACTTATACATATAGTTGTACATATTATTATTTCCTTGAATGGCATAGGCTCTTATCTGGCATATCTTGATATCCGGTATGATGATGCGCTTCACGACCATGAAGAAAAACTGATATCTACATATAGATCTTGATGATGAGCCACTGCACTTCATCTTCCCACCACCATGACAAGCACCTCAACATCTGTCATCTTGCCAATGTTCAACTCATCGAGTGCATTCATCTCACCACCCCCACCAGTCACGTATGGACAAACTCTTGGACAAAGGTCTTGAAGGTAATGTCCTATGGGAAGAAATCGATCTCCCCGCCACTACTCCTTCTCTCATGGATCACATTATCCTGAAATCGAGTCTCGACAGCTAACCATAGTCATGTAGCTAATATCATCGGCATGAAAATGGTGACCCTACATGCCATTGCATATACAGCTTGTCAGGCCTGTCAACAATCTTGTTTGTGGTGTTTCCCTTTTGAAACTAATCATGGATATAGCTTTGATTTGCTCTTTCCAGTGTAAACTCCTGGCAAAGTGTTGATGGAGATTTTGACTACTATGATTTCTACAACAACATTGTAGACTTTTTTGAGGTTGTACCAGGCACTGATTCTCAGGCCTGCATCACTGAGTTGCTCAAATGGTGGAATAGGTAAAATTCTTCATCATTATCATATATTGTACTCTAACATTCCGCATCACTCACAGGAAAGTGTTTGGAAAAGTTTGTACGGTTCCCCTTACTGCAACAGAGCTTGGGAGGTTCTCGGTTGCTAGGATGAGTTTGCAGAGACAAGTACACAAGGGAGGCTCTCCTTAGCGCACTAGACACCTGTCATATACCAGACCCAACTGCTCCAATGATATTGATATCCACTCCACCCAACCTTATACCCCTTCCACCTTTTCCCCTTATCCACTCTGCCTGTCTCTGCTCAATCCAGTCGGCCTCTGCATCCACTCCTGCACTTCCACTAAACCACCTCATTGGTCACCTTCTGCATAGCTTCCATTCAACTGGAACCTCTTTCCCCATTTAGGTATATACTTTCCCCTTCGGTACATGACACTTACTTCCCAGATCACCGGCAATTCATATAACTGCTCAATTACTGATCCATTGTGTACATATTGATATCTACTCTGACTTATGTTTTCTCTGTAGTAATACTTACCAATTGTATACTCAGCACATAGCCTTATGCTATGGACTACTGATCACTGCCTCCTCACATAGAAGTATATAAACATATCATGTACATAGCTAGTTTCCTTAGTCTTGATATTACTTGTCTTCCCTCAGTTTCTACTGGTGGAAATTCTCCATAGGACTTTGCTCACTCTGGACACAAGTCTTGCCTTGTTGTCGCCTTCCACTCCTCTGCTCCAACTTAGAGCTGTGCTCTAAGGTAAATCTCCATTACTTCCCTCCACATCATAAGACCAATCCCCTTGTCCCCTTCGCTCCAACTTACTTCCCCCGCTCCATCCACTCTGCTTCTAGTCAGTCCGCCACTAGCAAGCACTTTACCTCCTGACCCTCAAAGCGGACCAAAGTGGACCACTCGTCCTATTGTTGGACAATGTTGGTCCCACTCCAAATTGTGGGCACGTACTTGGCTAAGGGCGCAGTGCAAGAGCTGAAGCCAAGCCCCAACCCCTCCACTTCTCTGTCCAAGAATGGTACCTAACAGCACCAGAATATTGAGTAATTTACATCATATATACCCATATATTATGTGTTATACTTGTTGCAGAATATATATATTTGTGATGCCTTACAAAGCCCCTCCAATAGAAAAAGTTTTGTGCTTCTGTTCAAACCTGTAAAATAGCTCCAAATGAACCAATTTTTTTGATGTACTCAATCATATCCCAAATGGTTCTACTTGGCTTGACTGTTAAGACCGTGCTCAGGGGTAAAGCGGAGTCTGAGGGGCTTGGCTTCAGCTTGTATGCTGCGCCCCTTACCCGAGTACGTGCCCCTAATTTCGGAATGTAGTCTGACACGAATTCTATGGGTTCTGACAGGACATTGGAATGGGGGTCCTCTGAAGGAGGACTGACAGACTACTAGGTGAGTGCGGGAAAGTCGGGCAGGGGTTGTTCTGCCCCACAGGAGGGAGGTGGGAGACTACTGCAGTCGGAACCAACAGTAGAAGCAGAGCGGAAGGAACTGCTTGGATGAAGTCCAAAGCAGAGCGGAACAGAGGGGACGGATGCGAGAGTGCGGGGTCTAGTTCTGACGCACGGGAAGTCAGGTGAGTGGAGGGACAGAGGAATGGGAGAACGGGGGAATGGGGGAGCAGGGGAACAAGGGAACGGGGGAACAGAGGAGTGGAGGAACAGACGATCAGACGATCGGAGGATGGCCGACCTAGGGAGTCAATCCCCTAGGCCGGCTTAACAGGAGTTGACTAGGATCTGGCCCAAGTCAAGGAACAGAAGAGCAGGGCTTAGAAAAGGTAATATTCAGACTGAGTATCTACAGACAAATGTACATATGTTTATATACTCTAAGTGATGAGTATAGCATAGCAGAGGGCTATGTGCTGAGTGTACAGGATTACAATAGGATGACTGAGACATACGAGAATAAGGCTCGGGGAACAGTATGTACGTGACGGATCAGAATCGCTAAGGTATAGGGATTGCCGGTGATCCGAAAAGCGGAACTATGATACTAAATGGGGATAGGACCAGTTGAGTGGTTCCTAGTCTAGGAGTGGACTGGTGAGGCGGTCGGACGGACTAACAGTCGGGTGGGGGAATACAAGCGGAACTGAAGGAACCCCGTGGGTCGGAAAAGCGGAGGGAGTAGGAGTAGGATTGGGTGGACCGATAGGGCGGAGGAGCGGAACCCCAGATAGGGTCGAATGGAAGGGGTATGGGGTCGGGGGACATAGGGGTAGTGTCAGAAAAGCGGAATGGGGTCAGGCGGAGGTAGCAGGGCTAATCCTGCTGAGATGCACTTCATGCATTGTCGGGGAAGGAGCAATGGAGCAGATGGGGAAACAGGGGGTCGGACCAGGAGTGGGGATGCTTATAGGTGGTACTGGGGGTACTCAGATCCGGTATATGACATTTCCCAACTGAAGTTGTCCAGATAATTGACTCACATCCATCCATTCAAAGCTGGCAAAGCCTGTCCAATAGAACAAGTTTTACACATCTGTTTGAACCTGGCAAAGCCCTCCAAACATACCAAGCTTCTTATTATGCTCAATACTATGCTCAATGTTTCTATTTGTCCGACCCGACTGATTTTATGTTCATGGTTTGAGTTGTGCACATCTATTCAAACTTGGCAATACCTCTTAGATAGACCAAATTTATGATTGAATGGACAGGTTACTTAAAGACTGCACTGTTCTGCCAGAAAAACTATGTGGTCCATCTACCAGATAAATTGACATGTTTTACCCTGCCCCAAACATGTTCAGTATTCTAATGATGAGATAATATGACAAAACTAGTGGTGTCATACCAAATTATGCTCTGAATTTGTAGATTTATACAAAGAAGATTCCTCTATATTTGTTCATAAGTTGACATTGGAAAGACTTGAGTGAGTTATTCCCAACACAAAGTGGAACACATAATATCAAGACAATGAGGTGGAAATAATGGTGTCCAGTGGAATGGCACTCTGAATATGTAGTTTTATACAAAGAAGGTTCCCTTGTATTCCATGACATATTAGGCATCAAAAAGACTGCAATGATCCATTCACAACATAAAGTGGACAAACTTGTTTTCTGCGCCTGTTATGTTCAATATTATGGAAGCCCGGACACTCGTGCTCAATTACTCAGCTAGAATTACCATATATAGGCCATGCTTCTGCAGGACCATGAATACCGCCAATGTGAATAAGAAATAATATTATGTACCACATGCATTGAACAAATGTATAACATAGATTTGCTGTCCGTACTACTACACTAAGCCTACTAGGTAGAGCACAAGTGTCCAGGCTATTGTTAAGGTCATGCTCAAAGGGGAGGTTACTCAAAGGGCTTCGGCTTCAGCTTGTGCGCTGTGCCCCTTACCCGAGTACATGCCCTTAATTTCCGGGGGCAGAGGGGAAGTCTGATGGAAGTCCAGGAAGTCCAGAGGTCAGATGTTGGGGGAGTTCGGCAGAACTCCAGAAGACTATGAGGGAAACAGAGTAAGGCTACTGCAGACAAGTCTGGAGTAGAAACAGAACAGAGGTTAGACTACCCTAAGGTGGAGCCGGAGATTTAGTCCTAAGGTTTAACCCCTAAGACTCGGAGATGGACAAGAGCTGAGACTCAAGTCTGGAGAAGCAGGAATGAGCAGAACTAAGATGATATTCGAACTGAGGAGTTCCGGAGTATTACAGGAGTTTATATACTGTAGGTATCATGTAGGTAACTCAGTCAGCAAAGTAAGGGCTATGTACAAAGCATGTGGAAAGTCTATTAGTAAGTGTACATAGATCAAAGCAGTGAGGTTGGAAATGAAACAAGAACAGATGGATCAGTAAGCATAGCGGAAAGGACATAACCGGTAGCCGGAGCAATAACTATTCTAAAAGGAGATAGGGGTGAGTATGGAGATGAAGGGTGAGCGCTGGGCGAAATAACAGGATGGAGGACCGGACTTTAGTGGTGGGGTTCCGGAGGTATGGGATATGACAGTATCCCCCCCTTAGGGCCGAGCCCATGAGGCCGGGTGTCTGGATTGTCGGTTAGGAGCATGAGGCATCAGAGTTTCTGCAGTGATGGTAAAAATGTGCCAGAGGTTTTCCAGATGGGAAACAACATTTTTTCTGTCACCCTTCTTTCTATACAGCTTGTCATGCCCAACAAACCTGAAGGCGTCAAGAAGTCCGCCAAGCAGGCCATGGAAGAAAGGTGGGTGGAAATGGCGGCGGAGTTCGCTCGCTTACAGGAGGCCGTCCGCCTGGAGGAAGAGGAGGAGCACAAACAGAGGGAGGAGGAGAAGAAGATCATGGCGGAGGAAAAACAGAGAGCGGCGGTGGAGCGAAAACGCGAGGAGGAGCAGAAACAGAGGGATATTGCAGAAACGCGGAGAAGAGTACTGGAGTCGGCGTCATTGGGGCATGTGGGGGCGTCGACAGTAAGTTTGATAGCTCATCGAATGTTGTTGGTACTTATTCAGACATTAGGTTACTCGTCGATCCAGCAACTCCGAAGGTCCGGAGAAATTTTGCAGCTCCTGTGTAGAGTGGAAGAGGGACTGTACCTGGACTCAGGCATTTAGGTCCAACAGGGTAAGCATGCTTTGGTCCTTTCTCCGGGGTATTCTAATAGGTGGTCCAGTAGATCCAGAATTGTGACGTGTGCCACCAGCTGAAGGCACAGTGCTCCGGTGGTTATTATTGACAAGGGGAAGAAGCGGGAATGAGCAGAAGGGACCCTGTCTCCCTGGGCAAAGGGAAAGAAGCGTCAGCAGAGCCCGGCAGAGATGGATGACAACATGGAGTCGATCTCCAATCCCCAGACCATGATCGTGGAGGAGGGCAGATGGATGGAGTATGACAACCAGGCCTGGGTGGCCACTGCCAATGACATAGTGGCAGCATTGGCACGGACCAATGGACTTCTGGAGTGGAGTATTGTGGCAGTGGAGGGGAGCCGAGCAGCCATGGACAGGTTCATGGAGGAGCAGAGGGCTTTCCGAGCCTTATTCCTGGAAGGGATGAGGAACGGCTTTCATGCGGAGGTGGCGGAGGAACCAGAGGAAACAGAGGAGGAGGCGGAGGGTGGGAGTGGTGCTGGGGTCTCCGGCAGAGATATGGAGACTGATGACCTCTAGATAGTCTTGTAATCCTTCGTGTCCAGTTGTACATATATGCTCATCTTTGTATAATGTAACTTTTTTTTCATTTTGTTCAGTAGTCAGAGGTGTTCTGAGATATGGAGGTTGGGGTTTTGAGGTTGATTGGTTGTGCATGGTGTGACGATATCCCCCCATTAGGACCGAACCCCTGAGGTCCTAGACAAATTCTCGGATTTTGGGGAAAATGGGAGACAGATGTTGCCGGTGGAAACAAGGCATGTGGAACGAAGTCCACAGCATGAGGCGGAGAAGTTGTGCTGCGAGGCAGATGGAGACAATGAAGTTTGGGCCAGAGTGGATTGATGGGTACGGAGCGGAGTTTCCACGGTGACGGGTTGCTAATATAAGGGTGCGGGGAAGGTGGGGTTTTTTCTTCAGAAACTTTTCTCTAATATCTTTTTACACTTAACCATGTCCGCTCCTTGGAATTTCGACTTCACTGGAATGACTATGGAGGAGTTACAGGAGCTGATGGCCGCAGCAAGGATAGCAGAGGAGAAGAAGGTGGAGGAGGCGAGAGTTGCCACAGTGGCAGAGCGAGCACGGGTAGTGGAGGAAATGCGCAAGGCAGTGGAGGTGAGTTTTTTCTTTTCTTCTGGCATTGGGTGATACTGATCTCTATGGTTCCTCGGCAGGCACACAGATCGGAAGCTTCGGAGCTCATTGCTCTGGAGAAAGCATGTCTGCGGTGTGAGGCCAACAGCCAGACATGTACATGGGCATTGGTACGAGAGGCCTCGGCCAAGTCTAAGGTAAGTTCCTGTTTTCTTCAGTACATCAGTGATTGACTGGAGTAGGGCGAAGGCAGGGCTAAGGCTAAGGCCTGTGATCAGTGCATGAGCATGAAGGCCTCCTGTCGGGTCGGTGGAGATGAGGCTCAACCGGCCATTCCAGCAAAGAGCAGGAGGCAGACAAGGGAGAGGGTGACAGAGTCCGGAGAAGTAGCGGATGAGGGCGCAGGCAGGCCTTCTTGGCAGAGGAAGGTGTACGGAGAGGAGGAGATGGTGATGGAGGTGGATGACCAGGAGTGGGTCAAGGTGACCAATGACATGGTCTTGGCGCAGGCGGAGACAAACGCGCAGCTGGGGGCCTTGGTGACTGCCATCATGCGTCTGGCAGAGCAGATGGAGCTCCAACAGGTGGAGCAGAAAGAAGAGAGGGACAGGGCCCAGGCGGAAGTCCAGGAGATTCTCCGTGTGACCGGGGTTGCGCTGGAGAAGGGCTTCTCTGGCTGGGGAAGGACCGTCAAGGAGGTCCTTGGGAAGAAGGCAGAGATTGGGGTGGAGGCAGTGGAGGTCCTAGAGCTTACCAGCTCTTCCAGTAGCGACGTGGAGAAGCCAGAGGAAGAGATGGAAAGTGAAGCGGAGAAGGGTGCAGATGGGGAGGAGTCAGGATCTCAGCCAGAGCCGGAGGAAGAGGCGGAGGTGGGGCCTGAGTGTAGCCAGTTCCCGTCCTCTTACTTGATGTACATACTTGTATACACATTGAAAGAAGCTACTTGCTTGCTTTGGAATTGAGTCTTCAGAGGTACTGGCGGAGAAATGAATGGAAGTCCAGCTCTGCCAGTGGATGCAAGGTTTGGAACTCCGTTCCGGAGTCCCCAGCAAGATGGAGTAAACTGATTATTTGGGTATCGGAGTGCAGATTTTCAATCACATGATGGGATAGTTGGAGTGGGAGTAGCCAAAAATAATGAACTTGTTTGGCAAAACTTTGTGATTTTTTCATTACTTCTGATGGATTTCTTAGACGCCCTTGCATCTGCATGGCCTGGCTTCTTCTTTGGCATTGCCACATATCTGTTCGTGAGGATACCATACAAATTCCTCCTAATGAAACTCTTGTCATGGTGGTTCTTTCCCAGTAACGATGGGAACGACATGGAGATGTTGGAAATGGGGAGGAGGGTCTCTTCAGACAACTTTGGTATGTTCTTGGTGTTCAGAACATGATATGTCATTACTGATTCTCTTGGGATGTTCCTGTCACATACCTGATTCAGCCACTTCCAACACCATTTATAGACATCCCTACTATTGGTCCGACCCCCTGTTACCCTGTCCACTGTGGGTACAACAAGCACAGCAGCAAGAAATCGATCTACTACACAGTTGGGTCTTTGCTACCTGCTGCCTCGCTTTAGAACAAGCAGATTCGACCCTAAAGGGGATTGCTACTGGGGAGTACTAGTCTCTGTCTAAACGACCCTAATCAACCCTACCGCAGGTAGGATGAAGATCCGCAAAAATGCGGAACAAGCAGAACAAGCGGAACTCAAGCGGAATGGAATGGAATGAAGCAGAACTCAACTGGATACAATGTGGAATGTACAGATTTGTCAGAACTTGCAGATCAAGTCGAAGGAAGTATATCACAAGGTTAGATTGATAGTGGGCATAAGTCAAAGTGGTCCTCTAGTAAGGTGAAGGAAAAGTCAGAGAAAAGTCAGAAGGTAAAAGATGAGATTCCATAAAAAAACACCCAAGCCCTGAGTACCACTACTTAAAGGGAACATTATTTTCAAGGAACACTGAGGTACAGGTAGTAAATTCTCAGGAAGCGGAAGTGAAGGCAGGCAGTGCACATGGGTGCAATACTCCGGAATAGGGGTCCATGCCATAAGGGCATGTGTCAGTGTGATCCGGGTAACATTAGAAGCAACAGGAAGAGAGATACAGTGTACCAATGGACCTGGAAGGATGGGGACAGGACATGCAAAGCTTGTCTGACGATGCGCGAGAATATCAGATAGTGCAGGTGGGTTCTGAAGGATGCGTGGGAATGCAGAACCCATCAGACGATTCCGCGGGAAATGCGGAATGTGTGGAATATGCAGAACTGATGTAAGACAATGCGGAAAGGATGGGGTTTTATACCCACAGTGGGGGAATTCCCCACACTGCCCCATCCCTCCTTCTCCAACAATGCACGAAGTGCATCTCAGCAGGACTAGCCCTGCTACCTCTGCCCAACTCTGCTCTGCTCCTCCGACACTACCCCTATTTCCTCCGACACCATACCCCTACCCTCCGACCCTATCTGGAGCTCTGCTCCTCCACTCCATTGGTCCGACCGATCCTACTCCTACTCCCTCCACCATCTCCGCTTTTCTGACCCACTTGGTTCCTTCAGTTCCTCTCGTGTTGTTCCATCCGATGATTGGTCCGCCCGACCGCCTCACCAGTCCACTCCTAGACTAGGAACCACTCAACTGGTCCTATCTCCTTTTAGTATCATAGTTCCTCCTTTCGGATCACCCGTCATCGCTTTACCCAAGTGGTTATTGATCCATTGTGTACATGTTACAGTAACATGAGCATTACACGTCATTTCATTCTTCAGACTTGTCTAGACCTGGACCATGGTTACGACTATTCTATTGATGTTATAGGGACTTTACATAAGCCCTTCGGCTCCGCTTATTCTTTTCTTCCTATCATTTGCCACTGCTATCCGTCGCCAATGTGACTTCCATCTGACCGATCTTCTGGCTTATCTGTTTTGGCTTATCATTCTTGCGCCACTTATATGGTTTACCTGTTATCTCTGACTCACACCCTATGCCCTTACCGTATCATCGGTACCACCCTTGACCCTTACCGTTCAACCGGTATCTCTTACTTTTCATATATAAAGGACTCTGTACACTGTAGTAGTCCTTAACTTGAATCTACTCAGCTCTCATCTGATCTTGTCGTTGGGTCTGAACTTCTCTTGCCTAAGAGAACTCCCTTTGTACAAAGAACCATCTTCTCTTGAGGCGATACTCTTGAGTTGAACTCCATCTCTTGGATCATATCCTCGAGAAACTCCAAACGACTCTATGCAAGTAAGGGCCTCAACCCTTACTCAGACTTAGTGCAGGCAAGCTCCTTGCTGGGCTAGTGCCGAAGGCCACGCTTCAAACGCCCCTTGTGGGTTTAGCGCTGCTGGATCTCATCCGAGAGGTTTCGCATAACAGTACATACTATTCTCTGAGCCCCTTTCTCGTATGTCTCAGTCATCTTTCTAATAATTCTGTACACTCAGCACATAGCCTTTTGCTATGCTATGCTACCTACTTAGAGTATATAAACATGTGTACAATTGTCTGTAGATCTTCAGTCTGAATATTACCTTTTCTAAGCCCTGCTCTCTTGTCCTTGTTCTTGGGCAAACCCCTTGAAAACTCCTGTTTGCCAGCCTAGTGGATTGACTCCCTAGGTCAGCCACCTTCTCCGCTCGTCCGACTTCCCGCACCTCCGCCGCCTTTCCCGCGCATCAGATTTGTGACTAGTACTCTCATACCTCTGTTCTCTGTGTTCCCATTCTGCTTCGGACTTCGTCCGAGCAGTCTCCTCTGCTCCGCTCCTACTGTTAGCTCCATCTGCAGTAGCCCTCCGACTCTCCCCTGTAGGGCAGACCAATCTCCGCCCGACGTTCCCGCGCTTATCTAGTAGTCCGTCGGTCCTCCTTCGGAGGACCTCCATTCCAACATCCTGTCGGAGCTTGTAAAACTCGAGTTGGACTACAATCCGAAATTAGGGGCACGTACTCAGGTAAGGGGCACAGCGTATGAGCTGAAGCCAAGCCCCTCAGACTCAGCCTTACCCCTGAGCACGGTCTTAACAGTTCCTCCAGATGTTACACAAAGTCCCTTCTAGCAAATTCATTATGGAGATATTGTAAATCTTTGTCCATAGGAGACATCCCAGAATCTGTCCATAGTAACAGAGGACGATCTGGAGTAAATGGAGGAGCAAAATGGAGTTCCCTTCTGATGGAAGACTTTCCAGGAGGCAGAGGAGCGGAGGAGAAGCGGGGCAAAAATCGGAGGAGGAGTAATCAGAGCGGAGGAGTATAGGTACATAGATGAAGTGGGGTAACTTGACTTGGGAGTTGGAAGAGGATGGATGATAAACCGTGCACATATATGAGAGGCTAGTTTGTGTATATCAGTTAGTGCTAATTAGAATAGACCGGACATAAACCGGCAGAGGAGAACATGGCTAGTCCGGAGTTAGGGGTACTGCAGTGAAGCGGACCTTGTTGGATGTCAGAGGTCAATGGCATTTCCAGTGGTAAAACCCAGAAAAGGTGTCTGCTCTATACCCTATCGATCAATGGATCGTGGTGGGAGAGCAAGCGATATTCCTGAGTGGTACTAGGAGAATCCAAGGGAGTTGAATGTCGAGACATTCCAGAGGTGACTTGCCAGTCCGGAGCGGCGGAGAAATCGGATATAATAGGAAATCAGAGATAATTATGTAGTGTTCTGGAGTAGGATCGCTATGATCAGGAAATTGGGCCAGAAGGATTGGAACAAAGGAAAATACGGAGTTTTATCAGAACGGATATTTCATGAGGTAAGGATGAGGAGTTCTAAATGATAATGGAAGGGTCGGAGGAAAAGTCATAGTTTATGAGGGACAGGAGTTTAAACCTGGCGGAGAAGTGATTCTTGGACATTAGTATACTCGGTAAGGTGTGAGTTCAAATATACTGTTAAGGTCGTGCTTAAAGTATCATGAATTCCCAACACGAATCATTTTTCATTTCTCGGTTTTCCTTCAGCTATGTCCCATACCCGAACCGGTCACGTGACACCATTACCTTTCACATTATCACATCATCACCATGTCACAGCTTCACCCCTTCACATTTCACCAATCACATCTCCGATCGGATCCCCTACGCCCAGGGCTAGAACCATATGTCTTCCTATCACTTAATCTCTGTCCCTGACATCATTGCTTATATATCGCGACGTCATACTACGTCATGCGCAGTATCGTACGATTCTTTCTCATTGGCTGATTATTTACGGACTCAGATATCTCCAATTCAATGTTATGTATATAGGTAGGGTAGTTAGCGTAGTTTCTCTTTAGACTTAACCTCTTCGTTCCTACCAAGTGTAGACTCAGACGTTCACTCTCAATTCTATCTTTGCTCTTATCCTTGACGAGTCCTAGTGGTTGTGTTAGGCCTTTACCATTTGGTGAACGCTGATCATAACATAAAGAGGAGGTTACTCAAAGGGCTTCAGCTTCAGCTTGTGCACTGTGCCCCTTACCCAAGTATGTGCCCTTAATTTCCAGAGGCAGAGGGGAAGTCCAATGGAAGTCTGGGAAGTCTGGAGGTCAGATGTCAGGGGAGTTTGGCAGAACTCCAGAAGACTATGAGGGAAACAAAGTAAGGCTACTGCAGACAAGTCTGGAGTAGAAACAGAACAGAGGTTAGACTACCCTAAGGTGGAGCCGGAGATTTAGTCCTAAGGTTTAACCCCTAAGACTCGGAGATGGACAAGAGCTGAGACTCAAGTCTGGAGAAGCAGGAATGAGCAGAACTAAGATGATATTCGAACTGAGGAGTTCCAGGAGTATTACAGGAGTTTATATACTGTAGGTATCATGTAGGTAACTCAGTCAGCAAAGTAAGGGCTATGTACAAAGCATGTGGAAAGTCTATTAGTAAGTGTACACGGATCAAAGCAGTGAGGTTGGAAATGAAACAAGAACAGATGGATCAGTAAGCATAGCGGAAAGGACATAACCAGTAGCTGGAGCAATAACTATTCTAAAAGGAGATAGGGGTGAGTATGGAGATGAAGGCAGAGCGCCAGGTGAAATAACAGGACAGAGGACCGGACTTTAGTGGTGGGGTTCCGGAATTCTAGATCTGGAGGTATGGGATATGACAGCCATAGATTGACCACTGTGAGGTCAATGAAATACTACTGCAAGAAATCAAATCAAAAAATATCAATGAATGCAAGTCACCATTCGTCCTATCACATCTGCATCACCATCTGAGTCATTGGAAAACTCCCATATGCTCATCCTGGTGCTACACTGGCTACACTGGCAGCTGAAACCATTTCGCTTGAGATTTCAGCCGTTCATGAAGCAGGGGGGCGCAAGAAATCAAGAGGCATATCAATTGGAGTATGGTCTTTCCTTAGTATGCTCTCTTAAATGTGTGCTAACATATTTTTATCTAGAATATCTGTGAAGGCAAGAAGGACATTGATGCCCGCATTGATGCTCCAGGTCTTATCAACCTTGCTTTGGAGACGGTGCTCCCTAAGCTATGTGCTTTTGGTGGCATATTTTCATGGCGTGATGAGGAGTTCATTGTATGAGACTCAGGATGGGTGGACCTATCAACGCACCAGCCATTAATTCCATACTTCTACTCACAGTGTCTGCAGCCAGGCTGCAAAGTTCCCAAAGGTTCCATCAAGGGCCCTACATTCAAGACGAAGCAATTTTCCCTCATGGTAGTCATTCCAGAGTGTCAGTGGACAGAGTTCGAAGATTGGCAAGAAGATAATGAGATGATACGCTTGTGTATTGTACGCTCATTGTCTATGCTAACTTACACTCAATACTACAGGCTATTGAGCGTTCAAGTCAGTCCTCTAATGCCGATGGTGCTACTGACAATGTCAATACCAAGGGCAATCATGCACCAGTCAAGGACACCTCATACTCGTACTCAGCAGATGATGCACTGTCTGCAGTCCAACTCCCTTTATTTCACTCAGCACTTGACACAGTGGCCAGCACTGCACTCCCCTCATTCGACCCAGCACAGGACACCCACTTGCTGGTCCCCACTACTACCAGTATCTCCATCAAGCGAACGCATGAACATGCAAGCAGTTCTAGCACAATTTCACCCCCTCACAAAGTATGGGTACCTCCTGCATTGTGCCTTGATCACGATCACCTCAGGGAGGCCCTTAAGATTGGTGGAGGTGCCGACTTGAATGTAAAACAAAGTATGTTGCAGTTCATTGAGTCTATTCAATGCACTCACTATTTAGTGTCAGTCTCCAAGTTTCAGAATGAAAATATACATTTTCACTCAATCCCTACCCGACCCCTTGATGAGCTCCTGAAGTGCACCCGCTACCACTCATTCTCGGTAGATAATGCTGATTCGTCAGTCGGCTATGTGACGATCGACCCATCCATCGAAGGCCATATTGGAATAGGCGGATTCAAAACAGCACACCAAGGATGGTTGACACTAACGGTGCCTCCTAGGTCAGGTCTGGGGTCACAGGCAAGTCAAAAGGTTGTTGTGAAACGTCCATTCAAAAGAGTGTACCCCCAAGGCATGCCATCATCTAGCACAGATTACAGAATTGGACACTATGCACCACTCAACAAGGTGGCCAAGCTGTTCAGAGAAGCAAATGTCCTGTACTGGGCGAAAGCTCTGTTAGGTCTCATCTACAATTTCATTGACCACACCATTGCAGACACATCCGATCCTCCACCATTCAATATTCCACATGTTCGGTTTGTTGAAGCCGGCCTTGCGCTATCTTACTCTCAAGGTAGCAGCAAGTCTACATTAAAGACTGCGACGATACCATGTGGAGTGTTCCTCCTCAAGGAGATTATTGATGGCGAAGATTTCACCAAGTTTATTCATAATATGGATCCTGACCCACTGCTTGACCCGGACCAGGATGGGTATGACTTTGCGCAGTTTTTGGCATTCATGCAACATGTCCAGTATGTGAAGACAGGTGGACTGGTCTTTATATCTGACTATCAAGGTAAGTGCTCCGAGTCTATGACCCAGTATTCTATATTCTCAGTGTCATTGATATGGAATTGAACAGGCAGTACAAAGCTACTGAGTGACCCACAAATCATGACACACTTGTCTGTTAGCCAGGGCAATGATATATTTGGGGAGGGCAACATTGAGAAGGCAGTCAGTGAATTCGAGAGACACCATGTTGGCAATGAGTTCTGCAAATGGCCAGGATTTGGACTTGAGGTGCTTGGGGTAGAAGTAGTTTAGATTGCACTATGTTTTGTTTTGGCTTAGGGGACGATGTTTCTCTGAATTGTTCGAAATTGTGTTCACCACTTGACGAGATTTTGAACTCTCTTGGTCGATATAGACAAATAGGTATGCACTAGTCAACATGAACAAATACGGAAGTGTGGTGCTCGAGGTCCAATTACCATAAGTAGCAATTCTAGCTGAGTAATTGAGCACGAGTGTCCAGGCTTCCATACAATATTGTTGATGCCAAGATAACAAAGCAGAAAAGCTGTGCTCTAAGTTTGTAGGATTATGCATAGAAGGTTCCTATAAATTTCATGACATGAATTGATCATTTGACTTGCCTATACTGATTACTGGAATTGCGTACATTACTGGAGTATGCATAGCATGGTCCGTTTTTTCACGGGGCAGTGATGAAAAGAGAGTGCAGAGTTTGAAAGAAAAGAAAAGAAAAGAGCTCGACGACGAACCCGTCGACGTCTTTGCTAGTGGAGGAGCGGAAACAATAGCCGATGGCTTCTTCCGCTCGCCCAAAGACCAAACTCTAAGACTGCGCTCGTGCCTCGCTTTGTCATAGAGTGACAACATGTTTGTCAGTGCATGCAGTGATCTTGAATCAGACTCTTACTGACCCTATCAGAGGTAATAAGGGGGTTTGGTAATTAGTACTAATAGTTCACGAACCACGTTATGGTCGGACTGTCCGTATAACCGTGCGTGAACAAAGTTCACAAGATCTTAGGAAGATATGAGGAAGAATCAATTACGTTTTCTGTAAGATAGGTTCTTCCTACATCGCCATGAAGTTCTGCCATAACAATATTCGGCACATAAAAGCAAGCCGTCTTCCTACCGTTGCCTTCAGAATTATCTGATCCGATATCACATCCTTACAAACGATGCGTTTCTACTTCGTCCTCCCGGTTGTTGCTGTTTTGACAGCATCAATATCTGCCAACCCCATTGACAGTCGCAGCGACGCTGACACCAGTAATAGTTGTCACCCCACTTGCAACCAGGCTGCCTGCTGCTTAGGAGAAAAATGCATGCGGTCAGGCGGTGTGACTGAAAATGGCGACGTGAGCACGAGTAGTTCGCGTCCTGGATTTAACCGTGACTCACCGGCATGGTAGTTTGTCTGGATATGCGTGAAAGACTGAGTGGCATGTCGCGACAGTGAACTACAGTGAGTCGTGTTTCTGCTTTCCCATCGGTACAGTATGGTTGATAGCACGACGCGTGACTTACTAGTGGTTTCTTGCCGAGTTGATCAATGCGCATGCTTCTGAACAAATTTCACTGCCGCTCGAGCAATGTATATCTTGGAATAGAGTGTATCTCAAACAAGTACTTGAATACATAGCATATGAATGAGATACTTGCAATGCAGTTTTGTAGTCTCGTTGTAAGCTTGAACCTAGAAACTCTAATGACAGTGTCAGGCGGGTACGATCATAGACTGCACGCTGAAACTGATACACTCATAGCCATACTGGCACTGAAGTCTGACGAATCTCCATAAGTCACCACGTTCCTTGTTTCTGTTTCAAGATACAAATTCCGGTCAGTGGCACCTGCCTCGAGGAATCGGAATGCTGCGTGACCTCCCCTGTCAAGCCCAAGGTCCAGGGAGATCTGTCCCATTCCCAATATCATCGGCTGGATATCCACACATCCCAGACCACGAGATGTAACCATACCCGCCGCCCATGAAGATCTCCGCCCAAGGAAACCTAGTCACAACCTACTGCTCGACAAGCAGCTCCTCGACGACGCCCCCAAAGTAAGCATTCGAAAGAGAATAGCTTCATGGGAGGAGAGGAGAGTCAAAGGAATGTAGACGGATATGGATAGCGCCTTGGAAAATGGATCTAGCTGTGAAACCGAGAATGGGGAGAAATGTGAGGACTGAGGAGGTGTGGTGGATAAGTGAGGACGATTGGGAGGTTCATCATGCCTGTTCGTAGCTCAGTGATCTCTAGGAGGTACAGGGGAAAATTCAGAATACGGACCAATGACAGAAGTAAATCAGAACAACACAACGCACCTCGCGTTCTGGACATATCACTCCCAGGCTCCTTTTGAGACACCATAGACTTGTTCGTCACAGGTCGAGGGACATGTGGTCCTGGATCAACGCGCTCCGCATCGCACAAACCCCCCAAGACAAAGACAAATGGTGCAGATGCGTTTGGAGCTCAGCGCTCATCTACCAGCTAGGCAGTTCGGGGCACAATCTTCGCTGAAATGCGCATCTGCTCGAGAGATCAGAAACCCGCACCAACACTACCCGTTGCAAAACCGGGGCCTTCACCAGGCCATCCCGCTTCTAGTGTTTGCGTGCTGCATATATGGAACATCATCAATGAGTATAAGCAAGGAGGTTGATAGTGGAATCTGATATCGTGGGTGGTTATGGTTTGTTGATGCTACGACGAAGGTTTGACGTGCCTGGTAGCTTCCTGGCGAGACGTTCCGGCTTGGGATGCCTTTGGTGGATTTGGAGCTCGCGTTGGTGGGCAATGCATCCTGCATATGAAGGGTGTCTGGGTTGAAATGCAAATAAGCGAACTTGGGTTCGTATTCATGCCAAAAGCCGATATCGAGCTGCAGTAATTGATCACCAAGAATGGGCCTCTGCGGCCAGTGTTCAGAATTAATTCTGCTCGTCTCGATGCGGCGAAAGCGGATGATGTCGTTGGTGATGATCCCGGTGAATTTATCGTCCTGTTGAGGCTAAAAGATTGTGCGACAAGGAAGCACTGGGTAAATGGCATGTTGGACGTATGTTGTATGTTATGGCGGTGCGGGGGATACAGGGTGAAAAGCTTGGCCGTCGACTGCGGAGCGGAAGGATGTTGTATTTAGGTAGAAGGGGGTTGTTGCTGTTGGACGTAGTGAGAATCCTGTCAAATGAGTCCAGATCTTGGTTGACCGTGAGTGCGAGTTCATTTTGTTGAACGAAGAGGAACATGGAGGAAGATGCATGGACAGAGACGGATCCTACTTGCATTATCTTCAGCGCCATTCTACAATAAATTTGTATTTCTTCCACTGGAGGATGTGCCTATACCAATGGAAATATCAGATAATTCCAAACTCTTCCCATACTTTTCACAGGGTGCTTGGAGCGATGGATTGTACCCACATTGCATGTTGTCTATCTGCAGAAGAACGCTGACTGTCAATGTTGCCTGTTTGAAATTGACCCCATCTCCACCTTCAGCACGATGAAGTATGACATATTCGATGAGGCAGGAGGTATCTTTGATGGTCCAGTGAGCAGATGAGTCTGAACCTGAAGCTGCAGAAGGTGTAGGCTTCTTCCTTGGTGCTATGATTAACTTGAAGTTGGTGATCAGGACGGGCGCAGATGTCACAGACTCGTCACGTAACTCGAACATATTTTTGGACGACATAGTAGTAGGCAGTTCAAGTGAAACACAATGTGACTTGGAACATTCCCGCTACGTCAGTAGTGGTGCCATAGGTTGAAAAAAACCTCATCTTTCAATTTCTGGCAGAGAAATGAGTATCAGTACGTTTTTGGCGCTTTGTTCTCATGCAGTCGTTAACTATGTCTTCTATACGTTTCAGTCTATACTGTCATAATGATACATCTAATATACTGTAATGACCGAGAAAAATCGGGTAAATGGAGAACAGTGCTTGTTTTGCTACCACAGGCCTCCCCGACGTTTTCCCTGACCGATACTTCTTCTTTGTCTTCCTCGTGCGGCATGTTGGGAGAGCCTGGGTCAGCACCACAGTATTGCGGGTAATAACGAGAAGCGCTATCACCGTTGTTGAATAACTTTGGATATGCGACCTAGTGTTGCTTCTAGGACGCGTTCAGCTGCGGTATCGTATTTCCGTATAATACTTAGGTGGTCTGTGCAAATGGGTATGGTGTCTTTAGACGGGGTTGGCTTTGTGTGGAAAGAGAACAACGAGCATTAAGCATGAAACCCTGTTGGAGACAATATTGAATAAAAGCGAAGTACCGCAAGTTTACAAGTCGCAGATGATATACAGTGCGAAACGACCACAGGGAATTCGTTTGAAGAGTATCGTGAACTCACCATACATCCAAACACCTCAGCCAACACATTCAAAGCAAGCTGAATTTCCTTTTACATTGTTCCTCAAACGGCTATATTCTCTCCGAATCAATTGCCTACCATGTCAATCAACCTCCAGCTCTCCCGTAGGCTTGAGCGAAAAATCGGCCTTGAATACAACCCATGGCTCGTTAAGCGGGCTTTTACCTGTCCACTCTGGAAGAACATAAACGCGGACGTGCCTTAGTTCAGGGATCAACTCCGGGTGAGAAGACAGAGCTAACGCACCCAGGTGGGGCTGAATGTGAATTTTGATATTTCCACATGTACTCCAGGTGCTCTTACGGAGTACGCCACAAAGATTGAAGGGCTGTTACCCATGGTGCCATGGATAAACCCCGCTAGGCATCGACTGCACATAAAATACGATTAGGACTTTGTTCCGTGTTGAGAGCTTGCTACGAGGCCATGATGAGACACGTGAAAACAACCCGGATTATAAAATTGCACAAGGTAGCCCCTGCAGGGCATTTTCAAAGGTGATCGCGACATAAATCGTGCATGAACGTCATTGATGAGGTCATCATAAAACAAGGTCGCGAGACACAACATGCATTTCACTAAGTATGTAATATGAGGACGAGGCAAAAATGACGCGGTCGTGATTCGGTACTATAACAAAACGTACCTTTGTGGTGTGGCGGCCCGCGTGGGAGGAGTTACATGTAGGCAAGCGAGGAGTGTCTAAGGCGCACTTTGAACTCGTCAATGAGACACCTCAAAATACTAGTATCACGCACCTGCAAAGGGCTCTCTTTTTCTTGGAGTCTTACAGCACAGCTTTCAATCTCACTGGCGACCCACTCAGCATTCGCGAAAGACTGGCGCCGCGAAGTGTCAGTCACCAAAGTTCGTTGCACAATCACTGTAATGTCAAAGCAATTCCAAATACCACATCAGAAGAAGGAATGCGAACGAAGAACTTGAAACTTACCTCGACTTCACTGTAAAAAATTTTACCCCCATTTGCGAACATTCTCGATAGAATCAGGAAGTCTGAGGAAGAGAATCGCACATAAATTGAAAGTCAGTAGAAACGACATGCAGCAAAGACATAACAATGCTGAGCTTCGCAAGCCTCTATCTATTCCGAATGTATGGTGTGCTCGTGGCGTGTCCTTGAGCCGGCGACCAGTACTGTTGGCCTTGTGGAGACATGCATGATTGTGCTTTCAGGAAGTTGTTTGGCAAAAGCCTTGAATCCAAACAACCTCAACGCACGAGCAAACAAACACAAGTTGGAGCAAGTTGGTCACGAGCAATTACTTATGTCCGATAATCGACTGATACCGGTCAACAAGGATATATCATGTTTGATTTCTGAGTCGGCGCTGGGCATACTGGTTACGAGTCTAGGTGCTAAACACGAAGTGACTCCTCCTTCCCCATGATTTTCCGCATCACCCCAACGTTTCACCAGTACTTCCTCCAGCGCTACCACCACTCTCACACCCGGTCACACAGCACACCCACACGCAAACACATCTTTAATGGTATTATATCTCACCTGCCCGCATCTGCAAATCCCAGCACACCCACCCGGCTGCTGGACACCCAACAGATGAGACTTACTCCATGACCCCCGTCCACGCAGAGTCCCGTCCACTTCTGGAGTCAACCTGCGGATAGCTGCGCAGTGCTTGCAAGACGCCTTCTCGATTCAGATGCCTCAGACTTGCCAGTCGATTTACACCTAAGTCCGGTGGATTGGAGTTATGCAAACGTACTCCCGAGCCCAGCGTTTCGTATGGTCATTGCAAGCCCGCATACTCTCACATACACACTATCCACGCAAACTAACTAACAACGCACCACGCTCATCATCAGATTCATATGACATATGACCACCACTATATCATTCGCTAACGGTCTAACCTACCTAGCTTGCTCGCTGTTCAGTGTACATATGCGTGTGTTCAATTGATCATATATGATCATTTTCCTCCTCCTGCCGTATCCGTGAAATGCCAAGCTCATCGCAACCACAGTCACATTCATATGCGCCATTTTTCGTATATCGTTTCCTTTTTTCTCGAATCTCCGTCTTTCGTCGTTTTTATTTGTGAGTTATGGAATCCCTTTTTTCGTTAGCGTTGCGCAGGGTGTCAAGATGACAAAGCAGATCGGCTTCGATGCTGTTCACGGGACAAGCTTCGGGACTAGTTCTGTATTTTGCTGTTGTACACCGCTCATTTCCTTGAATCATAGGCCACTGATAAGTGGACGCCGATCAAACAGTGTTTGTCCTCCAACCACCGTTAAACTTTTGAGAACACTCTGCAAACGAGGGATGTGCAGGGGTGCGTACAATCATCTCTTTGCGATCACAAGTCGAGCCTCGGTAGCATACTTTATTTACAGTGAAGAGGTTATCCTGGTGAGTTTAGCCCAGGTGTGCCAGGAAGTCCTCCGCCTGCGCTGATCCCCAGTTAGCACGGCTCATGATCGGCATCAGTGTGCGTTTTTCGCTGATGGACATACGACAGGCTGCGGTCGTGGTTCGCTGCTGTTGATACGGGCAGATCGGGGGGACTATTGCTACTGAGTTCGATCACTTTGGTGCGTCTATTCTAGCTAGATGAGTTATTAACGGGGATTGGACTTGTGAGTATTGCATTGTAGATTTTGAAAGAAATGGAGATGCTGATGTTATCTTAGCGTTTACTTAAAGCTTTGATGAGCGTGTTTATCGGTCGTCTCTGTTTCTATCACAGTATTCCTTTGGTCGGTTGTTCGTCGATTGCGATAGAATGTTGACCGGAGCAGTAACGAAGTACTTCCCCCTCATCCGATTATGGTCTTTCGATCCATCTAAAGGAGAGTTGTTCTGTGGACTCTGGAAATACATTAAGGTGCGTACACAAGGCCTCGTAGCTGATGACGGCCATACTAAGATATATCAAAACACGGGACTGCCAGGACGTATTCCGCCACTTCGACAAAGACCCTTGCGGTTCCGTCGACCACGGCGAGCTCCAAGACACCCTTGTATAATTCACATACAATCTCATAGAAGCATCGGACGATGGCGCCTGATGTTAATGGTAGTGTGGACGACGGACTGAATGTAACTTTGAATGGTCAAAACCGTGCTTCTGCGACGTGTGTGGTCTCGAACAGGGGAAACCACGATAAACGACGACTCACAATCGTAGTCGTTACTTGAGATATTAGGGAGGTCATGGACATGTTATTCGGTGTTCGAGTCGTGATAACTGAATGTAATATGGGTTCGTGTGCTCGTACTAGTAGATTCAAAGGAGGCACAAATTGGTGAAGGCGAGAGCGTCAAGCGAATGCGCAGTTGTGGGGAGACGAAAGGGCATAAATGGTGTAAGACAGATAAATACTAGTGCTTCATGAAATGAATAGGTATCCAACGTACGTCTGCTTTGAAGGAATCATGAAGTATCTGTATATGCATGTATATCGTCAAGGGACAAACGAGAGCTGCGTTGAAAAAAAACAACACATACAGCTACCATATCTCTACGGTCCTGACGTCCATCATGTTGTTGACAGAAGCCAAATCATTGACCTGTGCAATGATATCACGATCCGATGCGATCCTTTCATATGCTCCCTTGCGCTGCTGTACGAGTAAAAATGCGCCGAATGGCTGCCCAAGGCTAACCATCAATCGCAAGGCTCGCGAGTGAGATTTCGAATCATCCAGCTCTTCATCTACAGGAGAAATGGGGAGTGAGGCATCCAACGGAGATTCGGACTCGGACTTACCTCCAGAGCTCTCCGCATCATCCACAAAATCAACCTGCTCTGCAGAGTCATGCTGGTCGAGGAGACGGCGGTCCCATGGACGGACAAGAAGGAATGGCTGTGGAGCGGGCCTTGCCCGCGAGAACGGAATCAACCTGTCTGTTGTGGTGATCTGGAGGTCATCGAGCCCGACTGCCTTGACTGTATACGTAGAGGTCTTCTGGCCTCCACCAGTACCAGAGCGCCGCGTGGCTTCTGTGACAGGGAATACAATGCAAGGAAGATGCAACCGGTGGTGCGCAAAACGGGGAGCGCCCAAGCTTTCGAGTGTCTGATGCAGTCTCGAAGCCGACTCTAAAGTCACAGCATCTCGCAGTAAGGAGATTAATGACTCAATCTCATCTTCGGATAGAGATGGCGCATTGTGCGCTGAATCTTCATACGAAATGATGTCGGCTGGTAGACAACTGTTGAATGTGGATGGTTGCCCGACCCAGTCAAGGACAGTAATGTCGCCCAACTGAGCCACGATCTCCTGCAGGAGCCGCCCGAGTGCATTTTGCTTCTTCTCTCCATAAATGACAGGAAGTTGGACGCCGAAGATGCCGAACAATGAATACGCGATGTCTTCCGGCACGGTGGTGACGCGCGTAGACGCCCATCGGAGTATCTCCCGAGCGTCTCTCGTCCCAGGTTGGAAGGCGACAAGGGCGCGGGCATCTATGCCTGTCGCATCCTCCAATTCACCCATGATCTTCTCGGATTTCTTATGGTTGGGGGAGAGGTCGTTGAGATATGGAGTCCAATCCTGTTGGTAGAAGCGAATGACTTTAGGTGCGAGGAATTCGGGGACAGTCCATCCTCGGGTGTTCCATGAGCTCTTCGCCAGCGCACCGGGCTGGGACGAAGGCAAAGCTTCTGACAGGTAAACGACCGTGAGCGCTGAGTCGTGATACCAACCAAACATAGAGTTCAGTGATTTTTGGACTTCGCCGTTGTCGCGCTGGTCGATGCAACAAGAATCGACCCACGCCCAGTGATACTCTGCCTTACGAGCCATGTCGCAGAACGACTGCAACTTGACGAGATTTCCTGCCTTCAACTTGTATACATCCTGGTCCTTGATGTCCTGCAACCGCGGCTCCTTTTCGTCCCATCTATGGGATAACATAACGCAACGGAAGTACGTCGCCACCGCGTCTGTGATGTGCTCCGTTCCAAGGTCAGGGTGCTTCATAGTCGACAATAGAAGCTTCTTGTAGTCTATTGTTGTTTCAAAGGCGCCAAACTGTGCTCCTCGGTCGCATAAGAGTCCAGTGGCGGTGTTGAGTAGACGCAGCGGGGCAGCGTTGAGTTGATCGCTCATGATCTTTCGAATATCACTCGTGGCTTCGGAGAGACTGAGATACTGTCTGCGCAGCTCTGAGGAAAGAGTTGAGCATCTTGACGCACAGGTAACTTAGAGCTTACTTCGCATTTGCATGTCAGTAGCACTGTTCAATTTCGAGATCATCATGTCGAAGACCTCGATAGCTTCATCATAGCACTGGGCTCCATGAAGCGCTGCATGCTTCACCTCGTACCCAACGTGAGACGAAGGGTTGAGTTCGATGACCTATGCGTCGCCAAAGTGAACATTGGCAACAAACCAGAAGCCGTCATCGCACCTTTTGCGCATCAAGAAGCGCGTCCTCCCATAGCAATTTGCCCGACTTGGCCTCGCTACGTTTCGCAAAGTCGGTGTCAATTGCAGAATTCAGGTCGATCACCATGGAGTATAGCTCAATAGCCTTGTCGTAGTCTCGTGCGGCGAGGGCTGCACATCCGGCGTCACGAGATAGCTTGCTGCATTCTTGCGTGAAAGCTGAGCAAAATGCGGGTGAGGATTCTTGCGTGACATCGCTAAAGACTTACCAGTGGACCAATCGGCGCAGCTGGGTTTCGTAACTCCATATGATTTCAAGGCTTCTTGGAGTCTACCAGCCCGGAGGAGGGCATCACACCGGTTCTGATTTGCAATTTGCCACAATGGCTCGAAATCCAACTTGAACAGCTACAAAAAGCATGTGGTGGGGCATGAAAAGCACGTTTCGGTTACATCACATCAACGTACCACCACCAAGTCGTTGTAGTATACGAAATGAATGACCGATCCTGATGAGAAAGCCCCGGAATTGATAGCGTCATCGAAGTGGTCAGCAGCTTCGTCGTGGCGCAAGCCATTCAAGGCTTTGATACCGAGCTGAACATGTAGGTATGCCTGATGTGCGAATCAGAAAAATTCGGTTTCCATGCACAAAACCTGTGCTTTATTAAGGTACACACCTCCACGACACGATACGCAGGAACATCGTGATTCGGACAAGCTGCAGCCAGCTGTTGGACGAGCTGCATTGCCTCCTGATGTTGGTTTGCACCAAATAGTGCTACGGCCTGAAACCGTAATGAAATAAGGAAGATGCGAGAAAATTTAACATGCCTTAACCAAGAAAAGGAAATGGATGGTTTTTGAATCTTCGTTCGTGAAAATGGAGGCAACGTCAAATGCTGTCCTCGCGTCCCGGATCTGCCCTTTTCCGCATAGGGCAATTCCCTTAGAGATATAACCTGTCAAGGAGGGCTGGATGGTGACGGACTATGTTACAATGAAAGTTAGCATAAAGGAGCAATGATGGGTCAGTCTATATCACCTTTTTTGCGTCGTCAAGCGCGTGGTCCCAGTCGTTTTTTCGCGCCATGACAAATGAACGATTGGCATACGAGGTGTGTTTTTTTGCATCGGCGTCAATCTCTTGAGTGAATAATTTTTCAGCGGTAGATAAGTCCCCCGCGATGCATGCGTCGCGGGCAGTGGTATTGTTGACGGAGAGAATCTGTGAACGTGAAACATGCTCGAATTGCATTGTCAGAGTCAAGGACGGAAACATACCTCTAAATTCACGCCCTTGGGTGTCTCCCACTGCGAGATCATGTTCTCTCCACCTCCGCTGAGGATATGCCTGCCGTCCATGGAGAAAGTGACGCAGTACGTCGGGGATGAGTGCTGGAGGATGGCGATAGTTCGTCGATCTGAGAGCTGCCAGAGACGAACATGCTTATCTTCAGATGCGGAAGCGATGTGTGTGCCCGTAGGATGAATGACAATGGAGTGGATATGACTCGTGTGGCCCGTCCAGGGATCACCGACCTGCTTCCAAGTGGATGTATCCCACTCCCGTATGGTCGGATCCTGACTATTTCCCCCTGAGAGAAGGCGTGTACCATCGGGTGTCCACGCGAGTGAGTAGTTGTCTAATGTATGTCCCTTGAAGATTGCGATGCGTTCCTTTGTGGCTAAATAATAAATTTCGATATTGGTGCCTGTCGCGATGGCAAGATGTTCGCCAGACGGGGAATGCCGAACGCAATTGACGCCACCCCCGCATTGGATTGTTCCTTGTAGCCGCCATGTTTCCGTGCTCCACAGTCTGGTCGTTCCGTCTCGTGAACCAGTGGCTAGCAATGTGCCATCGGGTGAAAAGTCCAACCCGTAGATATAAGTGGAGTGGGCTCTGATGGGTTGGGTAAGAGGTTCCCCAGTTTCTCCGTGCCAGGCGATGACCACTCCGCTGTCATCACTGCTTGCTATGATTTTCCTGTCTCGCGATACCACCAATCCCCACACATTGTCGCGATGGCCCTCCATCTTCTTCAAAACTGCACCTATCTTCAAGTCCCACAGACAAAGCGTCTTGTCCCGCGAGCCTGTGACCATTCGTCGTTTATCGGGGAAAACTGCTGCACCCGATATGCCGGCTGTATGATATTTAAAGACTCGACGGGGTGTCGTGTTTGGAATTAGCTGAGACATGTTGACGTTGTTGAACACGGTCGAGGTGGACTTGGGGAGGGATTGAGGGTGTCTTGCTACTGCAGAGGTGTGTGTTCCGTGCGTTTTATGCTGCTCCACTCTATTAGCCTGCCTCATGTTTCCATAGAAGCCCAGGGTACGAGGGTTTGCCTCCATTAAGGCTGCAGTAAGAATACCGGTATCTTATGTGTCTTCCTCAACTGTATCACACCCGTATGACGACTTGTGCCTTTGCACACCGGTCCGACGCATATCTCCACACCTTCCAAAATACATCCCCTTGCATTTAATTGTGATATGTGTTACTAGTGTCTCGAAGGCCATATACCCTGGATAGCCGCGTGAATAATATCTTGTATAGGTCATTTTCCTACACCACTGCCCTCACTCACCGAAATGTAGAGGCAATCCTTCTCCCTTGTCTTATGCGCGTACTTCTGCTCCGTGTTGCACCAGGTCAGATGATTTACGACGAACTCCCATCACATACATGACAACCCTCGAGGGTCTGCGAGTCCACTTTCTGCCCCACTGAGCCACGATTGATCAAGTCCCTGCCGCCGGAAAGTTGACACAGTGCGATCTCGCAAATAACTCCAGATCGCAGCGACACGCTGCAAGCCCGAGAATCCACCATGATGTAGGGAGGTGCTACCAGCTCCCGGGAAGATGCAATGCGTATTTTGTTATCGCCCGAATCTCGTAATGGATCTCCAGACGGATGCCCCACAGGGTGGAGTAATGTATAAGGGCGGAAGTCCAGAAGATCTACGGGCTGATTCCCAAGTGTAGACGATATCTACATCACGGAAAAGCACTCAAACACGATCTGTCTCCTGATTTGAATATCGACCCAGCACCAGAAAAACAATAAATAAAGCGCTGCGAGGAATGCAATTTGCCATTTCCGTTGATGGAGAGCCGCGCTGGTTTCGCTACCGTCGAACTCGTTTTCCCTGACTGATACTTCCTCCCTTGGTGCCTCCTGCGGCACTTCAGGAGAACCTGGGTCGGCACCAGAATATTGGGCGTAGTGCTATCGCAGTAGTGACGAATGATTTCGCCCTCCACACCGTCATCGAGTAGTTTGGAGACACGACTTCGCACTGCTTCTAAGATGCATTCAACGGCGGCATCGTACTGCCACACAATTCATAGGCATCCTGTGCGTAGTATGGATATGGAAGTGGTACGGTAAGACGGTCAGGATAATACTAGGTGGCGTACCTGGGCTATGAAGGTGGTGGAAGTGGTGGCAGAGGAGAAGCTGGACGAGGGTCCTCGTCACAGCAAGCTTAAGTATTTTGAGGCGCCCAGTGCGTTGCTGAGTTCGTAATGAGGAAGTTCAGGACACTAATGAATGATATGAGTGACAAACGAAGCATATGCTGTTGCGCTCACATCATGCATATCCCGGAAGAAATCAGGTTCTGTACTATCTTGTATGCAGTGATGTTTATCCTGGTCAGGGATAAACATCTGGATGACCGTCAGCTAGCGGGAGGATGAGGAAGAGAGTAGTACATGCACGAAAAACACGGTTATCGGGCTCGAACGCTGAGTGAAATGGGGGTGAGGATTGTAGCATGAAGTAACATGACTGAGGACCTACCAATGGACCAATTGAGATCGAGGCAGCTGGCCTTGTGGTTTCATCAACGGTGTTCATCATGGATTGGTATGATTCGAGAGCTTCTTCAGGTAGTAGGAAATCCTAGCACCTTTTGTGTTTGGAGTCAGCCAGAAAAACATTGCTGGATGCATGTTAACATGCCTCCATCAACTCCGCATATGTAGGATGAACAGCTGATCTAGATGAGAAAGAAGCGGAGTTGACAGCGTCAGGAAGCGATCAACGGATGCGCGAGTTGATCAAGTGCATGATACGATATGCAAGAGGGTTTGCATTTGGAAGAGCGCTAAGTAGATGTTGAACAAGCTGTAAGTATTATTGATCTGCATCGAACAGTGCGATGGCCTAAGATCCTTCATGAAATAGAGAGGATGTGAGAAAAATAAAATGTGGTTTGATTAAGAGAAGGAAACGAACCTTTGTATGAACGCGTTGTCTAATAGAAGATGAAGAGGAGATTAAATATTAAAGGGACGCGATACTATCGGATGAGCTTTAATATTTCTTATACAGTCAGTTCAGAGTGCGGCTGAAGAGAGGGAAGAAGAACTGTGAAAGTTAGAAAGCTTTGAGAACGAATCAAAGTGAAGACGACATAAGTAGATTCGTTTTGTGTGTGGGAAGGTCTGGCGAAGCCAGGCCCGCGCGGGAAGGCGGTGTCTGGACTAAGCATGTGACCCCAAGGTAGCGACAAAGAGATGCTTGAGTACCGAGTGATTGGGGATAAAATAATCAAACCTTCGGAGCGTGTTCGGGCGAAACGTGTACAGACCGAATAGTCCGTCAGGAAAACACGCATTCAGACCAAAACACACTGTATTTATCAAATAGGGAGGCGGGTGGGTGGACGAAAATGAGGGAACGACGCGCGAATGGGGATGAGCGCAGAGACGAAGAGGGAATGAGGCGTCGATTCTCGAATCGAGTCCTTTTGACTAGGTGCGCTCGGGCATGTGTATAATTTAGATCGAAGCGCGCTAGAGCAGAATCTTCACGTGACCGCGTACAAAGGCCATGTTTCGCGTGTCAACGCTCGCAAGCTCGCGATCCACTTGAAACGGCCATGGTTTTTTAATCTTTGTTCAACGCAAGGTCGAATTCTGTTCGAGCGTCACGGACCTGCTTTATCCACACGGGGTGATGCCCTTCTCATCTCCCTGGAGGCCTTGAGGGTAAAGTCCCATCGCTGGGCATGAAACAATAGTTATGAGAACGAAAGACAGGCCAAACAATACCTCCGTAAGTTGACGATGACTGGGAATCCAAGAACAACAGGTAGCCCGGAACCTGGCGACCAAATACCCCCACACGTGTCCCCCACCCTTTATCCAAACACTTTGGCAGACTTTGGCGCGGAGTATGTGCGAACCTCACACAGACCGGCCATTTGAATTTCCTCCATGTCCTCCAGCACTTGTGCATGGTCAGCAACTTGTGGCGCCTACGGAGATGGCCGATGAGCACAGCTTTTTTACTAGTTTCATCATGCTGCATCTTTCCACCTGGATCTTTTAACGCGTCCCTAAAAATGGGCATGGAAAGTCCAATCGGAAACAGAAGTATCAGACTTGACGCACCCGGATGTAAACATCATTGATAATAATGAGTGAGTGAACTTACTAAGACTCTTACTCGGCAGAGCTCCAATGTGTGGCTAATCTTTCGACCACCCTTACTGCGAAAGTTGTCAAAGAATTTATTTATTCCATAGCTCGGGGTGGCTTCGGGGACGTATGAAAATGCAGATTCGCAGGAAATGACAGTGATGTCGAGGTTTGTATACTAAATTCTAGTAATCTAATCACGTTTCAAGGTCGCGGTCAAATGCGTAAGGATCGAAATTCCGGATGATCGTTTCAAGGACATCGTCAACAAGGTTGGCTGATATGATCCGGATCCCAAAATAATATTGATATGAAAACATCTCCGGAGGTTGAAGGACGACTTCCACAAGGGGAAACCCCTCCAGCGCAATGCCATTCTTCCCCTGTGGGGTATCACCTGCCAGTACCAGCTATTGTTTCTCCGTGGATGCACAACGGATCCTTGAGCACATGTCTCGATAAACATTATGACCGTCTCTCTGAGGCCCAAAAGTTCGGTTTGGTAAGTCCTGTCTGATATGAACGCACCGCAGCTCATGACTGTCGTAACAGCTTGTTGATGTAACTGCTGGTCTTCAATACCGTACATCGTATCATTTCTGCATTGCATCAAGATGCTGATATATATGTGGTGCTTAGTCCACTCTAACGAGGTGACACATGCAGATCTCGGAGGTGTAAGTAAAAAGATATGCATACATGTGAACCTTCTCACGTCCTCTCAGGGCAACGTACTCGACAGCGGCGGAAGAACTCAGCTAGCAGTCTAATTATGGCCTACTGACTACATGCTCCGACTTAAACGAAACCTCTTATATCAGGGGTGGTGTGCGATGGGCTGCGCCAGAGCTTTTCGAAGTTCCCGACACCGAGGATGCGCCTGGCTCACCGAAACTAGTGTGTGATATTTACTCTTTGAGATGCACCACATACCAGGTCTGTTAACGGCGTATATTTGTTGTGTTCTTTCACTCATTTGTGCTAGATTTTATCGGGTCAGCAGCCGTACTGCGACATTCGCAGTGATCACCCAGAGATTGTCGTAGCCATACTCAAGGGTATCAATCCTAAGCGTCCGGAGATCCCTGCCATTGAAGACTGTCACCGGGACTTCATCAAACAATGTTGGCTCGAGATATCACGGCGATCTCCCATTGTTGACATTTGATGTATCGCTATAGATATGCTATGTGTTGACTGTTTTTGTACCAGACGAGTTTTGCAATCGACTTCTTGGGGACTTCTGATCACTGGGCTCTCAATTCATCTCCTGCTAATGGGTAAAATGACATAGATTCATGCTGAGGCTTCCTCTGTTCCGTCAACGTGTATGTCTAAAGGCAGGGAAAAAGAGTCCACAAATTACTTGAGCGCCCTACGACCCCTCAAAATAGCCACCTTCCGCCATGGAGTGAACAGAGACGCGGACACTGCAAAACACTGCCACATCTAGCGCTCGTCACGATTTAGAAACACTTACTAATCCGCAGACCAATTGTGTCTAGATTCCAATGTCCAATTGTGAGCTGTCAAAATGGCAGGGGACTTGGAAAACACTGACGTTTGACGGCGGCATGTCAGCAGCAGAACTTTAGAACATAGGTTTGTATTTAGAATGACATTCTAGACGCTGCAGGAAGTCATCCAGTGTACCGCTAGACTCAACATAGTACTAAGTAGACCGACATTCGTATTTGGCTATGGAGATGCGGCCCGTGGGCCAATTAATATTGGGCCTTGGCGGGATGAGGCCACGCTCCTAAACAGTAGACACTTTGAGGGTCGGGGTCCCGTCCTACTAGGACTTAGGACAGCTATATACTAAGATGAGCAGTCAATATAACTACATCTTCCCAACTGCGCAATTCAAATTGCCAAGATAGATAGTAGCTCTTTCTAGTATTGTGCCAAGATACAGCAAATGATGGTGTCGAGTACATACTAGGACGGGATTGAAGTCTGTTGGTAGGAGTGCGGAATGAGGTCATTCCCAGATCTAGATGCTTAATTAGAATGAATTTCATTTCAGCTGAAATTTTCTCAGCGGAATCGGTTGAAACACAGGTAGCACGTTCTACGTGCTGAATCAAAGTCATCCGCGACGTCACATCACACCGTTACTAACCTATCAGCAGAATCAATGAAATTATCTGCATATCCACAGTGCCACATCCCTCCATTTGTGAAATTCCCCATCATGGCGCCGATCTGTCAGTGCAGGCCTGCGCTCGTTAAAAGAGCACGAATCACAAGTGTTCCACCTCAATGTCTTTTTTGTCCTACTGCTTAGAGAAAGTCGGGTTACTTTGGTGGAGAAGTAACCCGTCTACTGATCAATGGAAAGTTCATGACAGTAACCTGCGACTGCACTTCCTCATGCTGACTTCTAATGCAGCCCACTACTGAACCTCACGGGACTCTTATCCAAGGAGTCGTCCAATCTCATACCACACGGTAGTTTTCGGGAGGTGCGGAAATGCACCTACACCACGTCCGACCATGGTGACTTGGAGGCAAGTATGCCGTGTACATGATGTATGGCTGGGCAATCTAAATCCTTGACAGGTAGCAGTCAAGCCTATAATGATTGACGTCACGGACGACGATTCCAAGGCCAGAATTACCCAAGTACGCTCTCGGCTTCCCATTTGCATCTAATACGCTTGCTCAAACCTCATGGCTTCGCAGAAACTCTTGGACTATTTTCGTGCACGAATGCAACTGCAACACGAGAATATTTTGCCTTTGCTCGGTTTCAGTGACGACTTTGGGCAACTCCCAGCGATGGTTTCCCCTTGGATGCACGACGGCTCGCTTATTACCATATGTAGTGAACAAAAGTGGACCATCGAACATAAGTTTGAAATCGTGAGTTCTTTCTCAACGCTGCTCGCACATGGTATTCATTGGACCCTTAGTTGCAGCAAGTCGCTGCAGCCATCAGCTACCGTAAGTTGGAATCTTCATTAGTTGCAAAAACACTGAGTTGCGGCATTGTAGTCCACTCGAAGGACGTTGTTCACGGTGACCTTACCGCCGTACGTAGTTTACTTATACCTGCTGTCAAGCTCTAATGATCAGATCTGGAACGACAGAACAACATTCTAATAGATTCCGACGGCAACGCCCGCGTAGCAGACTATGGGATCCTCATCATGCGTTCCGAGCTCTCGGGTACTTCATACGTCGGAAGCATTAACGTGCGGTGGGCTGCTCCAGAGCTCTTTGAAGCGCTCGAGAACAAAGAGTCGTCGACTTCTCCAACGCCAGCGAGCGATATTTATTCTTTCGGATGCCTCATGCTTCAGGTTTTTCACATTCTTAATTGCGTTGGGTTGCGACTGAAGTCTTGCAGGTCATGACAGGTCAACAACCTTATGCAGATGCACGGAACGATGACCAAGTCACTGACTTGATAGGCAAGGGTAAGAAGCCAACAAGACCCTTGAGTCCACGTATTGCAGATTGTTTGTGGGAGGTCATCGACAGATGCTGGAATGATGTGGAACGTCGCCCCTCTGCCGACCAGGTTGTGGGATTTTTACATGAGATTACGCTAGACAAATTATCGGAGAAATAGCCCAATCAATGTAGGATGTATATTTCATTATTGTGCCTCACTTATGATACTAGTATGTATATGCCGGTGATAGATTGTTCAAAAGTTCAAAATGGTACTTGATGAACTTGGTGTTCGAGCTAGACTGATATGCATGATAGAACTACAACCTAGCTGTTCGGTCAGAAATTCTGCAGATATTATGTATCACTACCCATAGCCTTGGGTGTCGGGGACTGGCGCAGCCGAGCGCCGTTACGATAAATATTTCCTCTCTTTTATCACCTTCACGGACCTGAAAGAATTCCAGACTCTTTGTAATGTTGACGGCATCACAGACAATAACACAACCTCACCCACTGGGGGCACCTCGCTTCCGAGTTGACCTCTCGCACCTTTGTTGTTTCTCTCACTCCTTATCTCTTCGCCGTGTCTATATATATATCTTCATTGATTGTACTTTGTACTTTTTCATTGTTGCCACTCTCGTCGCTGACGTGGCGCTTAGCCTTGGATGATTTTGTGTTTGTGTGCCTTGGGCCTCGGCGCAAATAATTGTTATTTGTATACATAGCATACATGTAAAGTCAACTACTAGAAAATGCGGCAGCTGACCATGGGCGTAATGTGCAAGACAAATTAGAATGGGAGATGCTCATCTAGTTGGTGCATATGCTGGTGGGACAGCAGTGGAGCACGAGAGGGCGCAATGCGTTGATGCCAAGAGGAGAGGTTTCTGGCATTATTAGCGACATGGCATTTTCGAGAGGGTAAGCGGATGAAAGCCAGGCTGCTGTGGCGGAGATGGTTGTTATATAGCGGTGTATTAGACATCGAAAAAAGTGAAAAAAGCGATTAAGCTCGCCTTTAAGCGCTGGAGGAGAACGAGGGACGAATGTGACGTGACGGAGGCAGATGAGAGTGGCAAATGTGAACGAGCACAGCGAATATGACAAAGTACTAGAGGGGCACAACTTCATCCGATGAAGGGTGTGAGCTCTGCCTTAGTTTCCCGTGCTAGTTAGACCATATAGAACGTTCCTTCTTTAGTATGGCTCTGCCTGTCAACGAGAGCTTTAAGCGCACTAGAGAAGCGAACATGGCCGGTGAAAGGGATATTACGGGTAATCAAAGGCGCCTGCTCGTAGCTGTAGAAGGGGGTTGTTGAAGGCCGAATGTGTAGCTGGCGCCTACCGAGGACAAATTGAATGTATGACAAGCGCTTGATGAGCTCATGGGTACGGTATGATAAGCGGGTAAACGGGTGATGCGAACGGCGCTGGAGATGTGCTTTGCCTGGCATAGACAGCGGTGTTTTTCGTTAAGATTAGATATTGGTTTTTGCGTAAGGTCCAATCATACGGGCTGTGATCACCAGTACTGGTCCAAGTGGGATTACGTTTTTCATCCTGTAAGTATCTTCGGGCATGATTCCAACATGGCCCGGTTGCAAATTTGGACAGTGAACTGCAAACATATGAAGATAATCATATGTACGGGCTGTGATCACTGATATTTAGTTTAGCAGGCCTTTACAACCCTTTACTCCAGTACTCAGGAGTCACGGCAGATTCCAACATGAGTTACCAATTTGGACAATCAATTATGTAATCACCACGAGATTGTCTAGTGCTACCGAAGCGAGACAAGGAACCTCATCCATGGCCATGAAATTCACGCACACGGACTGTGTCACAACCGTCTCGAATGTCATGCAGTTACTAATATTAATGGAGCCTATCAGCAACGTTTAGAGGACGATGCAACGATGGCGCCATCTAAGTATACCGACTCCCGTAATTCAGTGGCACGTACTACGAAACACCGTGAGTCACACTCTGCTCGAACCTCAGAATGCGTTTAAGTACTAAGTATGAGGTTGGCGTCTGGTAAGTCCCTCCTCCGTTTGCCTCCTTCTTCTGTTGGCTTCTCTTTCCGTGACCTCGAGCTCTCACCGTATTATTTCTCCTAGACTTTCTTCTGTCTTTTTCTCTCTCTTTCTCACACTCTCTCATTCCTCCCAACCGCGCATGTTCTCTCTTTCTTCTACATAATTTAGTTCCAGGCTACACTTTGCCCACTGACAAAACCGTTTAACGTCCCTTCTCTCAACCAATTGAGTGTGCCTGCATTGACGCAAACAGGTCCTTCCATAGGTCATTCAATCTGCTGACCAGTCTCTCCGCCTGACTGATTTATCCAACGCCAAGGCTCTAACACAGCTTTCACGCCCAGCATGCGAGCCCCCACTGTATATCACCGGCATACGCATTATCTTTCCGCAATATTTCCGACCTCGCTGTTACGGTCACCCTTTTTCTCACACCATCACACTTTCACATGCTCACTCTTCTAATACGTGTATTTCTGGAACATTCCATTGTACGATTCTCTTTTCCTTTTCTCATTGGCTCATTATTATTGAAGCTCCGCTTCTATTATTCATTCGCCGACTCAATACCTTTATATATACCTCATCTCTCGCACTTGTACTCTTTAACTTGACCTACGCAGACCAGGGCCTGCAATACTACTGTTTTACTCGCACGACTCTAACACTAGGGTGTTAGCTAGAACTTTCGACTACTTTTGATTACTGCTAAGACGTCTGACGACGCTGAGCGTAACAAAAGGTCAAGTTACTTTTCAGACCGCCTGTCCTACGATCTCGGCGACCACCAACGAACCAAGACTAGCATCCGCGGTATCGCACTGCTGTTGCTAACCGACTAGTCAAAACGGCTACTCGAGGGAAACACTATCCCGGCTTTAACTGGGACGAATCACTAGGAACCTGGACTGCTCCAGACGTTGACAACAACTACTTCACTATCCACCAGTGGAGGACGTTCAGAAACAAGACCGCGAAGAAAGGAACGCACTGGGACTTTGACACCCAATCTTACGTCGACAACGACTTCCCCGAAACTCCCCTCGTTTCCCCCACTCCCGCACAACAACCACTTCCCCCTGTCGAAGAACCACTTCCCCCATCTCTACAACCTCCCTTAGACGACTCAGACTCCGAACCAGAACCAGACACCGAAGACGACGACGATATGACCAAACTCATCGGCAACGTTCCCCCTCCTTTCAACGGCGACACCCGTGCCGCAAAGGGATGGCTACTACAAGTAGAAGCCTACCTCGACATCAACGACTCCGTCTACACGATCGACAAGCAAAAGATCGTCTTTATCCTGTCACTCATGACAAAGGGAGAAGCCGCCAAGTGGGCGGAAGGACAGTTCAAGAACGCCAGCGCTTCCAAAGCGTATGGTAGTTACGAAAACTTCCTCGAACAATTCAAGAAGACGTTCCACCCGAAGAACGTCGTGGACACAGCGATCCGTCGCATCTCCACCTTGAGGCAAACGGGAAGCGTCCCCGCTTACACTTCCATATTTCGTACCATATTAGCTGACACAGGCATTACCGAAGAAAGTATGAGATCATGTTCTTTAGGAATGGTCTCAAGAAAGAAATAGTCAACACGATACTTAACTTCGAGAACGTACC